AGAGGCCACATGCATATGATTCCATTCATACGAAATATCCAGAATTGGTAAGAGGAGAGAAACAGAGAGTTACTGCTTAACGGTAGGAGGTCTCCTTCTGGGATGATGAAAACGATTTGGAACCAGGAAGTGGTAGGTGGTTGCACAAATTGTGAATGTTCCAAATGCTACTGAATTGTGCACTTTAAAATGGTTAAGGTGGTAAATTTTGTGTTACCTGTACAGTGTGTAGCAAGGTCAAACAAAATTGGGGCTTGTATCTTCTGTGCCTTGGCATTCTTTCTTTCACTTTTCTGGTGGAGAGGAAAAAGCCCAAGATCATCGGAGCCTTGGAAAAAGGTAGGAGGGATCTCTCCGAGGCTGGGTCCCTACCGGAGGCTGTCAATCACGAGGCTCCACCCACCTCACTGGTGATTGGTCCTCCTGGAGAAGGGCGTGGTTTGGGGGCCTGGATGCTGCGGGAGACAGCATTCAGCACCTACTGTGTGCCTACGTATGTGTGTTTGCACGTATGCACCTATCCATCCACCCCATCCATCCATCCATCCATCCATCCACCCACTCCATCCATCCATCCATCCATCCACCCACCCCATCCATCCATCCACTCCATCCATCCATCCACCCCATCCATCCATCCACCCATCCATCCACCCACCCATCCATCCACCCACCCATCCTTCCTTCCTTCATTTAGTGTACAATATATTTGTACTAAAAGTCCTGGTAAAACAAATTTAAAACTGATAGAGGAAATCGTTCTGAAAGCCTGCCGGTAGCAGCCCCCGTGTGCCCAGTCTTAGCGAGGCCAGGTCTTCAGGGCAGATAAAAGTCATCTACTTGTTAGAGAACATCCCCTGCTGCACGGTAATAGGTCAACGGCTGTAAGGGTGAATACACATCAAAAGCAAGAAAAAAAATTTTTTTTAGTCTCCCTGGTGCAGAAAAGGAAAAGAGAGCTTTCTCCTTCCCTTTTCTTAGGGCATTTATTTTGGGAAACTCATCTTAAATCCTTTCTCTACCCCTCTGAGGTGTACGTAAATATTTTTACTTTTATTATTTTTTTAAGTTTATTTTTTATTTTTTGTACGTAAATATTTTTAAAACCGAACCAAATCTCTTGCCAGTTATGGGACCTAGCAATGTTTTCCTCCAGGACCAGGGAGAGCCATCTCTTTGAAATGTAATCATCAAGGAAGCCAGAGTCTCTACCCCCAGATTCCGTGGGAGGGCAGGAAGTTTTCTTTTTCCTCTGGATACAGGCAATTAGCAAGCACAGGTGGCCACCCTAATTACCTGGTGCAATTTGGAAAAACTAGTGTGGTGCTGTCTCTTGCTTGAGCAGAGGTGCCATTTATCTCGAGAACAGGTATGCGATGGGCTGTGTCTGCCTGCCGGTATAAAAGGATGAGGTTTCTTTCTGGTCTTTAGTGGCTTGCCCGTGCGGCACATTGTAGTTTGGTTTACCTCTTACTTAATAATAACACGTTTTCTTTCTCTCTCTGTCCTTTGTGGGGAGGCTTTCTGGTTTGGCAGGAGACTCTTTTTCATTATTTGTGCTTTGTGTCCCTTTGTGGCCTCCTGTAAGTTTGATTCCGGGGCAATCCTTGAGTGGGCGGGCAGCACTGACCCAGTGTGGGGAGCCCCTCCAGGAGAGGCTGGCGGGTGCACACTCATGGACATGGCCTGACCCACCTCACCCCATCAGCCTGCTCCATGCTCACCTGGAAGCTCAGCTCAGGGAGGCAGCCACCATCATGAGCTTCGTGAGCTTGGTTAAGTTATTTAAATTTTTTTTAATTTTTTTTAAATTTATTTATGATAGTCACAGAGAGATAGACAGAGGCAGAGACACAGGCAGAGGGAGAAGCAGGCTCCATGCCCCGGGAGCCCGACGTGGGATTCGATCCTGGGTCTCCAGGATCGCGCCCTGGGCCAAAGGCAAGCGCCAAACCGCTGCGCCACCCAGGGATCCCTGGTTAAGTTATTTGACCTCATTGAGTAGGGTAAAGTGAGGCACTTGCTTTCGGTACAACATTGGTGGAGGAGTGGGGGTCAGCACCAAAAACTCAGTAATGAAGATTGTGTTGGGCTGTAGGTTTGTTTCCCCAACATTTATTTTATTATTATATTTGAAAGATTTTATTCATGAGAGAGAGAGAGAGAGAGAGAATGAGTGCCAGGGGGAGAGGCACAGGGAGAGGGAGAAGCAAATTCCCCACTTAGCAGGGAGCCTATGTGGGGCTGGATCCCAGGACCTCAGGACCATGACCCAAACGGAGGGCAGACACTCAACTGACTGAATCACCCAGGCGCCTCTCCCCCAACACTTATATTACCTCCCAAAGGTGCCACATCCAATGTCATCACATTAGGGGGCAGTTAGGTTTGGATGGGGTCATGAGGGTGGAGCCTCTGTCATGAAATTAGTGGCCTTACAAGAAGAGGAAGAAAGACCATGGCTCACTCACTCTCTGCCATGTGAAGACACATGGACAAGGCAGCTGTCTGCAAGCCAGGAAGACGACTCTCCCTAGGGAACCCAATTGGCCAGCACTTGGCCAGGCTTGGACTTCTCAGCCCCCAGAACTGAGAAGTCGATTCCTGTTGTTTAAGCCACCCATTCTATGGCATTTTGTACTGGGAGACCAAATTGACTAATACAAAGATAAATAATATTTCATTAAAAAAAATTTTTTTTTAAGACAGTCTCTATACCCAGCATGGAGCCCGACGTGGGGCCGAACTCAGGACCCTGAGATCAAGACCAGAGCTGAGATCAAGAGTCGGATGCTCAACTGACTGAGCCACCCAGGCACCCCAAAAATAAGTAATATTTATATGCAATATATATTTCTATATATCCATGTATATGTATATATATCTAATTTTTATTTTATTTTAAAAATATTTTATTTAGGGCAGCCCGGGTGGCTCAGCGGTTTAGCGCCGCCTTCAGCCCAGGGCATGATCCTGGAGACCCGGGATTGAGTCCCATGTCGGGCTCCCTGCATGGAGCCTGCTTCTCCCTCTGCCTGTGTCTCTGCCTCTCTCTCTCTCCTCTCTGTGTTTCTCATGAATAAATAAATAAAATCTTTAAAAATATATATTTTATTTATTTATTTGACAGAGAGAGAGCACAAGCAGGGGAATGGCAGGCAGAGGGGGTAGGGGGAGAAGCAGACTCCCCACGGAGCAGGGAGCCCACTTGGGACCCGATTCCAGGACCTTGAGATCATGACCTGAGCTGAAAGCAGGCACTTAAATGACAGAGCCACCCAGGCGCCCCTATATAGATATATACATATTTTAAATCAAAAGGAATGCTAAATGTCCATGGCCAACAAAATGTCAACATTTTAAATAGAGACGGGCTCTAGCCCTGCACATGCGTGGCTGTTGTTCATTCACCTGGCCCTAATGTCCCCCTGCTTGTAGGCTCACATTCTGCAACCACAGAATGGGTCAGTGGTGCCTGCCCCTCCTCTGGGCCAACTACAGCAGTGAAACAGGAAGGTGAGTGGACTATGTACTTGAAGCTGTCCACATGGTTCTCCCTCTGCCTATGTCTCTGCCTCTCTCTGTGTGTCTCTCGTAAATAAATAAATAAAAATCTTAAAAAAAAAAAATAGGGACACCAGGGTGGCTCAGCAGTTGAGCATCAAATGCCTTTGGCTCAGGTCATGATCCCAGAGTCCTGGGGTTGAGTCCCACATCAGGCTCCCTGCGTGGAGCCTGCTTCTCCTCTGCCTGCGTCTCTGCCTCTCTCTGTGTGTCTCTCATGAATAATAAATAAAATCTTAAAAAAATAAATAAAAAATAAAGCTGTCCACATTGTGGAGAGAAATCACTAGTGGGAGCCTCTGAGGGCAATGGGCACACACTCCTCTTTACTCTGGCTCCTTATGAGTGATGTGCTTTCTCAATGGGGGATGGCTCTTCTCTTCCTCAAGACAAGTAAGATAGACAAAAAGGTTTTTGGGGTGCCTGGGGGGCTCAGTCGGTGAAGCATCTGCCTTTGGCTCAGGTCATGATCCCAGGGTCCTGGGATCAAGCCCCGCAGCACGCTCCCTGCTCCACAGAGAGCCTGCTTCTCCCTCTCCCTCTGCCTCTCCCCCTGGCTCATTCTCTCTCTCTCTCTCTCTCTAATAAATGAATAAAATCTTTAAAAAAAAAAGGTTTTCTACAAGCTCACGTAGGTTTCACTACACACTCAGACTTACTGACCTGATAGTTGTGTATTTGGCACAGAGCTGGGCACAGCAGAGGATTCTGAAGAGCCCAGGACACTACTCTACCCCACAACTGTTGGATCAGGGAAGATTCTGGTATGTGCTGGAATAAACCTCCTGGAGCCTGTTCTTCTACCGGGTTATCTCAGTTTAAAGAACCACCAACCCTACGAGCTCTGTTCAGTCTGCTGAAACAAAGCAGATTTGCCAACATCCAATTTTCCCTACAGAGGAAAGGCTGGCGGCTTTCTCACACTTCCTCTAAGAAGCCTGCTTCCCCCAACCCAGCGCAAATGCTTCAGTGGGTGTTAAAATCGTGGTATGACACTCTGGAGACACAGGACAGAAATGGGAATTAACCTTGAGGCTTCTTCACTTGCTTCCAGGTTCCCAAGCCCTGATTTCTTAAAAGAAACAAGTCTTCTTGGCTTTTTACAAATAGCATCAACATCCCAAGTTCGGGGCCCTCCTGGGAGGCCTTCCTGTCTTTCACTCCACCTCACTGCGCCACTGCGGCATGTGGCCTTACGGGCCTGGGCATGGTTGGCCAAGCAGGAGAGGAGGCGGAACACGGTTTGTGGGATGTGTCCTGCCTCTGGCCATCCTGCAGCGAGGGCTGCTGGGTGCCTGGCCCCGAGCCCACGAGGCTTACGCAGTGCCTGGACTTTGGGAATCCCCCTGAGAGCCTGCTCCCGCCCCCGGGGCATTCTGAATCACTGCCACGTGCCAAAGTCCACCCACGACATCCATGGAGAGGGCCCCCAGTACCCTCGTCTCCTATGTGTGAGTAGGTCCTCAGGGCCTCTTCGGCTCCCCGTCGGATGACCCATCTGCTGGGGCTGTACTGATCCTCCAGCTCCTACAGAACATAGACAGAAGGTTGCATAAGACCTTTCTTCTCCGGGATCCCTGGGTGGCGCAGTGGTTTGGCGCCTGCCTTTGGCCAGGGCGATCCTGGGCCCGATCGAATCCACATCGGGCTCCTGGTGCATGGAATCTGCTTCTCCCTCTGCCTGTGTCTCTGACTCTCTCTCTCTCTGTGTGGCTATCATAAATAAATAAAGAAAAAAAATATTAAAAAAAAAAGACCTTTCTTCTCCACAGCATACCCCACCCCTCCAAACATCTGGATGCTCCTCTCTGCCTTGAGAAGCCCCCTCCCCAATAGCTCAGGCTCTACAGATGCCCTCAGCGTCCTTTGAGCCCCTCCAAGCTCCAGCCTGATCACCCGCACCCCACTCTCCTCCCACACCGATTAATTAGGTACATCACATACATCGCAGGTGCTCCCAGAGTCGTGGTCTAGAGTGAGGCCATGCCTTAAACTAGTGGACAGCCTTAAAGGGGAGATGAAGTCCCATAAATGTGTCCTGGTTAAGCCACCGTGGGCACCAGTCCTACTGCAGGAAGCCGGGAAGCTGGGGTGGTCACTGCAGAGAAAGTGACATGGAGCTGATCTTTTCTGAGTGCATGATTTTTTTTTTTAAAGATTTTATTCATTTATTTTGAGAGAGAGAGAGAGGGAGACCACCTGAGCAGGGGAAGGGGCAAAGGGAAAGGGAGAGAACTCCAGCAGATCCCCCGCAGTCAGTGTGGAGTTGGACACGGGGCTGGAACCGATGATCCTGAGATCATGACCTAAGTTGAAATCAAGGGTCAGGCGCTCAACAACTGAGCCCCTCAGGTGCCCATGAGAGGGTGGGATTCTGATTGCAGGAGTCACAGCAAAGCAACAAAGGTCAGGAGAGAGGAATCAAAGGTCAGTTTGGAAATGCTGGTGAGTCAGACCATGGAGACACAGAGGTGAGGTGGAAGGAGGGACTATGGGGAGAGGATCTCAGAGGTCAGGCTAAGACACAGAATTAATGCAGAGAGTAGCAAGGAACCAGGTTTTGGAGAAAGAGCTCAAAGGCAAGGAGAAAGAGCGAAGCCTAAAATGGGAAATTTTAAGACGGGGTGGCTTCATGGCAGGGTCCTGGGCTCTGGTGTCAGATGGGTTGAGTGCCATCCATGCTCTATCCCTTACAGGCTGTTTTACCCTGGGCAGCTTACTTAACGCTCTCTGGGCCTCAGCCCCATCTATATAATGGGCATAATAGTAGCATCACAGGGTTGAAGGACATAAAGCATGTAAATGAAGTAAAACTAACCATTCAAATGTGGGTTACGGCCCCCTCCCGTTGAACGAGGTGTTTGACCAGCGTTCTTTGATCCTGCACAATCTGTGCCTGCGGCACACAGCGGCACTCGCTGTCACTGCTACCGTCATCTTCCCTGTCGTTATGTACAATAACAATAATGCAACGGGTTTCTGACACAGAGAGAGAACGGGGTTTTCTTGGGGGGGGGGGCGTGGGCAGAATGCATAACTTACCAGATCCTCCCATGTATCCGTGACCGGAAAACAAATAAACCAACCCAAACCAACCCAAAATACAGCCTGAAATGCAGGGAAACTAGTTAGGAAATCCTAGTTGAGTGATAACCCTAGTAAGTGCTTTGCCTGTCAGAATCCTTCACCCCCGGCACATCCTCCATCCACGTTGTGGGACCTCAGTGTCGGGAACCGTGACTCCTTTATGGACATTAGCACAGCCTGTTTTCTCCACCCTGAAGACAGGCGCCCCGGAGCCTGCCTGTGGCCAGAAGCAAAGGAGATGCCGGCGCGAGGGCTTTGGGAGCGGCGCACAGGGGCCGCCGGCGCCCTGGGGTCCTGGGCTCGGGGTCTCTAAGCTCGCCTCCCCGAGGGGAACGGCCTCTAGGCCCCGCGCCCGGCTCGGCGCAACCCGCCTACCTCCTCGGACAGCCGCTTCCAGGGCTCCGGGCCCTCCATCCCGCCGCAGCCGGCCAGAGGGCGCGCTCCGGCCCTTTCGAGGCCCTTTCGAGGCGGCGGCCGGGGCGGGGCCGGCCGTCCAGGTGACCCGAGCCCGCCGGGTCCCCGGGGCCGCCCACGAGGGGCGGGCCGCGCTCGAATCTCCCGCCAGTCCGCGGCCGCGCGCTGATTGGCTGCGGGGCGCCCGCGCCGGCTCCCGATTGGCCAGCGCGCCCGGGATAAAGGCGGGCGGCGGGGGCACCCGGGTCAGGCTGCTGGGCGGTGGCACCCGAGGGCCCCGAGCGGCGGGCTTCCTGCAGGCGCCATGAGCTGCATCAACCTGCCCACCGTGCTGCCCGGCTCCCCCAGCAAGATCCGGGGGCAGATCCAGGTGCCGGCGCGGGGGTGGCACCCGGCGGGCGCGGGTGGCGGGCCGGGGTCGCGACCCGGGTGCGGGTTGGGGTTGGGGTTGGGGTTGGGTTGGGTTGGGGTTGTGGCCCTGGCCTGCCGTCCGTGCGCAGCGGGCCCCGAAGTGACCTCTCCTTCTCTCCTAGGTGATTCTAGGACCCATGTTCTCAGGAAAAAGGTAAATAAGTAATGTCCTCGCGGGGACGGCCTTCTCCCCCCTCCGCTCCGGGCCGTCCTCCTCCCCTGCTGCCCCTCTCAGTGCCCCCCTGCAGGACGACCCCTCCCCCCGACCGAGCACGGCTTCCCGCCCCATGCGGTCCTGCAGGAGGGCACCCCATCCCTGCCCGCGGGGTTCAGACCCTTCCATGGGGTCATGGCACCACCGCGGCCCCCTGCAGCGGGTTATGGCTGCTGAGGGTGTAGTCCTCCCTCCCCCCACCCTCCCACTAAAGCTCTCTTGGAAAGGGGCAGCCAAGTCTTTTCGGTTTTTTTCTTTTTTTTCAATTTAAAATTTTAATTCCTCTAAAATGGTGTCCTCGGTGAGTTGGGTCCTGTGCACCCTGCAGCATCCACACTCCTCCTTCCCTTCCGAGTGTTTGTTTCCTTAAGTAGTTTACACTCTAAGGAGTCAGGCCAGGATGCCTTTGCTCCCCTGATGTGACAGGACGGTGGCCTGATCCAGGCAGGGCTAGTCGGCCCCCTGAGTGATGCCCTCTGCCCTGGGGGGGTCACTGCAGGGCAAACCTGGTGCCCACCATGGTCAGGCCAGGGTGGGCTCTGGGAACCAGAGGTAACTGCTTTTTTTTCTTGAACAACAACAGAAGACTCTGCGAAGTCAATGCAGACTATGTGAAGACCTCTGGGATGGGACTCTTTGGGGATGCAATCCAGACCCCTCTTCTCTGCCGGAGGCCTTTGACTCTACTCACCCCATCAGATCCCTGAGACATTTATTCCCCCACCCCCTCCCCAGAGCACCTGACCTCTGTTCCTTGCCGCCACCACCCTCTGTCCTCCCTGGTCTTTCTGTCCATCGGTGGGTCTCAGGCTGTAGACCCCCAGCAGGGGTGGGGGGGAGCCCCACTTGTACTGATGGGGACTTCCTTAACATCCTGGGTCTCACCTAGTGCTCTGCTCTTGCAGTACCGAGCTGATGAGAAGGGTCCGTCGCTTCCAGATTGCCCAGTACAAGTGCTTGGTGATCAAGTATGCCAAAGACACGCGGTACAGCAACAGCTTCTCCACGCATGACCGGTCAGTCCCTGTTCTCTCCTGTCCTGTCCCAGCACCTCCTCCGAAACCTGGTGAAAATGCGCAAGGGCATAGGCCATACTGTCCGAGCGCTCTTCAGCAGGACTGGTTAGCCATGCCGATGGCCGGCATGGAAACGCGCAACTCCGCAAACTCTCAAGGTCGCATGGCAAGGGATCTTAGGACTTGGCCTTTCACAGAGTTCTGGCCCGGTGTTCTTCACCAAGGGAGATTTTGTTCCCCCTCTCGCTCCCCCAGAGTCCATTTGGCAATGTCTGGAGACATTTGTAGTCTTCACAGCTGGAGTAGGGGAGGGCATGCTATGGGCATCCAGTGGGGAGAGGCCAGGGATGCTCCTGAATTCCCAGTGCACAGGACGGCCCCCACAACAAATACTGACCCTGCCCTGATGGTCCATAGTGCGGAGCTTACATCTGTGCGGTTGCAAACTGGTTTTGTTTAGCGTGCATGTTGCTTTTCATTTAGCTTTTCAGTTGTTTTATCTTGGTTGACTCTGTTGTCTTGTGCCCTCATGCTTCCCAGTTTTGTGTTTATCTGCCTGTGCCCTGCAGACATTTCAGTCTGCAACCTGAGGTCGGGAATGAGGGGTTAAGTTTAGTTTTACTCTTGCCTGTTCCTTGGCTGCAGATTTCTGAGCCTGAGCTGTTACCTCCGTCTTTTGGATTTGTCCGCCCGCGCCACCAGCAGCAGAGCCACTCTGTGCCACAGGGAGGGCCTGCAGCCTCAGGACTGCCCCGTGTGTGGCTTTGGGGTGGGAATGTGGGGTTTCTGAAACCGGGCGGGTGGTGTGGTGGATAGTGTCTAGGAATTGGAGTTAAAGCATCAGGATGTGAGTGACCGGTGCTTCCGGCCGTGCTGCCCTATGCAGGTCATTTAGGTCTTCCAGTTACTTCTTCCCTAAAACATGTGTCTGCTTCTGCTGCACTGGCCAGGGGCACATCCAGGGAGGGCAGTGCGAGCAGAGGAGGCCGCATTGCACAGTGATAAATCAGATCAGGGGCATGTCTGAACTTGGCCCGGAGCCGCACACATGCCCTCTCACTTGGGCCACAGAAGCTGAGACGGGCCATGGCGGTGACTCAGCCCTTGGCGGGAGTGACAGGGCTCCAGAGATGCTGCCCTCGCCCACCCTCTGGTTTTCTCTGGCTTGGGGTGGGAAAGGGGAATTTAAAATACAGGAAATACTATCTCCTGCTCTTGCCAGATCTTGGAGTAGAGTTATAGCAAGATAATAACTGAGCAGTGGTTGTATTTTATTTTTTCTAAATACAGCTACAGGCTGCTGAGCCGTTGGAAAGTACCAGCCCCCAGGGGTACCTGGGTGGCTCAGTTGGTTAAATGTCTGCTTTTGGCTCAGATCGTGATCCCAGGGTCTTGGCATCGAGCCTCCATTTAGGGAGGAGACTGCTTCTCCCTCTCCCTCTGCCCCTCCTCCTGCTCTCGTTGCACGTGCTCTCTATTTTATTTTATTTTTTTTAAGATTTTATTTGTTTATTCACGAGAGGCACAGAGAGAGAGAGGCAGAGACACAGGCAGAGGGAGAAGCAGGCTCCATGCAGGGAGCCCGACGCGGGACTCGATCCCAGGTCTCCAGCATCACGCCCTGGGCCAAAGGCAGGCGCCAAACCAGTGAGCCACCCAGGGCCTCCCCTCTCTCTTTCAATTAAATAAATAAAATCTTTAAAAAGGGGCAGGGGAGTACAAGCCCCTCAGAAGGCTAGTTAGAGCAGGAAAAATGAACACAGAAGAAAACAACATTGTAGAAAAACACAGAGACTATTTAAAAAGACGGGGGAGAGAGAACAGCATCCCTGTTCAGAAAAGGCCCTGGGTGTGGGGGCGGGGTGGGGTCCACCGTGCCGCGTAATGCACTGGAACCTTCCCACACATGGCCTTTTGCTTTCAAGCCCTTGTGAATATGACTCTCCCCGTGGGGCGCACAGGGCAGCACTATGACCTTGGATTTGAACCTTGGGTCTGCCAGTTAATAGCCCCACGATCTTGGAAGAATCCTCCGCTCGGCCACAGGAGCCCAACGGAGGGAATTCTCTGGCGCTGCGGGCTGAAGTTCAGGCTTCTCTCTGCGGGGACACACGGAGCTCGGGGCCTGGTGCTAAGGCTTTGCCCAGGACCACGTTGGACTTTCCCCGAGCAACTTTACCTTTGTGTGCCCCTTCCTCCATAAAAAGAAAGAAGTGAAAAATTGTATCTCATGACCGCGTTGATAATAAAGACAGCTAGAGTGCAGGCTGAGTTGTATTTACATACTCTTTTTCCCACTTTTAAGAGAAAGAAAGCGTTTCGCCTGCCCTGGCCCCCTGAACAGAAGCAGAGCTTTTGAGTCCCCGTTAAGCTTTATATCACGCATTGCTCATCTCTGGTCCAGAGCATCAAGTGGCCTAACTTGTGTTGAATAACTGGTTTTCTGAACATGGGTCTTTATTCTCCCCAGATGCCCTCTCACAGGCACTAACTTCAAGCTCTGGCCAAACGGTGCACGTGCTTTGCGGGGAGGGTGGGCCTGGGAGCCGGTCCCTGGCTCACCACTGGCTTTCTCTCCCCAGGAACACCATGGAGGCACTGCCAGCCTGCCTGCTCCGGGACGTGGCCCAGGAGGCCCTGGGCGTGGCTGTCATAGGCATCGACGAAGGGCAGTTCGTAAGTTGGCTTGTCTGGCCTTCTGCCTACCGACTCCCGGTCTGTAGTTCACTTGCTTTAACTGGCGTCTGAATACCCTCTGGATTCCCCGTACTGCTTTTCATGTTTTAAGGGATTTATTTTACCTTTTTAAAAAAAATATATATATATACAATAAGAAGAGGGGTGGGGCGGGGTGCCTGGGTGGCTTAATCAATTGAGCCTCTGACTCTTGATTTCATTGCAGGTCATGATCTTAGGGTCGTGAGATGGAGCCTCCCATTGGGCTCCATGCTGGGCATGAGGCCTGCTTAAGATTCTCTCTCCCTCCCCTCTCCCCTAAAAAAAGAATATGTAATATATTTTAGATATATATATATTTATATTTACAATGAGGGGAAAAAATTAGGTTTCTTGGGGTGCCTGGCTGGCTCAGTCCATAGAGCATATGACTCTTGATCTCGGGGCCATGAGTTCAAGCCAGTTTCTCAACACTGGTGTGTAAGAATGTTTTGCTTGGCTCACTGTTGCTTCTGGCTTGTTCCTCTTCCAGCTGAAGTACATCCTTTAGTAATTCTTACAGCTAGGATGTGTTGGTGGGAAGCTTTCTGCGTCTTGGTAGGAAAATGTCTTTAATGTTCTCTACGGTAAGTAGAGGGCAAAGAGTACCTTGACTATGGTTTCTCCCCGTTGCTTTGGAAAAGCAGTAGCTCTTCCTGCAGCTGAGGAGAAGGCCGCTGTTGGTCTGTGGCTGCCGGCCTGAGCAGGTAACAGGTAACGGGTTTGCTCTCGGGAAAGTGTGTCCTGGGAGGTTCTATGCTTGGTGCCTGGTGTGCCTTTGACATGTGAGCACTCGTGTCCCCATTCCTGGTGGGGAGAAGGAAGCCACTATCACTCTGAATCTCTCTTCCCACCTCTGGCAGGTGTTCTGGGACCATCTCCCAGTGTGTGTGCTTTCAAAGCCTGCTTTTTATTTGGGATTTCCAGTTCTTTTTGTGTAAGTCCTGCTCTAATTCACATATCCTTGCTATTTACACATGTACCATTTGTCTTTATTTATTCATGAGAGACACAGACTGAGAGAGAGAGAGAGAGGCAGAGACACAGGCAGAGGGAGAAGCAGGGAGCCCGATGTGGGACTTGATCCCAGATCCCGGGGTCACGACCTGAGCCGAAGGCAGGCACCCAACCACTGAGCCACCTAGGTGTTCCATTCATTCATTTTTTAAAGATTTTATTTATTTATTCATGAGAGACACAGAAAGAGAGAGGCAGAGACATAGGCAGAGGGAGAAGCAGGCTCCCCTTGGGGAGCCTGATGTGGGACTCGATCCCAGGACTCCAGGATCACAACCTGAGCCAAAGGCATCTGATGCTCAACCGCTGGGCCACCCAGGTGCCCCTGTACCATTTGTTTTAACTGCTGCTGTTCCCTTGTCTTTCTGAAAATCGTGCGTGAAAGCCTTTCCTGGCTCACTCTTTTCCAAGTCAGTGATGGGGAGGCTTGCTGTTGGCTTCTCAGGTTGCCCTGGGAGGGCGCATCAAGAGAACGGAATTGGGAAAGCGTTAGGGGTCCCTGGTGCGGGGTGGCATATCTAGAGGTTGCATGTGTGGCCTCTACTGACCTTCTGCCACTGGAATTTGGGCACCTGGTCCCCTTTACTGTTTTTCACCCCACCTCTTTTTTTTTTTTTTTAAGAATGTATTTATTTATTTATTTATTTATTTATTTATTTATTTGAGGGACAGGAGGGGGGAGAGGGAGAAGCAGGCTCCCCACTGAGTAGGGAGCCAGACACAGGGCTGGATGCCAGGACCCTGAGATATCATGACGTGAGCTAAAGACAGACACTTAACCCCGTGAGCCACCCAGGGTCCCTGTGCCCTGAAATTCTTTTGTGTGTGTGTGTTTGGTGAGTGGTTAGTGATTGCTGCAGGAAGAATCCATCTTGGGAACCGGGGGGCATCTATCCCACTGAGGGACTGGAGAGGGCTTGGTTATTAGGACTAGGGCTTGTAGGGGTCATTCTGGACAGTGTTTTAGGAGGTTAGCTTAGTTCTCAATTCAACGCCCTCAGGAAGGAGGGTTCCTGACCAGGATCCTAAACCTTCTTGCTAGGGAGGGGGAACCATGAGGCTGAAGTGGAGTCGATAAAGCAGCAGCAGCAGTCACTCCTGTTGGCCAGGACAGGGGAATGTTTGGTCCCTTGTAGCTTATTGAGTGTTCACGTCTGTCTGCGCTCATACGGGACTATGGAGGGTCTTGTTTTTGTCTTGACACATTGCAGTCATAGAGTGGCCTTGCCTGATGCTCGTGCTCCATGAAATTAGTTATGTTCCACGTGATAACTCCAGGGCCCAGCTGTGAGGGCCAGGCCAGCTCCTGCTGCTGGGCTGCTGTTCTCTTTTTACAACCCAGAACAACAAACAAAGCCCCATTACACGTTGGTTCTACATCTGTCTAGTTTTTATAGGCGTGCATTTTTATTTATTTATTTATTTTTTATTTTTTTTTAAAGATTTTATTTATTTATTCATGAGAGACACAGAGAAAGAGAGAGGCAGAGACACAGGCAGAGGGAGAAGCAGGCTCCATGCAGGGAGCCCGACGTGGGACTCGATCCCGGGACTGCAGGATCACACCATGAGCCCAAGGCAGGCGCTAAACCGCTGAGCCACCCAGGGATCCCCTGAGCCCCCCAGGGATCCCCGGCGTGCATTTTTAAATAGAGGGGCCTCCTATCACACTGTGGGCCGTTTACCCGTATCAGCAAGTGTACCCATCCTTACGAGTGCTTACAAATGTACTACCTCACTTATGCCAGCCCCCTGGCATGTGCCTTTGAAGTCTGTGATGGGCATCTTGGGCTGCTGGCTGGTGTATTGGGATTTATCTGCTAAGTGGAATTGCTGGTCAAGGGGCCAATTTCATTCATTCATTCATTCATTCATTCATCAATGCTTTCTGGGCTTGTGCCCCACACCAGCTGTGTTCTCAGGGTTGGGGATTCAGCCAGAGTCTCCACCCCCGAGCCTACCTTCTAGTCCAGGGAGAGAACGATGTCCTAGGTCAGGTGGAGACAACTGGCCTGAAAGGCAATGCCAGGGGGACAGAGCTAAGGTGGGGTGGCTAGGAAGGGGCCTGTGGGAGAGCCAGGGAGTGAGCTGTTGGCCGGCTGTGTCTGCGGTAGGAGGGAGGTGGGTGGGCTCCGGGCAGGCTGAGTGGAGAGTGGACAGCAGGCGCAGAGGACAGGGCGGTGGGACCGCTGAGCCTTTGCAGAGATTCCCTAGGAGAGAGGTGTAAAGGGCAAATGGCAGAGGGTGCGTGTTTGTGCACCAATGCGTGCACACCCATGCCCGCACACCCTTTTCTACTGCATTTCTCTGCTACAGAGAAATTACTGCTACTGCTACTTGACATCTGTTTCCATGTTTATTGGCTATTTATATTTCTTTCTCTCTTTTAAATTGCCTTGTAAGGGCTTTCACTCCTTTTTCTCTTGGTTTATCTTTCTTCCAGTGCACTTGATGGCTGGTGTCACTTTGTCATGTGCTGTGACATCCTCCCTATTGGCCTTTGAATTCTGTCTGTGGCATTTCATGTAGTGTTTCACCATCCACAGCTGAATATTTTACTTTGTCCGTCCTTTATTACTGTCCTTTGTGGCCTTTGCCCCTGTGAGGCCGGCGTGCCTGCCAGGGAGCGAGGCCCCAGCGGGGGCAGAGCCAGGGGTCACTCGGCTGCGCGTCACAAGCCAGCCAGCTCTTGGCAGAAAGATGACGGAGGTGCAAATCCACTCGGAGTCTTCCTAATCTCTACTCTGGGCTCTGGGCTCTGTCCCCTCCATCAAAACTCCTTTAGGAAGCGGGCTTGCTGCCGGTCACCCGGAGGTGTGGCATGGGCAGCTGGACACGAGTGGGCACACTTGCCACCAGCTGAGAACCCTCTGCTGGTACTTTCCTACACGGATCCCATGTTGTAACTGTGTCTGCCAGGAAATCCCAAAGTTTGTAAAGTGCTTAGAAGTTCTATTATGTTTTTTATTTATTTAGTTTAAACATTTCGTTAATTTATTTGAGAGGGAGTGAGAGAGATCACAGAGGGCGAGGGAGAAGCAGACTCGCCACTGAGCAAGGAGCCCAACGCGGGACTCGATCCCAGGACCCCGGGATCATGACCTGAGCTGAAAGCAGACGCTTAACCTACTGAGCCACCCAGGCACCCTACTTATTTCTTAAGAGTTTTTATTTATTTAAGTAATCTCTTTACCCAACGTGGCGCTCAAACTCACACCCTGAGATCAAAAGTGGCGCTCTTCTGACTGAGCCAGCTGGGCACCCTGAGGTTCTAGTTTACTTTATGTTCTTTTCTTTTCTTTTTTAAAGATTTTTTTTTTTAAGTTTTTATTTATTTATGATAGTCACACAGAGAGAGAGAGAGGCAGAGAAAGAAGCAGGCTCCATGCACCAGCAGCCCGACGTGGGATTTGACCCCGGGTCTCCAGGATCGCGCCCTGGGCCAAAGGCAGGCGCCAAACTGCTGCGCCACCCAGGGATCCCCCACTTTATGTTCTTTTAAAGATTGTATTTCCTTATTTGAGAGAGTGGGAGGGAGTGGGGGGAGGGGCAGAGGAGAAGGGAAGCCAACTCTCTGCTGAGCATTTCCCCACCCGGAGATCATGACCTGAGCCAAAACTAAGAGTTGGAGTTTAACAGACCCCACTCCCCAGAGGCCCCGCTGAAGTTCTATTTTAAGTGCAACCTGTATTCCTTGCCTAGGGCTGCTGTAACAAGTGGCACCAAGCAGACAGCTTACACAGCAGCAACTGATTCTCTCCCAATTCTCGAGGCTGGAAGCCCAAAGTCAGGGTGTGGACAGCAGGCTCGTTTCCTTGTGAGGGCTGGGATGGGAATAGTCCAGGCCTCTGGCCTTGGCTTGTAGATGGCCATCTTCCCTCTGTGTCTCTGTCCAAGTGCCCCTTTCTCGTAAGGACAGCAGTCCTATTGAATTGGCGCTCACCTTGCTGACCTTACTTTAATTGGGTGGCATTTGCAAAGACCCTTCCTCCGAATGAGGTCAGATGCTGAGGTATTGGGGGTGAGGGTTTCAATGTGAATTTGGAGGGCGGGAGGGGACACAGGTCAACCCATAATATAACATAAAAACTAACAGCAATAAAAATAAATGCCAGTAACGTGCTTCCCAGCGAGTGTTGTGAAGTGTTGCCGGCCATCTGCACAGAGCTGTCCTTATCTTTGAGACCTTGGGAACGCCTGCTGGGGACTGTTTCCCAGGGAGGTGGCACGTGAACAGGAGACGAAGTGAGATCTTTGAATGTCAGCATCAGTTGCGTGTGGGACCATGCTAGCATGGGGGGTGGGGCGGGGGGTGCTTCTGTAGCTTGGGTCTGGCCAGCCCTACAGAGGGTAGTCGGAGTTGGCTTCGTCTGAATCCTACTCAAATCACTCTTGGTTTTCCTAGCCACCTTCACGGTCCTTGTCTTTGCTAACTGTCCAGGTCTCTGTAACCTCACACCCCAGTAAGTGGGCCAGGTCGGGCCTGAACGGCGTGGGGAGAGGCCCACTGCCCCAAGACAAGAACGTGCCCGTTCACACAACCCAAAGAGCAATCCAGATAGACACAGTCCACCGGAGGCAGTATGCTTGCACAGTGAAAACCCAAAGGATCTGCACAAGTAGCAGCCTCACTGGCCCCTCAGGACGACAGCTGGTTTACCAAGTAAACACAGGGCCTGCTGTGTAAATAGCTGGCGGAACCTTGACCCCTCTCAGGCATCAAGTGACACGTTATCTGTTCACTATTTGAGGGCCCGAGATCTGTGAGCAATACCGGGAGCCTTCCTTGCCATTTCTTCAGCTCAGAAACATGAAGTCATGGCCAAGGTCACACATGGGTCCAACCAGAGCAGGGTTTAAGGCAGGCAGCCTTCCAGCCTGAGCCTTTGGCCACCACGGTATTAGACTGCCTCCAGCTGGGCTGCATCACCTAGGGACAGGTCCCATGTGCTGGGGCCTGGAGCGTACCAGTTCTGTCGTGGAGAGCACGGGGCTGGTTGTGGGTGTGCGTGGCTGTGTGGAGTGAGGGTGAGCACAGAGACACTTGTCTCCTGGTCTGGGGTGCTGGCTGGGGGCTGGGGTCACCCTGTTCTCATGCTCCACACTGGTGGGTGACACTGTCCCTCCGTGGTCCCCGGAAGCTGCTGAAGCTCGCTGCCATCCCGCCCCCTTCCAGTTCCCAGACATCGTGGAGTTCAGTGAGACTATGGCCAACGCCGGGAAGACCGTGATCGTGGCCGCATTGGATGGGACCTTCCAGAGGAAGGTGAGGGGTCTGAGCTGGGCCTTGGGAAGCTATCGGGAGGGAGGGGGCGAGGGGTGGGGCAGGAACAGGGTCTCCTCTCTCAGCGCAGTGCTCCCTGGATGACTGGGGCTTGGCCCTTGGGCACACGTTCAGCCGGGGGTGCCTCAGCCTGGGCACTCAGATGAGTCCATCCCAGACCGGATGCTGTCTGCTGCAGGGGATGGCACTCTGGGGAAAGCAAGGCGAGCCAAGGTTTCCGTGCCTCCTGCTCTGAGTCCAAGGATTTCAAGGAAAACCCACCTGGCCAGGTAGATGTGCTCACCTGCTGTCTTCCCCGGGGAGTGCAGGCATTCGGGACCATCCTGAACCTGGTGCCGCTGGCCGAGAGCGTCGTGAAGCTGACAGCCGTGTGCATGGAGTGTTTCCGCGAGGCGGCCTACACCAAGCGACTCGGCTCGGAGAAGGAGGTAGCCTCCCCTGCCTGCCCCTGCCTGCTGGGGGGGGGGGGGGGGGCGCTGTGCCGCCGCTCCCCCCACCCCTGCTCAGTGCAGGCCCTTTCTGTCCTGGGGCCAGGTCGAGGTGATCGGAGGAGCAGACAAATACCACTCCGTGTGCCGCCTCTGCTACTTCAAGAAGGCGTCGGGCCCGCCCGCGGGGCTGGACAGCAGGGAGAACAAGGAGAACGTGCCAGTGCTGGTGCCCAGAAAGCCCGGGGAGGGCAAGGAGGCCGGAGTCCGCAAGCTATTTGCTCCCCAGCACGTCCTGCAGTGCAGCCCCGCCAACTGAGGCGGCCCCTGCTGGATTCCGGTGCCCCTGCCCCTGCCCCCTGCCGCCGGTGCAGCCCTCCCAGAGGCACAGGGGGAGGAGCGGGGATGGAGAGGAAGGGGGGGGACTTTGTGCCTCCAGCCGCGCAAGTCCCGGTGGCGGTGGCCCCGGTTCCCCTTCTCTGTTCCTTTCCCGGCTGCCGGTCGCTCTCTAGCTCAGTGTCTGGCCGAGCTCAGGGTCTGGCCGCAGACGGGGCCCCCCGCCCTCCTGGGGGGTGCGGGGCACAACCACACACTGACGACGTGGCGGGGCTTCCGTGGCTTCTTCCCCTTTGTGGCCTTGGCTGTTGAGTTTCTGTTCCCACTGGGAAGTCCGGGCGCCTGCACTTCCAGCTCCACACCAGGCTCGTCCCACGCCAAGGCTTCTGTCCCCGCCGGCGGGGACCACTTCTGGCCCCCAGGGTGGCCCGACTTGTGCCCTCCGGCTGCCCCCAGGGCCCTGCCTACACTCTGATCACCTCCAGGGTTACAGCTTCTCTCTCACCTGGGAGACACCCTGCTGGGGCTCAGGTCCCCCGGGGTTACCTTTAAAACGGGGGAGGGGGTTAGGGGCAGAGGTGGCTTGCCCCGGGGTCTGTGATCCTGTTGTAGTTTGTGAATTAATAACTAATATTAAAACTTACTGATTGGCTAAGGTTTTATTTTTGGGGGACGCCTGGGTGGCTCAGCAGTTGAGCGTCTGCCTTCGGCCCAGGGCATGATTCCGGGGTCCTGGGATCAAGTCCTACATCCGGGGGTCCGTCTCTCATGAATAAATACATAAAATCTTTTTTTATGCATTTATTCATGAGAGGCAAAGACACAGGCAGAGGGAGAAACAGGCTCCACACAGGGAGCCTGACATGGGACTCGATCCTGGGTCTCCAGGATCACGCCCTGGGCTGAAGGTGGCACTAAACCGCTGAGCCACCTACCTGGGCTGCCCTAAGATCTTAAAAAAGAAAAAAAAGATTTTTAAGAGAGCACAAGCTGGAGGAGGGACAGGCAGAGGGAGAAAAAGCAGGTTTCCCACTGAGCAGGGAGCCCGATCCCAGGCAGAAGTCAGACACTTAACCGAGCCACCCAGGTGCCCCAAAAGCACATGTCATTAACCGCCTGGGATGCCCCAGGTCTCCCTGTAGACAGCTCTGATGTGATACGGTGGGGATTTCCTTCCAGATCTTTTTCTAGTACTACTAGTCTCTTAGCCACAACAGTTTAACTGAGAAGCGACCACGAAGCGCGTCCTAGGAAGAATGTTTGCTTGCTCTTCTGTCTGGATGAGTTTCAGGACAAGATGGGTGGACGGAGGAGCCTGGGGCCCAGGACAGAAAGACAAGGCTGTGGTCAGGGCTGCCAGCTGGGGTGTGGGGTCAGGTTTTGTTTGTGAAACGACACTCGATAGCCCGGGAGCCCAGAAGACTAGCTCAGCTGTACCTTGTAAAGTGGGCCGTCAGCGGCTTGCATAGAAGCAAGAACCCGCTGGGGTGGGCAAGCCCCTGTCCCCACCCTGGTGCAGGTGGGAGTGAGGTTCTGGGGTCAGTCACCCTGGCTTGCCTCTCCCTTTTGGTCTACTCTAGCTTGCTGGTGACTGGTCCTGAGTCACACTGAGGTGTTCACAGAACCATATTCGTTGGTTCTCAGGATTTTTTTTTTTTTCATGGAACCCACTCACGTAGAGTGGAGTGAACTTTATTATTTTTTTTTATTGGTTCTCAGGATTTTCTTTTTTTTTTTTTTTTTTTTTTTTTAAATATATTTTTTTAATTTTATTTATTTATGATAGTCACAGAGAGAGAGAGAGAGAGAGAGAGGCAGAGACACAGGCAGAGGGAGAAACAGGCTCCATGCACCGGGAGCCCGACGTGGGATTCGATCCCCGGTCTCCAGGATCGCGCCCTGGGCCAAAGGCAGGCGCCAAACCGCTGCGCCACCCAGGGATCCCAGTTCTCAGGATTTTCAAACAGGCCCACTCTTGACAGTTCTTGTTGTCACTGCTCCAAAAGGGAATTGAGGGGTTTCAGGGGCCCTGACCTCTCCTGTCAGAGATAGACTCGCTCCCTTGGGGCCGGCCATCCCGGGACAGGCTCCAGAGGTGCCAGCCTCTGTCTGCAGGAAGGGAGGACCAGCCCTTGCTGGGGGACTGCTCACTCGGCTAGAAGGGGTTGGGAAGCAAAGGGTTAGCAGGGGAGGGGCAGCCAGTGGGTCAGCTCCCAGGTGCCCCCAGCCCAACTCCAGCCAGGGCACAGCAGGGCCTTGGCAAGGCAGTCCAGAAGAACTGTCTTGTTTACAGGCTGAGTACAGCTGCTATTTTAAGATGCCGTTGGACAGCAGTGTGAGGAATGAGACCCCAGATGAGGGAGCGTGCGCACACGCATGCGCTAGAGCAGCACACTGCTGCCCACTGTTCAAAATGCAAGTTCATAAAGCACCCCCTCCCAGGGTGTACCCCAGAGTGGGACGTCTCTTCCACCCCCAGGCTGAGGCCCAACTAATGACAAGGGAGATTATGAACAAGAAAAACATTTATTCTGTCTTGGAAGCAGTCTACGAGAACCAGAACCACGGATCTGTGCATCTCACCCCGGAGCCTTTATAATACATTCAGGACAGCCCGGGGCTGTGGGCGCACCCCACACCTGACAGTGGCCGAATATTTACATAAAGCTGGGTGTTTCCGGTCAGGCAAAGCCCTTCCCTGTTGCCAAGGGCGGGAACGAGGAGAAGGGCGTGCAGCCCCAGTCCCGTCCCCTCCCCCTGCGGCGGGCAGCCGCCAAGCCCCGAGGCTGTCAGGCAACCCGCCCGGAGGCCCTGGCACAGAGCAGGGACCCTCGATCCGAGAGCGAGCAGACGTGACAGCAGCGAGCACAGGGCTGCCAGCTTCCGGCGCACGCAGGGGCTGCGGGCACGACGGCGCCGGGAGGTGGGAACCAAACCTGAGTGAGCGGGAAAGGGCGCCCGGGCCCAGCACCAGCAGGCGAGCCCAGGGAAGGCTCCGAGGCTCATCTTTGGCACAGAAGCCCAAGTAACTGCGGCCACCACAGTCTGGACCTGGGCCCGGCTCCCTTGGGCTGGGGAGAAGCTAAGGCACTTGCCAAAACAGCAGGTCGGGCACTTCTAGCTACTTCGGGTAGCGCTGGGGATTATTAAAAGCAACGACAAAACACATCTGGCTAAAAACCCTTTTCTAAAAAATGCCCTTGAGGAGTGGTGGCTGAAGCCCGGGGGCGGAGGCGCTGCCCCACCGGCAGCCGGGCCGGGAGGCTGGGGCTCCAGGCTGCGCGGCGGCTCCTCCGACGGGCGCCCCAGGCACCCGACAGGGTGAGGGGCCACAGCCCCGGGAGGCTCGGCTCGGCTCGTGGGAGGAGTCCAGGAGGGGGAGGCCCCCCGACACCCTCTCTGCCTCCCTTACCATCCCCGGCTGCAGCTCAGTACACAGGGGGCGGCTGGTAGCCCTCAGTGGTCTCGGCATTCTGGGTGAAGGGCGGCTGTTGGTAGTTGTCTACAGACGCACCGGGGTAGGAGGCGTAGGCCGTGCTGGGGTCAGGAGTGGGGTCTACGTAGTTCTGGATGAAGTCGTCCACTCCCGCCTTGTAGCGCTGGTAGGCCAGGGAGGCCAGCGCACCCTGCGGGGAGCCCCGAGTTTTGGGTTCCTCAGCCTCCACCACCCTTCTCCAAAGTCACTGCAACCCTGCCCGCCCCGGCCCACCTACCCAGGAGAAGATGGAGAAGAAGCTGAAGGTGATGGCCGCCCGGGCCGAGTCGGCCCCCATGAGCACGTCTTCCATCTTGGTGGCCGCCCACTGGTTGGTAAGGAAGCAGAAACCAACAAACCACAGGAAGGTCCAGAGAGCTGGGAAGAAGGCCGGAGGCAAGGTCAGCTCCGTGGAGGGGGCAGGGGCTGTTCGGGGACCCAGGAGAGGCCCCCTGTGGTGGGGGGGGGAGCGGGGTGGCCCATGGCCAGGATCTCCCAGAAGCCTCCAGGAATATAAAGGGCACTGATGCAGAAAGCCAGGGTGGGGACTGGGGTGCCTGGCTCCAAAGCCCGGTGACCACCACTCAATGCCGGTGGCCTTCGGCAGAGATCCCCGCCAGCAAGCCGGTCTGCTCACGCGGGGCCGGGGTGCCCTGGCTGCTCCTGGGCCTTCCGGAGGTTGCCGAGGCCCTGCCATCCCAGAGCCCCAGGGCTTTGGGGAACACCGCCTGCTCCTCTTCGCCTCCCAAAGTCGAATGGGGGCGCTGCTAGCAGGTACCTGAGAAGAGCAGGTCGCTGACGACCAGGTATTTGCGGTCCGTGGCGTTGCTGATCTGGGGGAAGTAGGCGTCAACCACTAGGAAGGCGGCAGAGCCCAGGAAGGCTAGCACCCCGATGGCACTTCCATAGCCACACGCGTCCTCGTTGTGGTTGAAAATGCAGTATTTCTGCATGGAGTGGTGGGTGTTGGTGTAGCCCTCGCCGAAAATGCAGGAGAACACGATCAGGGCAAAGACCTGAGGGGACAGGGCAGGGAGGGGCTGAGTGGCCGCCAGACAGACCCCACGGGGGCACATGTGACAGGGGCCCTGGGCCCCCCCACTGGTGCTGCTCCCCTCTGGGAGGTCAGGCACCATGGCCCCTTCTGAGCTTGCGGAGTGAGCGGACAGGCATGTTGCTTCCTGGTGCCCAGTCCCCACTTCTCCTTACCCCCTTCTCCCAGGCCACCTGCAGATACCAGCACAGCCGCCACCCCCTAGCCAGGGATTCCTGGACCCTGGGCCAGTGGAGGGGAAGGCGGGGGATGGACGGATGGACGGGGATCTCCTGAGAGGGAACTGCCCCGCCACCGCTGCCTGCTGGGAGGGGTCATCGTGCTTCAGTAGGAGATGACACAAAGTCACAGAAGCCCAGGCTCGGAGCTTCACCCCCAGATCACCTTCTGCCTGAGTCACCTCCGTGGCATCCAACCTCTGCCTGAACACCTCTGGCGATGGAGGGCTCCCCCCACCTCTTGGGAAAGCCATGCCAGCTGGCGCTGAGCTGAAGCGCGTGCCCCCTCCAGCTCCTTCCTGCCCCAGCGTGGCCTCCCCAGCGTGGCCTCCCCAGCTTGGCCAGCTCTCCTCCTACAAGGACTACTGGTCTCTTTGGTATCCAGACTCCCCCTCTGAGGGAAGCCCAGCCTGCTTCCTGCCCACAGGTGAGTCCTGTCTGCACGGGGCCTGTCTGGGCCTCAGCTGCCCAGAACCCAGGCTAACCTGATTGGCAGGCCTGTGGACACGGCTCTGCACCCAGAACCCTGGAGGTCCTAGTTGGGCCTGCCAGCTCTGGGAGGGGCTCTGGGCCCTCGGGAACGGCCTCAGGTCACAACCTCACCTCCTCCCTAAACTTCAAGGCCACCACCGATCCCCGCCCCAGGCCAGCAGATGCAGGACGGTGTGCACACCTGGCTCCCACGGACAGGGGCCCAGGCCTGTCCCCTGCCCTGCCCTGAGGAGGGCCTGTCAACAGGCTCTGGAGCTGGCAGTCACAAGCCCCACCCCCAGCTGGAGATGAAGCCGGAACTCCGGGATGCTGGCAGCAGTGAGCCAGGCCCCACTCCTGGCACAGCCGTCCCGCCACACGGGCGTCTGCCCCTTGGAACAGACCCCAGGGTCAGGCAGGCAGGGGGCATGGGCGCCACCAGGGCACCTCGTTAGGCTCCAGTCCCAGGGGGGCATGGGGTGGGCACTTGCGTCCCTGCCCACTCTGAAACCTTGTCCGGCTCTAGGCGCTGGCTCGTTGCTCAAGAGCCTGCGGCCCTCCTGAGCCCCGTCACCCCCTAACCTGGGGCCGGGGCCTCCCCTCCTTGGGTCCCCGACCCTGCGTGGGGAAGCGGGGCCGGGGCCTGCTCCGGAGCGGAAGGGAGATCCTGTTTCGGCGCGCCCGGCCGCCCCGGGCCCCCACGTGGCTTGGGAAAGCCCCTTCCCGGCGAATTCCCCGAGCTCGAGTCCCAGGACGCCGCCACCTGTCCTGGAGCTGCCCCAGGCCCCTCCCACCGCCAGCGGGGCCACAGGCCTGCTCCCCGCGGCGCCTCGGGCCCGGCCGGTGCGGGCGGCGGGGACCCGGGCAGCGGGAGGAGCTGGGGCCCGGGGGCGCGGGGGGCGGGGCGCGGGGGTTGGAGGGGGCGGCGGGGGCGGAGGGGGACGGAGGGGGACGGAAGGGGGGTGATGGAGGGCGCGGGCGGAGGGCGCGCGGCCCGGACCCGCTCGCCGTCCGCACGCGCAGCCCCCGCCCCGCCCGCCCGGCCCGGCCCGGCCGCCGCCACCTGTCGCGCTCCCGGCTCGCGGCCCCCGCCCCCCGCCCCCCGCCCCCCCCCCGCGGCCCCGTCCGCCCCCCCCCCGCGGCCCCGTCCGCCCCCCGCCCCGCGGCCCCGCCGGCTCACCAGGCACACGACGCGCGTCACCACCTGCGGCTGCGTCAGGAAGCGCCGCAGGTCGAAGGAGCCGCCGGCCTTGGCCGCGCCGTAGGCCCCGCTCTCCATGTCGCCGTCGCCGCCGCCGCCGCGGACTGCGGAGGAACCCGGCCGCCGCCGCCCGGCCCCGCCCCGCCGCCCCGCCCCGCCCCGCCCCGCCCGGCCCCGCCCCCGGGGGCGTGGCCAGCGCGGCCCCAGGGACCGAGGGCAAAGTGCTGCCCGCCGCCAGCGCCGCAGGGCGGCCGAGACCCCCGACCGCGGGCCCGCGCCCTGGCAGGTGGCCTCGCTGCAGCCCCCCTCGCGGCCGCGGCCGCGTCCCCCTGCTCCCAGAGGGGCCGGGGAGGCCTCAGGAAGACAGGCGCGCGCGGAGGGCCCGCCCCTCTGCCCCACCCACACTTTGCCCCGCCGTCCCTCCTCCTCTCCAGGAAGCCCCCCAGAGGCCTGTCTGGGCCTCACCTGCCCAGGACCCAGGCTCATGAGCACCCCCTCTTCTCCCCATTCCATCCCAAACCCCAGCGCACAGCCTGGACACAAGCCCCGACTGGCCTGTCACTCTTGCTTCTCTCTGGCCCAGAGCCTGCAGCAGCATCCAGCGCCCCCCCCCTTCCCAAATCGTCCCCACCGCAGGCCCCAAGTACGGACGACCCAAGACTTCCATGCCCAAGTTGGTGTGGGGACAGAAACAGTTTCCAGGGTGACAGGCAGAGGACAGAGTTTAATCCAATCCTCCCGCAACACGCCCCCAAGTGATTTCAAGCATCTGGCGGCGAAGGCTGAGTGGGGTTAGGCTGGGGGGGTCCGGGTGACTGCAGGGAAAAACTGCAGACACTTTTTTTGCTACTTGCAGGTAAGGATTCAGAAGGGGATGCTGGCCAGGGAGGGCTTGGGTCCTCCCAGGTGAGCTGGACAGTGAGAGATGACTAGCTGGGGCCAGAGGACTAGGCCACCCGGAGATGGGGTGCCACTCCAGGGAGGAAGGGAGCAGCTGCGGGGAGGTGGGTTGGCGCAGCTGGGCCTTATCACAATGTACCCCACTCTCTCCCCAGACTCGCATGGATGATGACAAGCAACTGAGAGTTGAGCCCCCTCCTTCCTGTGGACCTCTCCTTCCGTCACAGCCCACCCCAACCCAAAATCATCAGACTAGCAGCATGTGTGTTGCCGGAAGGACACTAGGCTCCAGGAATCAGAGCTGGCAGGCTTTTCCTTCATTCAAATGGTGGGTCCTTCTGTAGCAGACAAAGACCAGAGCCCTCCTGAGGGGACTTTGCCACGCCTGCCTCTTCTGCTCACAACCTTGATGACAAAGGAGTAAAGATTCCAGGTTAGGCCAACACATCTCTCAACCATCCCCTCCCAAGGCCTCTGGGAATTTTATGGTGCCAAGTGCATCCGTGCCCTGGGCAGCAGAAGGGGTGTGAGGTTTAGTCACCCCACTAAATGAAGGGGGGTGCTGAATCACCAGGAGGGCAAGCGATGGCCCTTGATCACATGTCCAGTGAGAGCCTGGTCTCTGTGTCCCATTTTATAGAAGGGAACACAGAGTCTCAGAGAGGTGACATGGCTCTCGTAGGAGTCTGGAAAGAATAGTCAGGAGGGAGGGACCCTGAGGTGAGATATGGGGAGTACCAAGGACAGACAATGGCCACTGAAAAGTCTGGCCTGGGAGGGAGGAAGGCAATCAAGAGATGGCAGCATTTTGGAGGCCCAGGGAGGTGAGAAGTTCACAGGGCACAGGTCACCGCTGCCAAAGACCAGACAGGTGGAGCATACAGGGGCCAGTGGGGCTTGGGGATGGACTACACAAAGGCCTTGGTCACTTTACAAGTCAGTGAAGTGATAGCCTTGGCGAGGGGATCCCAGGAGGTCCAGACCTATGTGGTTGCCATGGAGAGCAGAAGCCCCTGCTTCACCCTGGTCCCCAGGAGACATCATCCCCACTCCTGGCATCCCTCCTCAGAGCCAGCAGGAAGACAGGTGGACGCCCCACCCAGAGGGCAAGTGACCCCATCACAGGGCTGCTGGGAGTGTGAGTCAGGGTCAGACGAAGTCATGGATGTGCAAGCCCTTGGCAGGCACTTGGCACCCAGTAGGCCCTTACGGAACTTTTGCAGGTTACACACGAGCAGTATGGCCCTTTGTCCGCCCTGGTGGCAGCCCCGTCCTACAGACCCACCGCCCGCTGCCTCCAGCCAGACTCCTGGTGCTCCACACAGACGGGCCTCCACATCCCACACCCAGTTCCTACCTGGTCCACAAGGCTGGGCCCAGCACCCAGGAGGTGACAGCTGCAATGGAGGTGAGGCTGCCAGCCAGCACCAAGACAGGTCCCTGGGGCAGGTGTCCTGTGAGGGAGGGGGGGTGCTTGAGCTGAGCTCCCTTAGGTGGGGCCAGAGGAGGCATGGTAGCTTCCCAAAGCTTCCCTGCTCTTGGCAGCAGCGAGGGGGCCTCTTCCACGGACCTACCCAGAAGTGCCAAGTGCCCGTCTGGAAACCAAGGGGCCCTCTCACCTGGGGGCACCAGCCTGAAGGGGCTGGACTGGACACTGATGTCGTTTTCAGCCTGGCACCGGAGCCAGTTCGATGTCCGGGTAAGTGGGAAGGAGAAGTTGGCAGGCTGCCCATAGGTCGGTCTCTGCTGCCTATGGACGTACCCGTCCTTCCTGACCAGGCTGTAGGTGATGGGTGGGCTGCCCGAGGACACCTGGCAGGAAATCTCTACCCTGGGGCCCGATCCTCTCTCCAGCAAGACGAAGTTAGCCCGTGGCTGGGCCATAGGCTCTGGTAGGGTGGAAGAGGTTAGCACAGGCATGGCTGGGGGACTTTGACACCCTCTCCCAGCAAATCCCCTTGTTACAAAATGCCCCCTGGAGTACTCCCTCCTTCTTGTGTCTGGGCTTCTCCCCTACTTGCAGTGTGTACTACACAAGTTCACGCTGGGTATATTCTGGGTTGTCAGACTTGCCAAATAAAAATACCAGATGCCCAGTTAAATTTGAATTTCAGGTAAATAATGAATAATTTTTTTTAGCCTGACTATGTTCCCCGGGCAAAGCGTATCCGGCAACCCTATTTATATTCTTTCAGCCTTGGCTCTTTTACTGGAACGTTTCCTTCAGATCAAGAACTGTCACTTAGAAGATTCTAGAATTCCCCATGGCCTTCAGCCTAATGCTGTAAATAGCCCTACTGATGAGTAACAACCACCGCCCCTTGTGGCGTATTGACCACCCCCTAGAAGCTTCCACTGAATCCTTCCTACCCTTCTGGGGTTGGTACTATTATTATTTTTGTTTTGCAGATGAAGAAACCAGGCCCACAGAGGTTGAGTGACTTGCTCAGGACCCGTAGCCTGCAAGTGTCGAGACCATAGGGTTCCAAACCCTGGGCTCTCCTTCCAGAGGCTGGCTCCTCTCAGGGGCAGGGCCTGGGGGCAAGGGGGCCAGGGACACACCACTGGCTTGGGCAACACGCCCTAGTCCCCCCTACACACACATACCCCATGCCTTCCACCAGGAAGGACACCTGAATTAAGGTCAGGGTAGAAGTGGGAAGAACATAGGTTTTGGAGCTACACAGAGTGGGGTTTGGAATCAGCCTTTGCCGCTGGCCTGGGGCGTCATTCTTAATCACCAGAAGCGTTATATAGGCCGAACCACAAACCCCACCCTCCAGCTGCTGTGAAGATTCAACTAGATAAAGCACAAGAAAAAGTGCCTATTTTATCAGCGTGAGGCCAGAGCTCCACTGATGGGCCCCGGTCCTCCCTGGTCACTTCTGCCCCAAAGGCCCCTGCAGGGAGATGATGCCCTGAGTCCCAGCCCGGAGATACCCTGTTCTGGGCGCACGCCTCAGGGACCCAGAGTGGCCTTGGAGGTGAGCACCCTGTCCCGTCCCCAACCTCCTGTCTTCTGGCCCAGACCCCCCCCCCCCAGGTGTGCACTCACTGGCCCACAGCTCCCAGTACATCTGCAGCTTGGTGCTGGCGGAGTGCTCGCCCCGGAGGGAGGCTGCCCGGCAGGAGTAGGTGAGAAGTTCTGGCCTGGACTTGAGGGTGATGTTGATGCTGAAGGAGGCCGGGTCTCCGGTCTTGACCACCTTCTTGGCGACCTCAACGCCCTGGCTCCCCCAGAGGGAGTAGGTGATGGGCGGGGGAGCCCGGGGTGAGTGACACGTTATGACAACCCTGCGGCTGCTGGGGAAAACCTCCCGGACTTTGTAGGCAATGAAGGTCTCAGGGGTGACTTCTGGCAGGTGGAAGGGTCCGAGGGGGAGAAGAAGGAAACCAACATTGATCAAGCTCACGCACCTTAAGAAAATGCGGGTTCTACGGTTCAAAAGAGTTAAAAAAAAATATCCCACGACCTGGCAATCCCGCTGCTAGGTATGTACGAAAAGAATTGCAAACGGGGACTCTAAAGGACATGCTCTCCGGGACAGCCGGGAGGTGAAGGCGCCCACGTGGCCATCAGTGGATGAACGGATGGGTAGAACGGGGTCTGGGCACACGATGGGACAGTTGTCACCCACGACAGGGAGCGAAGTTCTGACCCACGGGTGAGCCTCACAGACATCCGTGAGTGAGAGAAGGCAGACACGGAGGGAGCGTACCTTCCATTCCATTCGTGTGAAATGTCCAGAATAGGAAAATCCCAAGACGGGAAGCAGATTGCTGGTTGCCAGGGATTGGGGGACGGGCAGATGGGGGAGTGACTGCTCGTGGGTCGGGGCTTTCCTTTTGGGGTGATGAAAATGTTTGGGAACGAGGTCGGGGGATGGTTGCACAACAGTGTGAATGCACTAAATGCTGCCAAAGCATCACTTTAAAATGGTTAATTTTGTGTTACGTGATGTCCCCTCAATGTTTAAAAAGAAGGAAGGGAGAAAGAAATAACAAGCCAGCCAGCCAGCCAATCCTCCTGGATAAAAGTCGACCTCTGGGATTTAGACTTTTTGCCCCAAATATTTGACGACAAAAAGAAAATGAAGTTAGGACATGAGAAGGAAGCACAGAGAAGTTTGGGACACAGGTCCCAGAGCTGACACTGAAGTCAACTTCTAGATTCAACAAGGTGGTCAACTGTTAAGTAGCGGGGGACGGGCGTTGGTGTCATTCTCGCACCTCACCTTATCCGCGGCCCCAGGTAGGAGCCCTGACATCTACTGTTTGTTGGCTGTCCCTCTCCGGTGTGCACGGAGTGCCTGTCTGCACCTCCAGTTTCAGACGCCTCCTCCTCCTCCTCCGACCGGAGGAGGGAGGGGAACCTGGGAGGCCGGGGAGCTGGCCGGGTCCCCCCTATCCATTCCCCCGCGCCCAAAGGGGTCACCGTCTGGTTGAATGGGACAGTCTGAAGGAGGGTGTAGAGGGTATGACCCTGGTCCACAGGGACGAGCTGAGCCGGAGAGAAAGAGGCCACTTGGGAAAGCAGGATTTCCAGAGAGCGGGGAGGCCCTCGAAGGAGCCAGGACGCTGCCAGCGCCTGGAGGACGCAGGCCCAGACCCACTCTCCAGCTGCACCCCTGCGTCCGGCCATCAGGACAGCCTCTCTGCTTGGAAGTGACTTCTCTGCTTTGCAGGCAGATCCTGGAGTCGATCTGATGCAGAAGACACTTCCAAGAGCTTCCTTGCTACTGGGCCTCTTGCTGCCCATACCGAAATCTTCCAGACGGAGGTGGGGAGGACACAAAGCTGCCTCTGGGGGGTGGGGGGGTATGGGAGGGAGGCTGCAGTGTCAGTGGTGCCCGCTCAAGAGAAGTGTGCAGGGGCAGCGCTTGGGGGGTGGGGGGCGTGTAGAGGAGAGGCTTGACGACATCTAAATGTCTCGTGCCTCGTGCATCACACTTGCCCCGCTGGGCGGGCACACTGGCTCTGGAAACCACGCGGCTGTCAGGAAACTGCTCCCCAGAGCAGAGAACTGGAACTAGATCTGCTTCCTTCAGAGACCTTTCCTAGGAATCCTAAGGTTTCTGACCACTAAGCATATTTCTTTCTAGACCAGTGGTTGTCAGCCAGGGGCAGTTTTGCTTCCAGGGGACCTTTGTGTCTGGAGTCATGTTTGGCTGCCACGGATGGGGGTGGGGGGCTGGGGAGAGGCTCTCCTGGCATCTAGTAGGTGGAGGCCAGGGGTATCGCTAAAGCATCCGACAATGCACAGGACAGTCCCCATAACGGAGAATCGGCCAGTTCCCATGTCGGTAGTGTCGACATGGAGAAACATCTTGACAACCATCAGCAGCCTTCCAGAATCAGATCGCTAGCCCGGCCCCAGGCTGCACAGACACCAGCAAACATTTTCTCATCTGTGCCTCTTTCTCAGCTCTGCATGAGAACACTCATATTTTAGTCCTTTTTTTTTTTTTTTTCCCCAAACAGGCTTTCATGCAAAGTCTGTTGGATTTGAAGTAAGTAACGTATGGAGAGTCCACTGTCGTCTCTGGGGCACCATGGTGCACAGTGCCACCAGGAATGTTGGGGGGTGCAACCCAGGGCCAAAGGGCCAGCTCCTCCCTGCCCAGATGCTCTTGGGGGCCCAAATCTCCCTCCAGAGGGGGATTTGGGGGGTTCAGGGGGTTCAGCATGATGACGATTTTCTTTGCTCCCTTCTTGGAGGGAAATGACTAATAAAAGTTAAAAAGGAAAAGCTGGGCTGCCTTTGTTTGCATTTCCAGGCCCAGTAATAGAAGCTTGATTTACATAAGTTCACAGACCAGAGTCCCTTCTGACTGCACCAGGCTGTGCGGCAGTCACTTTCTATTCTAACCAGACTGGTGCCTTCTTTTGTTCTTTCGGGTGGGGTCCCTGAGTTTATGCATTTAACCCGCCAGTAATGAGAGGCCTGGCATTCAATTAAAAATTCATCAGGTGCAAAAAATAAATTAAAAAAATATTCATCAGGTGCGTCAGAGCATCGGAACGAAGGGATGGCTCGCTCAGTGTGATGCAGAGGCAGGCCCACACTCGGACCAGAAGCTGAGCCACGCTGGGCTGGGCTGAGTGGGTGGCCTCAGAACCTCCTTCTGTGGCTAAGGAAAAAAAAGGAAGCCCCTTGGGGTGTATGAGGGGACCGCAGAGCTGCGGCCCCCAAGGCTCAGAGACCCCTTTGGATCTCCACCCTCCCCTGGTCCAGACTTGTGTCTGCGATAACCGGAGGCTTGGAGATTGGAGTCCCAACCCTAGAGGACCAATTTGTTAGACCCAAGGTGGGATAGGGTGGGGGTGGGAGGGGTCCAGGGATCTGATTTTGAACGAGCAGCCCACGTCTTGAGAGTTGAATCGTGTCTTCCCAAAAAGATAGGTTCAAGCCCTAACCCCCGGGTCCTGGGAATGGGGCTTTATTTGGAGATACGGTGTTTACACGCGCATGCCAGGGATCCATGGTGGATCAGGGTGGATCAGGGTGGATCAGGGTGGCCCTACTAAGAGGACGGCCAGAGACCCACACACGCCAGGGGAGGCCATGTGCCCACGCAGGCAGAGGTTGGAGGGATGCTGTCACCAGCCTTGAACGCCGAGGACCGCCAGGAGCCCCCAGAAGCCAGGAGAGGGGAGGCCTGGGTCGACAGCCCTGCCCACACCTCGTCTCAGACCTCCAGCCTCCAGAACTGGGAGGAAAGAGCTTGTGGTTGTGTTAACCGCCAGGTGTGTGGCAACGGCTTCCTGCAGCCTCAGGAAGTTACTCCGGCGCCCCCACAAGTGGCTCCTATGAAGTCGTCTGGAACCCGGCTGAGAGATCCCACCAGGTTTTAGGAACACCGGGAGGACATCCCTGAAGTTCCTTTGCTCCCTCTCAGGGGAGTACCACCTAGTTTCGAGTCCGTGCTTCACCCAGATACTCTCTCCCTCTGAACAAGAACACGGCCTGTGTTCAAGGCAGCCCCACAGGACCCCCAGGTCCCGGCCGGCCCCACCCCCTAGGAGGCTCCACAGCACCCCCTCCCCCGCGTACCCCACCGCCTCCCCAACCTTCCCGATCCTGGCATCCTCCCACGGAGGCGCTCCCACACGTCACCCACGCCTAGGTAACCAACCCTCCCCGGGGCATGGCCTACCCTAGGCGGTTGTCTCTGGTGGTGGGGGCCCCACAGCCTCCCCAGCACTGGCCCCGGGGGGAGCGGGGGGGGGGTGGACATCCCCTGAGGGTGTTTCCATCCTTCCTCCCTAAACACCAGCCTCGAACCTCGTATCTTCAGATAAAGTCTCCCCTGCTCCCCTGGGCTACAGGCGTTTACTAGTGGAAATGCCCACTAGTCCGTGACGATTCTCGACCCTGGTTCCCACCACCACCCTCACCACCACCCTGGCCACAATCCTTCAGTTCCTTAACGTCCAGTCTCTTGTGCCCAACTGTCTAGCTGCTGCTATTCTATGGTGAGGCTGCGCTGTATCTGGTCAACCTTCGAGTAGTTTAGGTCAAACCCTTGGGATCAGCTTGCCCTGCTCTTTCGTCCCATCCCATCCTCTGCTGTACTGCAGAACAGATCTTGGCCACTCCCGTCCCCCCACCCCCACCCCCGCCCCGGGGGGCTCTGGCTGTCACCACATCCCTTCTCTGCATCCCAAGAACAGCTGAGGGCCCCCTGGGATCCCCTTCGGAGACCCAGGGTCCCCACCCCATCTTTTCTCAACACAGGGGCCTAGAAGGGCAAAGGAGACCAGGCCTTCCATGCAAACCCCGCCCCCTGTGGCCACGCACAGCCGGGGAGCCCTCCGTACTCAACCCTGTTCCCCATCTAGCTCTCCCCTCCCTACTGCTCCCTGCACTCAGGCCACACAGGCCACGTCCAGGCTCATCCTGCTCCAGCATCTCCTTCAATCCCTGCTTGGTGTGTGTCCTTCTCTGTGACAATCGCCCAGTAAATGCTGACCCTCCCCAGCCCCCCTCCCCACCCCCGTGTTCCCTTTCCACTCTTCCCTGCTTGCTTTTCTCTAGGACTTCCTGTGTCCAGCACACTGTAGAAGGAGCTTGTTGTCACCATCCTTTGTCATCGGCACCCCCACCCCCAGCCCCACTGGACTGTAAGTGTAAGGTGGGATCTCTATTTTTTTTTTTTTTTCTGCATCTTGTGGATCCATCTTGAGGCCTAGAACAGTGCCTGGCATCAAAAGGGGGCTCTGAGAGTATCTGCTGAATTGATGAATGCTTTCCCAGCTGGCCTCTCAGGAGTTGAGTTAGCAGGGCTTGCTGGGCTAGAGTCTGAGCAGAAGTCAGGGGCCCAGGGGGCAGGCCAGCCGCGGCCAGGTACTTCCCGAAACTGCTGCAACGCTAATGTCTGCTGCCTCGAGCTGCTCTCTTTTTAGCAGAAACACCAGGACCTGAGTGTTTGTTTTTAAAGCAAATGAGGAAATGGCAATTCTGTTTGTGCCGCATTCAAGTGAGACCCACCCTTCAGTGGAATAGAGACAGATGCCAGTTCCGTGACCTGGGGACCCTGGCGAGGTAATGGGGGAGGCATGTTGGGGAGGGACACCAGCCCTCAGCCTGGTGGACAGCAGGAGGTGACCTTCAGGGTCACAGGGCTAGAAATGGGGGTGGGACCAGGTGTGTCCCCTCCCCCTGGTTCTGTACCATCCCCTGCTGGGCAAGGGGCCCTGCGCCCTCCAGCTGCCTTAGAGTGAGTCAGGCTTCCATTTGTGGGACCTCTGGGGGGGGCCTCGACTTCCTCTGGGAAGCGCCCCCCCCAGGCCACCAGCCCTCACTGGGGTCACACTCACCTGGTAGAGCTTCTGCTCCAGATCCTGCACCTGGGGTAGAAGGGCTGGGAGGTACCTGCCCAGAACATGCAGTCTGCTCTCCCCACCCCCCAGCCCAGCCCAGCCGGAAGCCAGCAGTTTCCTGCCACCTGTCTCCTGGAGGTCGCACACCAGCCTGCTCCCCTCCACGCCCTGCAGGCGGTGAGGCTAATTTCCAGAGTTGCCCAGTTGTCCGCACCAGACACCTGCTCACCATCAGCAGCACCCCCGCGAGCCACGGCACCCCAGGCTGCCCACCAGGCCACCCACCAGCTCCCTGGAGTGTGTACTCACCCACCTCCTGCTCCAGGGAGAAGCTGCAGGTGGCTGGAAGAGGGGATGGTGTGAGGGCAGTAAGCAGAGAGCCCGGGCTGGAGGGGGGGCAGAGACCACCCAGAGAGCCTCCTGCCAAGGCCAGAAGGGACGCCCAGGACCCAACAGACATCTTCACTCCCAGAAGCTCTCTTGAGGTCACTGCGTTTAGTATCATCAGCCGTTTTGTAGATGAGTAAACAGTGGGCCCAGTGCAGTGAACCGATCAGTAAGGGGCTGGTCTGAGACTCAAGCCCACACCTCTCCCTCTGTCCTCGTGCTTCCAGAAGTGTCTGTGCCTCCGGGTCCCTCCCCTGTGCTCATGGGCATCCCTGCATCCTCAGCCTGCTTCCCCAAGGCCCTGGCAATGGTCTCTCCTGCCCCCGACTGATGTCCCCATTGGCTCACCCAGCAGGGCCAAGCAGAGCAGCAGAAGGAGCCTCATGCCTCTTCTGGTATAAGGACCCTCTGCCCAGGCTAGCAAGAGCTCGCTCAGCGGGGCCACCCCACTCTGGGGCCCCTGGGATGCTCCTAGGGTGGGTGCCTGCAGCAGGGAGATAACTGGAGGCCTCAACACCCGTGGCCTCAGGAGCCAGAGCTGGGCCCCCACGCCCCTGGGAGGGATGAGGAAGCCCCTTGGCCTTGGAGCCGAACCAGGGCTAACACTCAGCCACCACCGCTGAGTTGTAGGGTCCTGGGCTCATTTGGTGGCTAGATGTCTATGTCCCAAGCCCTGGTATATGTATGTTACCTGGCAAGGGGGTATTAAGATTGCTAATCTTCTGACCTTGAGATAACATCAGTATCCTGGATTATGAGGATGGGGCTGTTATCAGGAAGACCCTTTCCAATGCCACCCCCCCGGGGGGGTGGAGTCTGACACATGGGCAGGAGAACTGGTGGGCCGGACATGTTAGAGAAGCAGGCCGGAGAGGCCACCGCTGCCCATCTCACACTGGCTCATTAGTGACCACCTATTGGGCACCTGCTAGGTGGGCTGGGCTGACACCGGGCTCAGCCCCCAAATTAAAGTTCAGACGGATGAGGCCGCTGGTCCAGGAGCATGATACAGTGTGGCAGCTCAGACTATGGAGGGGCCCTTCCTCATGCCCAGGGATGGTGGTCATTCCCTGGGATCTGGACCCAATGCCAGCTAGACCAGGAGGCCAAACGACATCTCATAGGGTGGCATGACCTTTTCAGCAGCCTGCAGCAGAGCTCACTGGATCTGGGGAGCAGGGTGGGGTGAGCCAGGAAACCCCAGGTGGACCCCTCAGGGCTGGGGACTCAGGGCAGCCTGGAGCAGGGGAGGGGTGGGCCAGGACACAGCCAGTACCAAAACAGACCCTGGCACCTCCCTGCCCCAGGCTGCTGTGCTCCTTCCAAGCCAAGCCTGGAGCTGCTGGACAGGTTCATTTAGTTTGTGCAGGAAACACCCATTTGGCTGCCTTCCCTTCCATTTGCTTTTTTTTTTTTTTAAAGATTTTATTTATTTATTCATGAGAGAGAGAGAGAGGCAGAGACACAGGCAGAGGGAGAAGCAGGCTCCATGCAGGGAGCCTGATGTGGGACTCGATCCCGGGACTCCAGGATCACACTTTGGGCCAAAGGCAGGTGCTAAACCGCTGAGCCACCCAGGGATCCCCTCTCTCTCTTTTGTAACCAAATTTCCCTCCAAAAAGTCTATCCTCACTCTGCTGAGGTGGTTGGGGTAAGGACTTAAAGGAATTGATGGTTGAAGAGAGACAGAGGGATCCTCTAGGCCGCTGCCAGTCTGTCTCCCAAAACTTGTGTTTTTTCCTCCATGTTCTGCTCACGGGATGGGGTTTGAGCTCAGGCAGCTCACGAGAAGCCTCCTCCTTCCGTTGGTGAATTTGGGGAGCAGGTCAGAGGAGAGTGTGGTGGGCGGACTCGAGAGACATTTCCCCTCGACTTTGGTGGGTTAGGGCATGTTTCCTGCCCCAGCCGGGAGCCCTCGCCAGCGGCCACCCATGTGCCATCAGACTGGAGGTGTTTGCAGAGGAGGCTGGTTCTCTGGGCTGTGCTGTCCCTTCTCTCCGGGGCCTGCATGTAGGCCAGGACTCATTAGGACCCAGGTCACCTCGATTGTGTGGAGCCGGGGCTACAATAATAAGCCTCAGTAACTCAAGGCACACATCAGGATGCTTGATAAGTCATAGCTCATTTTTTTTTATTTATGATAGTCACAGACAGAGAGAGAGAGAGAGAGATGCAGAGACACAAGCAGAGGGAGAAGCAGGCTCCATGCACCAGGAGCCCCACGTGGGATTCGATCCCGGGTCTCCAGGATCGTGCCCTGGGCCAAAGGCAGGCGCCAAACCGCTGCGCCACCCAGGGATCCCAGTCATAGCTCATTTAATTCTCACAGCCACTCAGAGGACGGTGGTCTCAGCCCCATGTTTCAGCCGAGCAAACAGGCCCAGTTTGATTTCCCCAGGTCTCCCCACGCTTGTCTTCTCGCTGGTGTTGCACTTGGCTGGGTCTCAGTGAACATCTGCTGAAGGCATGAGAAAGTGATGAGACAAGGACCCCGGTGTTCCAGCCTCCTAGCACTTGGGCACCAGCAGCATCACCCTGGGGACTCATCACAAGACAGCGCTGGGCCTTATCCTTAGAGTTTCTGTTTCTGTTTCCTGGAGCCTGAGAATCTGCATTTCCACCACCACCCTCGGGGGTGGGGGGCAGCCGCAGCTACTGCTGCAGGTCGGGGCCACGCTCTGGCCCTAAGCTGCTTGTTCACAACATGTGTCACTTTCACCTGGGACAGGCCGGTGGCCCTCTGCCCGTGGAGCACACAGCGCTGTGTGTTTCCCCCCCCCCGGAACAAGGCTCTGCACTTGTTGACAGACTGATGGGTCATGTGACACTGAGAGAACAGTAACAGGAGGAGCCGAACCAGCCAAGCCTTCAGAGCCCACATGAAGGCCTGGGCCTGAGGGCACCAGGCCAGAGCTGCGCCCAGGCTGGACATCCTGCCAGGTGCCGGGCCCCTGGTGGAAGTAGAGGCTTGCCAAGCATGTCGTGGGCTTTCTCCTGATCCTCCCTCCTGACAGTTGTTCTTTTTTTTTTTTTTTTAAGAATTTATTTATTTCAAAAAAAGAGAGAGAGAGAGAGAGAGAGCATGAGCAGGGGGAGGGGCAGAGGGAGAGGGAGGAGCAGACTCTCTGCTGAGCAGGGAGCCCGGATGAGGAGCTTCATCCCAGGACCCCGAGCCAAAGGCAGATGCTTCACGGACGGAGCCACCCGGGCGCCCCCCAACAGCTCTTTAGGCCAGCATCCTCAACCCTGGCTGCTGGAGAGTCACCTGGCAGCTTTAGAAAAAGTCCCAGTGCCTGGCTGCTGGCTGCACCTGGGCCGACCACATCAGCAGCCCCGGCACAGGGCCAGTCCCCTAAGGCTGAGAGCCACGGACTGCGGAGAGGCAGGGGCAGTGGGAGACCCCGGGCTGCATCCCTGCCCTGCCTCCCGTGTGTCTCACGGCACAGGTCTGTACACGCCTAGCACCCTCCTCTTCTTCACCACTCTTAAGCCACAGCTACGGGTAGGGGAGGCAGTGAGAAGGGGCACAGAGGGGGGTTAGCAACAGGACTGCAGAAGGTGTGGCCGAGGGGCCCCTGTTCCGGGGTCCTGAAGAGGCCTACTTTGTTGATGTGGGGTCCTGGGTTAGAACGGACTATGAGGAACCCTGCCAGGGAGAGGCTGGCCATGGACTGTTCCTCAGACTCCAGTAGGCCCTGGAACCCCCCCCCCCGCGCTCCCCTCCCCACCCCATCAGGGTCAGGAATGCACGGTGCTGGTGCAGGTGTGGCTCCGGAGCTGGGGCTGTGGGGGCCCAGGTGCACCCAGAACCAGCACGCCCTTGGTGCGGCCAGGTCTTGCCCCAGTGGGAGCACTTCTGAGCACCCCCATGGACGTGTATTTATAAACTGCATTCCTGGGTTACTGCCCTAAGGTACTATGTGCCTTACAAAACATTCACCAAAAATAGTCTATAGGACTGAGGTAAAAACACAGACACAACTTCCCGTGTTTTCTTCCTGCTGCCCCTGGGCTCTGCCTCCAGCACCAGGGCGCAGGGGCTGGGGCCCAGGGGCACTCTGGTTGTGGGGACGTAGGTCAGGCCCTGGGGAGGCTCTGGCGGAGGCAGGAGTGGGCGCTACAGCTCCGCGCCGCTGGAGAAGCGGAATCTAGAGACGGAGTCCTGGAGGCAAGGTCCCGGCCTGGGGGCCCTGGGGCCTGGGGAGCCCGGGCACGGAAACCCCGGGCAGAAGGACCGCGGGCGCGAAGCTCGGGAGTGGGGGGACTCGGGCCCCACAGGGACGCCGGAGCCCTCGGGCAGCAGCCGCGACAGGTCCTCCACCAGGTGCCACTTCTCCTGGACTTGCTGTGGGGGAGGGGGTGGGGACAAGCGGCGGTTAGGAACGACGCCCCGCCCGCCCCAACCGCGCCCCCAGCGGAGACCACGCCCCTGCCCCAAAGCCCCGCCCCAGAAGAGGCCCCGCCCCGACCGACCAGAGACCACGCCCCCTCCAGGTCCCGCCCCGTGAAGTCAGAGACCACGCCCCTCCGCGAGAGTCCCGCCCCGCCCGACCTGAGACCACGCCCCCTCCAGGGGTCCCGCCCTAGCGGTCAGAAACCACGCCCCTCGGCCAAAAGAGTCCCGCCCCCAGAGGAGGCCACGCCCCCTCCAGGGTCCCGCCTCAGCTAAGCCAGAGACCACGGCCCTCCACCAAGAGCCCCGCCCCCAGAAGAGGCCACGCCCTTCCGGGTCCCGCTCCGCCCAACCTGAGACCACGCCCCTCCAGGGTTCCCGCCCCAGCCAAGCCAGAGACCACGCCCCCCGCCAAATAGCCACGCCCCCAAAAGAGGCCACGCCCCCCGTCGGGTCCCTCCCCGCCTGACCTGAGACCTCGCCCCACTAGGGCGCTGCTCACGCCGCCACCTAGAGCCGGAGTTCAAAGGTCAGCTCTGCTGCTAGTGGATGCGGGTGATGATACTGCCGGAGCATCCTATCAGACCCGTGTCCCCAAGCCAAAGGCCATATTCCTGGGCCATATTCCTGTCATGGGGCTCCCGGCCACACTCCAGGGCCACGTCTGGCCCCTCCCCAAGCCCAGCGGACACTCACCCACACCAGCTGCTTTCGGAGCCCCCGGATGGCCCTGGCATTGGCCTGGGACTGGGAGACGCAAATGGTCAGGACAAGGCTTTGGACAGACAGGGATCCGAGGTCAGTCATCCCTGGATGGAAGGTGTCTCCCCTACTTTCTCTCCCCACCTCGGTGTCTTAAAAATGCCTCCCGGGGTTCTTTTCTCTGCAGACCCCTTTACCTCCCTCTCCTTCCTCCCGCAGAGCCCTGCTGCTCTACAGGGCAGGGTTTCAGCGGGTCTGCAGGAGGCACTGGGCTTCCCCTGTGGTCACACAGGTGCCTGCTTTACAGGTGACATACCAGGGCTCCCTGCCTTTGTGCCCATGCTCCGTCCTCTGGGACCCTGCCTCCCTGGCTCTGCTTGTCTGGCTCCCAGAGCCCAGGAGAGTGCCTGGGGTGGGGGGGCCATGGAAGGAAGGACCCCCTCCCCGGGGTGCCCTCCCATGGCCCCTGCTGCCATGAGAAGCACCTGAGCAGGACGAGAAGGGGGAAGCTGAAGGCGTGGGAGCCGATGTAGTGGAGGATGCGCTGGCCAGAGGGCGGGAGCCGGAGGGCCACCAGCTCTGGGACCACCTGCCAGGGGGCCGAGTAGTTGGAGAAAAGACCACAGTCCCAGGAGGAGTGGATGCTGGGGAGAGACAGCCAGGGAAGGGCTGGCGTCAGGGCCCCAGGTGACAGCTGCCTGCCCCCCGGCCGCCAGCGCCTCTGCGGCCCTCACCTGCTGACCACGTAGCCCAGGGGCATAACGGCCAGGAGCAGGCCCAGGATGAGCACCAGCTGGAAGAAGAAGGTGGAGCTGGAGGCGCGGAATCGCCGAGGAGATGCCTTGGAGTTCCTCATGAGGGTGTACTGCGGGCAAGTAGTAGCACACGGGGGTCGTGAGCCAGTCCCCAGGTGCCGGGGAGCCTGAGGCCCAGGGAGGTGACGCTGAGGGGGCGGGCAGAAGCAGGACGGGATCGTGGGCCCCAGGCCCCCCCACCTGCACCCCCTGCACCCTCCCAGCCCGGGAGGCCTCACCTTCTTGATGTAGAAGGTGAGGAAGATAAAGATGCTGTTGAGCAGAGGCAGCAGGGGACAGTAGAAGAGGCCCATCCAGGTGACCGTCTGCCCCGCCACGATGTCCAGGACATTCTTGGGCACCAGGAATTCTTCTCGGTCCAGCCACGTCCAGAACCTGCCCTTGAACCGCTCCACCAGCAGCCTGGGGGAGGGGAGTGTCCAGGTACCCCCATCAGTCATGACCACGTCGTTCACACGGAGACAGGTGTGCCGAGCTGCCCGCCCTTGGCTGTGGCCAGCGGCCACCCCCGGACAGGCCCCATTCTCCTGCGATGTCCCCTTGCCTCACCTCCTAGGCAGGCTGACGCAGAAGGCAAAGGCCACGGTGAGGAGGAAGTTGAAGATGCTCAGCTTGTATAGCTCTTCCCCGACCGCGTTTTCCCAGCACTGGAGCAGAGGGGGACTGGTCACCCCCGGTCCCCGGCTGCCCCTCCCCCCCCTCCCCCCACTGGGGGCCTCTAGGGTCTAGGAGCCTTGCCCGGAGTCCCATCTGATTGCTAAGTTAGCACCTGGGCCTCCAGCGTAAGATCTGAGCAGGGAAACGCCCCTGCCAGTGCACAGTGAGCCGGGAATGGTGCCCCCTGGTGGTGTGCGGCCCTCCAGCAAAGGTGAGACTGGAGAGGGACAGGAGGGACAGGCTTTGATGGAGCCACCAGTCACCTCGTAATCACAGGCGTTGTAGCCGTAGGCCGCACAGCTCGTCTTGTTTCTGCCGATACACAGCACGGTCTGGCCCAGAGAGAAGGAGAATATTCCCAGGCTGGCCAGCTTCAGGACAACGCACCTGGGGCGGGGTGAGGGCGGGGAGTGGGGCCGTGTCAGGGGGAGGGGCTCAGGTGCCACGCTCGGGCCACCCGGGTTACAGGGGTGGCTGGTCTCTGAGATGGTGTCTCTTCTGGGTCCAGCCCCCTCTAAATCCAGAGCCCAGTCTCCTTCCAACCTGCTCCGTCCCCGGCAATGTTTCCCAAAGCGTGTTCCCTAGAGTCTTGGTCTCTAGATGATTCCTGAGAGAAGGGTTCTATTTTTAAATCAGTTTGGGGAACACTGTGGGGCCCAGCTGCCCTCTCAGCCCCCCACTGCCCACCACACTCAGTTTGGCTGTTTGCAGGCGTATATGGGCCTTCCATTGTCTCACAGCAGGGTTGGTCTTCCTCCTGCCTGTCGATCCCCTAGCCGTCTTACACCGTCTCATACGTCCCGATCCCATGCATCCCCCTCCTGCATAATGCGGCACCAGATCGCAGAGGTAGGATGGTGTACCCCCAAACCAGCACACGCACATTGTGCCCAAGCATGGACTTTTAGCGTTGACAGGCACAGAAGTCTCCTGCTGTTGAGGGAGGCTGGGAGGCAGGGTGAGTAGGGGCTGATTTTTTTTTTTTTTGTTAATTAATCCTTCATCCTTTTGAGCATTTTGAACTTTCTACCATGTGCATGTGCTACTACTTATTCCAAATATAAGGTTTCAGACCACAGTCAACCTTGGAGGAAAGCTGAATGGGCTGCATCGGCACCGGGGGAAGCAGAAGGGAAAGCAGACAGAGCTAAGTGGGGGGGCGGGGGGCTGTGGTGACGGGACAGGTGGCAGACAGAAAAGTGGAGCTGGAGCTCATGGTAGGGGGCTGCTGCTCAAGAGGGGCTTCAGGTCCAAGGCAGGATCCTGGTCCTGAGAGGGGGCACAGAGCAGAGCATGGGGGTGGAGGAGGGCTTGCCCGTGAACCTGCACCCAGCAGGGCATGGTGAGCTTGCTGTCTGCGGAGGCACTTGACCTCTGCGAGCCTCAGTTTCTTCATCTGTCAAATGGGGCTGAGGAAGGTCCCCACTCTTGCAGGTCACGTGAAGGTTGTCAAGGTAAGGGGGGTAAACCCGGGGCGTGTGAGAGCTGTGTGCATCCCGTGTGTGTGGAGCTGGCTCCCAGGCCCTTCTGGCTGTTTTGTCCCTGGCCCCTCTGAATGGCTGGTGCATGGTACAGGCTGCTGGCTTGCTTTGGACAGAAGGGACTGGAAAACCTTAGAGGGAGGTTCCCGAGACTGTGTTGTCTGGAAGTTCCTGCATGCTCAGGCCCTCTGGTGCCAGGCGGTCAGATGGCCAGCAGGACACAGCACCCTCATGTGCCCCCGGGCCTTCTGAACCTGACCCTGCCCACGGGGGCCCACCTGTCACCCCCAGGGGCGGCACTCACCAGAGGAGGGCAAGGTTGATCTCAGTGTTGGGGGGGTAGTTCTCCAGCTGGATGAGGAAAACAAATAGCAGGGGCCCCAGAAAGTTGACCAGGGCGATGACCCCAGGGGGCAGGTATTGCAGCAGCACAAACAGTGAGTCCTGCAGGAAAGAGCAGGTAGGGGGTGCCCATGGACTGGGGGGCCCCAGCAGTTCCCCCACACCCTACAGCCCCCTCAAGTGCCACTCTGGTGCAGGCCTGGCCTCCGGAAGCCCTCGGACTATTCCGGGTGGCAGCTCGGCTCTCGGGTACCACGGGCAGAGGCGGTGTCAACCTCCCTGTGCGTCTCGGCTTGCTCATCTACCAGGTGGGACCGTCCCGTCTCCTCCCACCAAAGCTGTGGGCAGGACCGAATGGGTGCACGTCAGTCGCCTGGCACCTCTTTGTTGTCCTGCGAGTACTTGGTGGCCCAGAAGATCACGCTGATGGCCCCAACCACCAGGAGCCCGATGAGGACGTTGACTCGCAGGTAGGTAAGCAGGTGGCAGATCCTCTGGGTCCGGGTCTGCTGCTGCACCTGCAGGAACCGACGCCCTTCCTCCAGCTCCACCTGTCGTGGGGGCGGGGACACAGACCGTCAGGCCCCCCGCGGGCAGGGCGCTGCGTGGAGGGAGAGAGTGCCCATCGGGTCCAGGTCAGCGATCGTGGGGGGATCCAGGCAGGGCTGGCGAGTCGCTGGAGCAGGGGCGGCGAGGGATGGAGGTGGCTTTCATGTGGACCACCCTCCCTGCCCTGTGTGCGTGTGCTCACGCCCGAGCACTGGCAGAGCCACCCCTTTGGCTAGAACACCCCGTGCACGTGCCTGTGCACACACTCCCAGACCACCCCCGCTCCCGTACTTAGTCACGCACGCTCACGCATTTGTCCACGCACCAGACACCCGCACACACCTTGAACTCGTTGCTGATCTCATGCTTCTTGATGGTGGCTGCTTCCTGCCCCCGGATACAGAAGTCCCAGGAGGAGAACACTTGGACGCTGACGGGCGACCTGTAGTCCTGGCCCAGAAACAGCCTCTGTGGCAGCCCCTTCACCATCCTGGAGGGAGCAGGAGGCCAGGGCCCATGGGGGAGGGGCTCCGCCCTGGCTCAGGTCTGGGGTGGGAAGCCCCTGACAGCCCGGGGTGCGGGCTTGTGGTGGGGGTGGGGAGGTAGGGGCGGTGCCTCCGGCTCCGCAGCTGGGGACACACTGTTCGGGCCCTGGAACCATGGATGAGCCTTACTGAACAGGAGCCGGGGCCCTCCTGCTACCTTGGGGTGCCACACCAAAGGGGGGGTGGTCAGGGAGAGAGGGCGAGGCAGGACTCTGCTCTCACCGCCGAAGAGTCCCACAGAAGCAGAGGAGGAGGCAGGCCAGGGGGCTCAGGAGGTAGGCCAGGCGGATGCTGTAGGCCGAGCTGCTCTCTGGACCCGCTCGGTAGGCGCCGTAGAAGAGGTAAGTGTTGTTGAAGGCCTAGGGATGTGGATGGTGACAACGGGGTCATGCAGGCCCTGTGCTAAGTGCTCCCCGTGTCTTAAGTCTCTAATTCTCATAGTAACTCATCCCGGGGGAGCGAGAGCAGCCACACGTCACAGTCACAGGGCCATTGGGCAACTTGCCCAAGACCACACCGCTCTGGGGAAGAGGCAGGGTGGGATACAGGAGCTTGGGAACCACTCAGTGGCTTCCAGGGATGAGGGTGGGGGGGTGTCTGTCCCACAGATGTGGACCCCTTCTTCCTCTGTCCTTTGCACCCCGACCCCAGCTGGGTGCTGGGGGCCATGGACATGTGTCCCTGGATCTGGGCCGTGCATACTGGCCGCAGCCTCTCTCTGAGCCCACCACTGTCCCCGCCAGCCTGTTTGTGTAAAACCGTTCCCCTAGATGCCAAAATGTCTTCGGAGGGACGGGGATCCTCTTAGACCTTGGTCCCCTGGGGCCAGCTGTCCAGGTCCCCCCGCCTCCCTGGTCCACAGCCAAGACAGAGCTCACTTACCCTGCCGGTTAAGACATTCCAGAGTTGATTGTGGAACCTGGGAACACCAGTCTGGGACTGGAGGCCATCAGAGCACTGGAGGGCTGCAAGGGGGAGAGGGGACCAGCAGGGAGGGGTCCCCAAGGCATAGGTGAGGCCCTGTGCCCACCTCCTCCATAGCCCCCCATCCTGGGGAGGCCCGAGCAGGGCCCTGAGGAGGTGTCAGGAGGCATGCCACGCATGAGGCGCGGTCAGGGAGCGTCCCGGGGCTGGACTCAGGCAGGAGGGAGCCCAGGATCGGGACGCAGAGGGTCAGGGCTGTCCCAACACTCTGAGCCCTGCACCAGCCCCCCAGGGTCCTCAGGGTGCAGGTGGGCGCTCGGGCCCTTATTCCCTCGGCGGGCGGGGCACTCACTGAAGTTGAGGGCCGGGCCTGGGTCACCGGGGCGGAGCCAGACCAGGGGCAGCAGGACGAAGCTGGCGGTCAGCAGCAGGGTCAGCAGGTTGAGCAGCAGCAGGAAGCGGAGAAAGGTGAAGTAGGACTGGATTCCGGTGCCAAAGAGGCCTGCGAGGGGAGCCGCGCCGGGCCAGGGGCCCAGCTGGGAATCCGAGGGCCCATCAACCCCGCGGGGTGCGGGCCACCCGCCTCCCGGACCTCCGACCTCCAGGCTCCCCCGCGGTGCCTGTGATGGCCACCAGGGGCTGCTGTCACCCACGCTCGGGGCAGGAGGGGTGTGCAAGGAAGGAGGGCGACGTTTGCTGGGGGTGGGGTGGGGGGGCAGGGGGGTTGGTGGGGGTAGGGAGGGCGAAGGCAAGCGGGATGGTGGTCTCCTCGGGTTGCTAAACTGGACACTGAGACTCCAGGGAGGGGTGGTGGGAGGTGGGGTGCGGGTGGGGGTCCTACCTCCGATCTCGTAGAGGGCCCCTTCCCAGAGCCCGAAGCCCTGGGCCAGCCGCCGCGCTGCCTCCCCGAGGCGCCGCCCCACTGCCCGCCGCCGGTGCTGCCATCGCTGCCAGCAGGAGGTCTTGGCGCCCTCGGGCTCCCGCAGCTGCCTGGGATGGGGGGGGCGTCCCTGAGCCACCCGCACTGCACCCCCCCCTCTCCGGGCCAGGCAGAGCAGTGCCAGGGGCCAGAGGAGTCCTGCCCCTGCTGTGACTTCCCCCCATCCAACAGGTGCATCCTCTGGGTGCTCCACCCCCCGCCACCCCCTGGCCTGACCTGTCAGCCCCACGGCACCCACCGGATGAAGCGCTTGTCCACCATGGCATAGGGCAGCTCCCGCACCAGCGCCTGGGAGGACTGCAGCCGCGCCACCTCCTGCTCCCACAGTTCCTCCACTCCGGCTTCTGGCTCCTGGGAGGCCTGGCCGGACTCCACTGACCACTGCCTCAGCATCTCTGCGGTGGCCGGGAGGTTGGGGGCGCTGGCTGGCAATCCCCTGCCTCCTGGAAGGGACATGGGGTGCCTGCTGGGCGAGCGTCAAGCTCTTGGCCTTGGTACGGCCAGAGATGAAGAGAGAATTCAGCTGGGGCGGATCCCGCTGGGGCGGATCCCGGCTCAATCCCTGTCCGCAGCTCAGAGCAACACACTGCCAGAGGCCTCAGTTTCCCTGTTTGTCAATGGGGAGAAAGGTCTAAAGAGCACGGAAAGATGGCCCGTCCCAGCAAAGCCAAGGCCAGGCGTAGCCACAGAGGACTGAGCTGGGTCCCAAGGCCTGCGGTACCCGTCCCCCCTGCCCGGGGGGCCACGGGCCTTCTGGGTCATCCCTTGGCAAGACAAATCCGGCTCTGCTCCCCCCGCTAATTCTTCCACTGGGGCCCTGCCCTACACCCTGACAGTTCCTAGGATCCAGTATCCCGTGGCACCCCGGATTTGGACGTGATAGGACCCCCTTCATCCCCTACCTGTGGTCCAGCCCCCAGGACTGGGTCTGCCCCGCCCCCCAGGGACCCGATGAGGGGGCGTGGCTACAGCCCCAGACTCGGGAAGGGGACCCTGGTGGCAGCTATAACCCCTACCCCCAGCAGCCCCACACTGCAGGGCTCTCCCTTTCACCTCCTCACTCTCTGCCTCCTCCCCCCACTCTGCACCCTGCTCACCTGGGGACAAGGGATCCGGTCCCCAAGGAGCTGCTTGTTGGACCCACTCCCGGGCCAGGCCTGGCGAGACCGTGAGGGAGCCTGGGACGGGGGGAGGGGGATGGTTGTTGGGGTGTCACATGACAGGAACCCCAGCTCTCCCGCCTTCTCCTCCCCCTCCACTTCGGGCTCCCACCTCGACAGTTTCCTCTGCTTTCACTGGGGCCGCCACTTCCTGCGGCGCTGGGCGACCAGGCAGGTGGAGGGTGTGTGGGGGGGTGGCCTCTGGACCCCGTGGGGTTGGGGTCCCCAGGGCGGGGGTCGCCCCCATCTCCCCCTCCCCCCACTTCTGCATGCTTGTCCCCACCGGATCTCTCTAGGCCTGGGAAGCCCCAGCTGGGGCGGGGGCCTGGCTGCTTATCTGCGGGTGGCAGGCTGTCCTGGGGAGAGCAGGATGGTGACAGAATGGGTGGGTCCCATCGCTCGGGGCCCCTGGTTCCAGAAGCCCTTGGCCTTAATCCTCAACTTCCCTCCTGGGTCACTGGCTCTTGGACAAGGCGCGGACTTAGAGCCTGGAGGATGGCAAGGGCTCAGGAGTCGGTGTCATCTGCACCAGCTAGGCAAGGTGTTCAAGAGCCCCCTTGGACCTTTGTGTCCCGGGTTCCCCTGGGAGACCCTGTGATCTTACCCTTCTTGTGCCCGCTCCTCCCTCCTCAGGGCCCAGTCCAGCCTGCTGAGCTCTGCGGGCTTTTCTGCATCCCTGCCTGGAACCCCTCATTTTTCCAAGCCCCTCCTCCACGCCAGGCTCCACGCTGGGTGCTGGGGCCCAGCACCCAGTGGGTTCAGAGAGTGGGGGCGGGGAGAAGGGACCAGCAAAAGTACATGTCAACAGGAAGTGGCAAGTGCTCCAACAGGGAGGCTTCCTACAGGACGTGACCTGCAAGTGGGGCCAGGTCACGCAAGAACCATGTGGCTGGAGCATGGATGGGTGTGCGGGGACGGGACGGGGCGGGGTGGGGGGAGGCAAGGGCTGGGCAGGCCTGGGGGGGGCCTTGTGCCAAGATGCAGCCCGAAGTAACCCACCTGAGGACCACAGCGGTGGCTGCAGAAAAGCCCCAACCCTGACCCCTCCGACTTTGTCCAACTTCAGGTCAGCGGACCCTTCACCGGTTGCATCACATCTTTTCACTGGGGAATCCTGGCTTTGCCCACCTCTCTGCCTTCCCGCCCGCCAGCGTCCTAAGGCTTCCCTACACGGGGAATGTGCCCCCCAACACTGTCCAAGTCCCCCCAAGTCTCACCCCAATCCTGGGAGCCTGCCCTCTGACCTGCCAGGCTTTCTCAAAGTCGGCGCTCCCCGATGGACCAGGCTCTGCCCTGGGAGAGGACCCCCGGGGGCCTGCTGGTCATCCGTGCGCAGGGACCGCAGGCCGCTCCCCGGCTTGGGGGGCCGGGGGGGGGGGGGCAACCAGGACGGCAGCAGTGGGCACAGCAGGTGTCCCCCTCCCGGGTCGCGCCCCCTCCTCCCCGCCTAGCCCACAGGACCTGCGCCAGAACCGAGCAGAACCCCCGCCCCGCGCAGGGGGTGGTCCCCCCCGCCCAGGAGCCTGCTCGGGAAGGCCGCTTGGGAAAGCCTTGGTCTGCGGGGGTTGCGGGGAGGAGAGGGTTGCCCAACGCGCTGTCGCAAGCCTCCACCAGCGGAGCTTTGCAGCCTCGTGGCATCTTGATGACCGCCCTGGGAAACGGGTGGCTGGGGCGGTGTCCCCATCTGAAACTTGGGGAAACTGAGTCCCACGGACACCGCGGACTCCACCGCGATTGGAGTCGACCCCGACGCTCGGCCGCCCGCACGCAGCTCAGGCCTCGGGGTGCGGGGGAGACGGGGTGGCGGGTCGGCAGGGAGAGGCCAGGGTCGCCCGAGGCGGGGCGCAGGGTCACGTGACGCCGGAGGCCGGCCCCCAGGTGGGCCGGGCGGGGCGCTGCTCCCTCCCGCCCCCAACCGCCCCGCCCCCCGCGACCGACCCAGGTCGCCTCTGGGGCCCGGTCACCTCCGCCCCGCCCCCTCACCCCGCGGCCCCGCCCCCGGAGGTCCGAGCCCCGACCCCGGCTCCGGGGACAGGTGAGCGGCTCGCGGGCGCGCAGGGCGCCCCTCCCCCGCGCCTCCCAGGTATGCGCGGCCACGGGGTGCGGGCGGGGCGCGGGCCCCCGGGGAGGGGCGCGCCGCCCGGCAGCCCCGGCCCCCCGCCCCCGGCCTCCTCCCCGGCCCCCCGGGCCCCCCGGGCTGGGGGAACGTTCCCGGGGAGCGGCTCCACCCTGCCCCTCCCCACCTGCTCAGGGCTCAGGAATGGAGAGTCCCGGAAACCCTGCGGGGCGCGCCGGCCCGGGGAGGGCGGCAGGGTGCCCGCTGCGGAAGTCCCGGCGTCGCCTGGCGGAGCCCGGGGGAGCCCCCAGCCCCGGCCGGCCGGGGATGCCGGGCCTCTGAGCACCTCCCACCTCCCACCTCCCCACTACCCGCGCCCCCGAGGGGTGTGCGGGAGAGGCCTGTGGGCCTGGGAGGCGCTGTATGGAGGGACCCCAGCTCTAGGGACAGGAGCGGGGGGGGGGTACACCCTCAGCTCCATGTCCATCTGTTTGCCCCATTCAGCTCCCTGGTGGTGGTGCCCCCCGCCCCCCATCGCCGGCTCCCGCTGGAGGGAGAGGAAGGGGCTCAGACTTTGCGGGGCCTGGGCTCAGAGACTGGACGGCCTGCACCCCTAAGTGAGGACGCTGTTTGGGCATCCTGGCCACCCCCCCCCCAAGACCCCTCAAGCTCAGCCAACTATTCCGAGTGCTGTTTTCCCTCCTGCGCGTCGGGGGAGGGGGAGGAGGGGGGGGAGGACGGGACTGGGCCCTTGCTGGGCTGCGCCCTGCGCCACTCCCACCGGGTGAGGAGCCCAGACAAGGCCGCCCTGGTTCCAGTTGCCCCGGGCGGTGGCGGAGGGCTCAGCCTGGACAAAGGCGGGACAAAGGCTGCCTGTGTAATGCGCGCCCCCCCCCAGCCAGCTGCCCGCCCCACCTCCGGGTGATGGAATGTAGGGGAGTCCTCTGCTGGGGACTGGTGACCTTGCAGCACCCTAGCTCAGCCGGCGTGGAGTGCCGTGATCCCCGTTGGGGGGTGAGGGCAGGCAGTGCTGGGTGGGGGCGCAGCTGGAGGACCCCCCACCAGGGGGGTGCTGGTTGTGGGGCGAGGGCTAGCCGTTGGAGGGTTTCCTGTGAGAGGAAGTGCTCTGGGGTTACAGGGCAGGCACAGGAAGGTCTGGGAGCTGCCCTGACCTTTTGCACCAGGAGGGCCGTGGATACCTGGGACCTGGGCCGAGCCGGCGCCTGGGGGAGCTGCTAGGGGAGCTGCGTCCCCGGGCTCCCACCCCTTCCCGCTTCCCCGGGACTGGGGACTGGCTGGGGACTGGCGGCGCCGGAGAGGAAACAATGGGGACTGCTCAGACCCCCCCACTTCCTTCTGCTCGCCCTCAGGCAGTGGAAGGGGCTCCCCCTCGCCCGCCCATTCAGGCAGGAGGTTTATTTGGAGTCACTGACCCGGCCACGTGTTTGGCTGGGGCTGGGGGGCCTCGGCCGCGGGCGCCTCCCACGGGCCCCAGGGAGCCGGCGGTTTGGCCCGGCCCCAGGCACTGAGGCCGCCTTGGCGCACCACTCCCTGTCTCCCCAGATGGGCAGCGGGAGGCTCCGGAGGCTGCGCCCAGGCTCTGAGCAGCCCTGAGCAGCCGTAGGTCTGCAGACCGGCTGGGCGTGGGTCACCGACATGGCCCAGCCACTGACCTTTGTCCTCAGTGTTCCCGAGACCCCAGAGGACCATGGGTAAGTGTGCTGGGGCCGGGGCGGTGTGGTGGGGGGTGCTGGAGGGCAGGGATGTCCCCCTCGTCCCCGCCCCAGAGGCCACCTTGACTGGGGCCTGTGGATGGGGGCGGCAGCCAGGGCAGCTGAACCCCGCCCCCCCCACCTCATCTTGCAGCCCGGAGCCCAGCCCCTATGATGAGAGCGAAGTGCACGACTCCTTCTATCAGCTCATCCAGGAGCAGAGCCAGTGGGTGGCCGAGGAGGGTCTGGAGCTGCAGCAGAGGGAGCCGGGGCCCCCGGAGACCCCAGGTGAGCCCCCCATGCAAGCCCCCAGGCCAGGCCCTGGGTGTGGCTCAGGCCCCCCGGGGCACAGGCCCTGGGATGGGGATGCGGTGGGCGGGGCGCTGAGCCTGGCCAGCCTGGCAGGATGCCGCTCCCAGTGGGCTACAGGCCTGGGGTAGGGATGGGGTGGGATGGGGTGGCGGACGTGGCTGGCCAGCCGGGTCTCTGGGACCTCTGGATGTGTCTTCCCACCTCCTAGGCAGCGGCCACCAGGCCCTGCTGGGGCCCGAGGACCCCCTCGTCCACAGCACGGCCACACTCCGCATCTTGGCCAGCATGCCCAGCCGCACTATCGGTGAGTGGGCCCTCTACCCCCCGCACCCCGGGGCGCCTCGGGCTTCAGGCGAGGATCTCGGCCCCTGCTCCCGGCTGCTGCCCGGAGGCCCCGCACCGCCCCTGTGGCCCCACTGGGTTCCAAAAATGACTCCGGAGTCATAGGGCTAAAAATAGGCCCTTGGGAACCCGGTGGTGCTGGAGGCCTCTTGGAAAGGGACTTCCTTGGGTCCTGGGAGGGGCGGGGGCTGGGGGGCAAGGCCGGCGCTGCCCCTGACCACCGCCCCGCAGGCCGCAGCCGAGGGGCCATCATCTCCCAGTACTACAACCGCACCGTGCGGCTCCAGCGCAGGGTCAGCCGGCCCGAGCTCGGGGGCGTGGGGCGCTCCGCCCGGCCCAGCCTCCGCCTCTACGACCTGGAGCTGGATCCCGTGGCCCTGGAGGAGGAGGGTGAGCGAGCAGACCCATGCCCCAGGGATGGAGCCCCCACGCCCCCACGCTGAGCGCTCGGGTGGGACACATGCTGCCGGCTTCGGGCTGTGACGGTGGCGAGCAGACCAGGCCCAGCTGTCCCGCGGCTTGCTTTCCGCCCAGTGACACAGGCAGGAACCAGCTAAATGGAAGAGCAGACTCAAGCTCAGATGAGGGTGACTGAGGAAAGGCAGGCGGCACGACGGGGATCCAGGGAGGCTCCCTGGAGGAAGGGACACTAACACAGAGGGCCTTGTGCAAAGGCCCTGAGGTGGGAGGCTGGTGCGCAGCAGGGCCGGTGTCACAGGTTGGGGCGGTGAGGTTCAGGTGCACTGGAGGTCAGAGCAAGATGCTTGTGGGGACCCAGGAGGAGAGTTAGGGTTCATAGGCTGTGGTGGGGGAGTGGAGACAGCTAGTGGGGGCCACGGCGGGGTCTGGTGTGGATTGTGCGGGCGGAGAGCGGCCGGCCAGGCCTGGGCGGGTGGGCTGAGGTCTGCGGGCCTGTCCGGGGCCTGGGGACAGGTACAGGAGAGGGGCATGTGACGGGGGGCTGACAGGGCCCCCTCCTTCCATAGAGAAGCGGTTCCTCCTGGTGAAGGAGCTCCAGGGCCTGCCGGTGGCCCAGCGGGACCACATGCTCCGCGGGATGCCCTTGGGCCTGGCCGAGAAGCGCTGCCTGCGGTCAGTGCCCGTGGCCTCGAGACCCGCTTCCTTGGCTCTTCCCGCTGGGCGGCGGGTGGGCAGCGCCCTGGGCACGTGGCGAGTGGCTCCCGGGAGGGACTGGGGCCCGTCCCGGTCCAGCCCTGAGGCCGCCTCTGCCCCCAGAGAGGAGAGCCGGACCCTGACGCGGAAGCGGCGTGGCCGCCGTGGCCGGCGTGGGCTCCTCTCCTGCTGCGGCCGGCTGCGGGACGCCTGCGTCCTGGTAGGAGCCACCTGTCCTGGGGGGGGACCGGGCTGCCCGGCGGGGGTCCCGAGCTCAGGCCGGCCCCCTCCCGCCTCTGCCCCCACAGGCCCTGCACAGCCTGGGGCTCGGGCTGCTCTCGGGGCTGCACGCCCTGATGCCCTGGCGCTACGCCCTGAAGCGGATCGGAGGCCAGTTCGGCTCCAGCGTGCTCTCCTACTTCCTCTTCCTCAAGACCCTGCTGGCCTTCAACGCCCTCCTGCTGCTGCCCCTGCTGGCCTTCCTCGTGGGCGTGCAGGCCGCCTTCCCGCCGCCAGCCTCCCCGGGCGCCGTCCCCGCCTTCACGGGCTTGGAGCTGCTCACCGGCGCGGTGAGGGCTGGGCCGGGGCGAGGGAGCCGTCGGGGGGGCCGGGGGCTTCTGCAGGTGGGGGCCCTGCCTCCCCCGGGGAGCCCCCACCCCTACAGCCAGCACCCCCTGTGCTGTGACTCCAGGCTGCGGCCAGCCTCTCCCTGGTGTCCGTCCCGCCCCGACTTCCGTGGGGCCGGGGAGCCCCGGGATGGCTGTGGCCCTCGGGCTCCCTCCGTGCCCTCCTCCCCGCCCCTGCCCTGCCCTCGCCCTGCCCCGTGGCCGGCGTCCCTCTGCCTCTGGAAGCCTGAGGCTGGGTCAGGTGTGGGAGGCGGGAGAGTCCCTGACTCAACGGGGCGTCCTCCCTGCAGGGCCGCTTCACCCACACCGTCATGTACTACGGCTACTACAGTAACACCACGCTGAACCAGCCGTGTGTGCCCCCGCTCGACGGCGGTCAGTGCAGCCGCGAGGCAGACGGCCTGCCCTACAACATGCCCTTGGCCTACCTCTTCACTGTGGGCGTGGCCTTCTTCATCACCTGCATCACCCTGGTGTACAGGTAATGGCCCCCCACCATATGGCCTCGGCTCTGCGTACTACTGATTGTCTACTCAGCCGTTCATTCCTGGGTGCCTCCTTCCACCCGTCCACCCACTCTTCTCTCTATCCATCTACTCTTCTGTCTATCCATCCATCCATCTATCCTTCCATTCACCCATCCACTCATCCTTCCATCATCCTTCTTTCTGTCCATCATCCATTCATCTTTCCATCCATCCATCCATCCATCCATCCATCCATCTATCCATCCTTCCGTCCATCCATCCATTCATACTTCTATCCTTCCATCCATCCATCTGTCCATCCATCTGTCCATCCATCCATCCATCCACCCATCCTTCCATCTATCTGTCCATCCATCCATCCTTCTGTCCATCCATCCATCTGTCCTTCCACTCGTCCATCCATTGGTCCATCCATCTGTCCATCCTTCCATCCATCCACCCATCCTTCCATCTATCTGTCCATCCATCCATCCTTCTGTCCATCCATCCATCCTTCTGTCCATCCATCTGTCCTTCCTGACCTCCGTCTATCCATCCATCCATCCATCCATCCATCCATCCATCCACTCATCCTTATGTCCATCCATCCTTCCTTTCATCCATCCATCCATTCATACTTCCATCCATCCATCCTCCTGTGCATCCATCTGTCCATCCTTCTATCCATCCATCCGTCCTTCCACCCATCCTTCCATCTATTATCCATCCATCCATCCATCCATCCATCCATCCTTCAGTCTGTCCTTCCGTCCGTTTGTCCATCTGTCCATCCATCCACCCATTTTTCTGTCCATCCATTCTTCCATCCACCTGTCCATCCATCCATCCATCCATCCATCCATCCATCCACCCACCCAGCCACCCAACCATTTATCCCCTCCACCCACAAACATCGACTATGCTCAGCTCGGGGCAGGAAGGTGAATGAGCATGGTGCCTGGTTCCCTTAGGCACTTGCCGTCTAGGGGAGAAGACATCAGGGAGCGGGCTGGGAAAATCCAGAGCCCCAGAGGTGTTTGCTGAGGAGTGAGGAGAGTTTGAGTCAGGCTGGCTTCTGAGGGGAGGTGCTCATGTCCCACAGGGAGGTTAAACACGAGTGGGCGGGGGAGAAGCAGAGGAGGGTGATTGGGTCCTGCACGGGCAGTGCGAGAGGCCCGAGGTGTCACCGTGCTCTGCAGCGGTGTCTTGTGGGAGGCGCCCACTGTCTCAGTGGGCGATGGAGCCCGCCCTCTGCCAGCCGCTATGGCTGGTGGGCACCGAATTAGCCGGGTTGATGGGTGGCCAGCGGTCCGCAGCAGGCAGCCCAGGGCGCAGCACTGGAGGAGGGGCAGGGTGTCGGCGGAGGCCCATCGGGCACCCCAAGGGCTCCTCAGAGTGGGTGGGGGTTTCAGCTGCGGGGAGCGTCCCTGACTGCCTTCTCACCCGGCCTCTGTGTCCCTCGTCACCTCTGTGCCTGGCTCTGCTCCTCCCAGCATGTCGCACTCTTTTGGGGAGAGCTACCGGGTGGGCAGCACGGCGGGGGTTCATGCCGTCACCGTTTTCTGCTCCTGGGACCACAAGGTAACTCAGAAACGGGCCTCCCGCGTCCAGCACGACAACATCCGAACCCATCTGAAGGTGAGCCACTCCGGGGCCGGGGGAGCCCCTGGGGCCACCGCCTGACTGGTGGGCTCCCGCAGACCCGGCCCGGGCACACTAAGGTCCACGCAGCCAGAGCCGCAGGGGCCCCTGGTCCCAGAGACACGGCTTAGCACCGGGAATCGTCCCGGGGTGCGTCTCTAATGGGGGGGCGGACTCGAACGCCTGGGAACCCCTGTTACTAGGACACTGCTCGGCAGGTGCAGCGTGCGTGCTCAGGCCCGGTCTATGCTGGTGGCCTGTCCCCTGTCCCGTGCAGACTCCGTGTCAGGTGGCCCCCACCCCCAGGGGCCGCCGCTCCCCTGCGAGAGGCCTAGTAGGCTGCTCTTGGGGCTCCTGCCCACGCGCAGCCCAGGGTAGGGACTGTCAGCGTTCCCTGCTGCCCGTGAGCAGAGCCACCTCCGAGGGTCAGTCCCCTGCCCAAGGCCAGTGGCCAAGCGGGGCCCGGTGGGAAGGTCTCTGCGTGTCTGGGGTCTGTGTCAGGGGGGCCCCATCTCTGACCTGGCCGATGGGCCCTCCTGCCCTCGGGGAGCTCCCGTGGCCGGACGGGGCGTCCTTCGTGCCTCGGGGCTCCTGGTCAACTGGGGGGCCGCCCACCTCCACAGCAGGGAGCGGGGCTCAGAGGCAGGGGTGGGGAGGGAGGCCTCAGTGTGCAGCCTGAGCCTGGGAGTGGCGAGGAGGGCCGGGTGGTGGCGTTGGGGGTGGGAGGGGGGCGGCCCCTTGGTCCCCCCAGGCTGCCCAGGGGACCACCCCCGGGTCCCCATGTGTGTCTGCGCGTCTGCCGTGCGGTTCCTGATGGGCTGGCCGCTGCCCCCAGGAGCTGCTGGCCGAGTGGCAGCTGCGGCAGGTCCCCCGGAGCCTGTGCGGGCGGCTGCGGCAGGTGGCCGTGCTGGGGCTCGTGTGGCTGCTGTGTCTGGGGACGGCACTGGGCTGCACCGTGGCCGTCTACGCCTTCTCGGAGCTCACGATCAAGGTGCGGGCCAACGGCGGACAGTCCCCATGGCCCTGGCCACAGGGTCAGGCCCCTGCTTACTTCAGACAGGTCCCTGGTGACTGGGTCCCCGCGCCGCCACCCCGGCTGCCCGCCCACCCTCTCGCTCTTGCTCACTCACTCCTCCTGCCTCTTCTGTTTCGCTTTCCCAGACACCTGCGTCCCCACCCCCTTCCTGTGTGGTTTGACTGGGAGGCCTGGGCGGGTGTATCTTGGGGGGGGATGGGGGCCGCGGGTGCTCCTTTCACCCGGGGGGCCCTCCGGGCAGCCCCCGCCAGCCAGGGCCCGTGGGTGGAGCCGGCCCCAGGATGGGGCCCCTGCCGTGACCCCCGCCCCTCCTCCTGCAGAGCCCCGTGTCCACGGAGCAGGAGGGGGCGCTGCTGGCCCTGCCCACCGTGGTGTGCGTCCTCAATCTGGGCGCCCCCTACCTGTACCGCTGCCTGGCGGCCCTGGAGCGGCACGACTCCCCGGTGCTGGAGGTGTACGTGGCCATCTGCAGGTGCGCGGCCAGGCCGGGCAGGTGGAGGCTTCCTGGGGCGCGGCCTCTGTCCCCCGCTCCGCTCTCAGCCCTCCCCGCCTCCCTGTCCCCCCTACAGGAACCTCATTCTCAAGATGGTCATTCTGGGGATTCTTTGCTACCACTGGCTGGGGCGCAGGGTGGGCGTCCTGAAGGAGCAGGTGAGGTGGGGCTGCAGGGAGGGCAACCCCCAGGGCGCTGCCCTGCTGCCAGGGGTGCGGGTGGTGGGCAGGGTGGCGGCCAGCGGGTCAGGGGCCGAGGCCCGGTCTCTTTCAGTGCTGGGAGAACTTCGTGGGCCAGGAGCTGTACCGGCTCATGGTGCTGGACTTCATCTTCGTGCTTCTGGACACGCTTTTCGGGGAGCTGGTGTGGAGGTGAGGTGCCCGGTCCCGCCCGCGTGCCGCTGAGCCCCTGGGCCGCCCTCGAGGGGCTGGGCGGCGCCCACCTGGGTGCTGCTCGCTGGAGGCCTCCGTGGAGGATGGGAAATGCATGAGGATGGGGGGGCGGGGGGCGTTTCCAGAAGGCTTCCAGGCACTGGCACTGCTGCTGCTTTTATTTCTATTTGTGTTTTTTTTTTTTTTCCGGGAATATGTGAGTTTATTAATAATTTTAAAATGGGATGTTTAACAGTCAGTAAAACGTTTGATGCCACTTGTGCACGTTTAGAGCTGGGCGTCGGAAGGACCACGACGTGGGGCGCCTGGCTCAGTGGGGGGAGCGTGTGACTCTTGATCTCAGGGTCATGAGTTCGAGTCCCAAGTTGGGCGTAGAGATTACTTAAAAAAAGAAAAAAGAAAGAAAAAAGAGCAAGCGGAAGTCAGCCGTAGCCCGCACCCTCGGCGGAGGACCCGAGTTGGCGGGCACCTGCCTGCTGCGGCCCGGCTCTGGGGTCGGTGCTCCCTCGTGACCCTGGGGGCTCCTCTGCCGCAGGCTCATCTCTGAGAAGAAGCTCAAGCGGGAGAAGCCGGAGTTTGACATTGCCGGGAACGTTCTGGAGCTGATTTACGGGCAGACCCTGACCTGGTGAGCGTCTTTTGCTTGCCCGCGGCCGCCGGGCCCGCGCGGGGAGGGTCCCCTCAGGCCTGCAGCGGGGCCCCCTTGGCAGTGTGCGGTGACGCGGGCCCGGCCCCTCACCTCTCCGGGGCGCAGTGCTGCCCCTCCCCGGGGACCTGAAGCCAGCCCGGCGTGGGCTGGGTCACGGAGGGCGCGGGGCCTCTCGGGGTGACCAGGCCGTGTAGCCCCGGGGCCGCGCAGCGCTCGTGACCCCAGCCCCCTTCCCCCTCCCCAGGCTGGGGGTCCTCTTCTCGCCCCTCCTCCCCGCCATACAGATCATCAAGCTGCTGTGCCTCTTCTACGTCAAGAAGGTAAAGGTGCCCGCGGGGCCCCGGGGAGCGGGCGCAGCCGGGTGGGCCCTGGGCTGGCGGCGCGGAGCCCTGCCCTCCGCCCGAGAGCCGTGGGCCCCGCAGCCCGGGGCGCCGTGGGGTCGGCTGAGTGCGCCCCCACCGCGCTCCCGGGCCGGCCAGCAGCCCGTTGGGGTGCGCGGTGGGTGCCGGGCGGCCCGACGCGTCCTGGGGTTCGGGTGGGCTCGGTGGCTGAGAACCGGCCTCTCTGTCCAGGCGTCTGTCCGGGCGTCTGTCTGGGCTGCTCGACGGGGCACCGTGTGCCCAGGCTGCTGGGGCGACGTTCATAGGGCGCCGGCCCCGAGGTGGCCGCGGTGTCTGGTCTCCCCTCTGCCAATCAGGAGGCGGGGCTGGGGAGCCTGCCCCCCTGCCCCCCTGCCCCCTCCTGCCCCCCTGCCCCCCAGGCCTGGGGAGGGAAGTCGGGCGGGCGGTGGCCGAGCTCAGTCTCTGTCCCCAGACGAGCCTGATGGCCAACTGCCAGGCGCCCCGCAGGCCGTGGCTGGCCTCGCACATGAGCACCGTCTTTGTCTCGCTGCTCTGCTTCCCCTCCTTCCTGGGAGCCGCCGTCTTCCTCTGCTACGCCGTGTGGCAGTGAGTGGGTCCTCGCCCGGGGGGCGTGGAGCCGCCCCTGGATTCGGGGGGCTGCCCGTGCCCGGCTCGGGGCTCAAGCCGCCGTCTGCCCCCAGGGTGAGGCCCTCCAGCACCTGCGGCCCCTTCCGGACCCTGGACACCATGTACGAGGCGGGCAAGGTGTGGGTGCGCCGTCTGGAGCAGGCGGGCCCCAGCGTGTCCTGGGTGCCCTGGATCCACCGCTACCTGGTGGAAAACACCTTCCCCGTCTACCTGGTGTCGGCCCTGCTGCTGTGAGTGCGCGCAGGCGGGGCGTCGGGGAGGAGAACCCCGGTGGGGCCGTCCTGTCCCCCCGGCTGCTGCTCAGGGTCCCCCCTGACCGCCCGTGTGTCCGGCTCCCCGCAGGGCCGTCATCTACCTCAACATCCAGGTGGTGAAGGGCCAGCGGAGGGTCATGTGCCTCCTCAAGGAGCAGATCAGCAACGTGAGTGCCCCTCCCCGCCCTGGGGCCACCTCCTGGCTGGCACAGCTCCCCCAGCCCGGGTGCCGAAAGGCTCTCCCCGTTAGTAGGTGTGGTTCGTACTGAGCAGAGACGGGGAGTGAAGCCGCTGGGTCGCAGAGACCCCTCAGGACAGGGCTCCAGGGGACGGGCTCAGGGTGGCATGGGGTGGGGGTTGGGATTTGGGCTCCGGCTAAGAAGGGCAGCATTTTAGGGCGTGCGGGCCTGCGGGGGTGCAACCTCTGTGAGGATTTTTGAGACTGAGGAAATAGTTTTTGGACTGTTTGGGGGACTCACACTGGGACATGGACCCCGTTCAGTGCCCTCATTTTGCAAAGGAGTGGAGTAAGGTTAAAAGCAGTCCTGGATTTAAGTCACTTTTTTTTTTTTTAAGACTTTACTTACTTATTCATGAGACACAGAGAGAGACGCAGAGACACAGGCAGAGGGAGAAGCAGGCTCCCTGCGGAGAGCCCCATGTGGGACTCGATCCCAGGACCCCCGTGTCACGCCCTGGGCCGATGGCGGCTCTAAACTGCTGAGCCCCCTGGGTGCCCTAAATCACTTTATTATTTTTTAATTTTCTTAAATTTTACTTTTTAAAAAATATTTTATTTATTTATTCATAGAGACACAGAGAGATTGAGAGGCAGAGACACAGGCAGAGGGAGACGCAGGCTCCATGCAGGGAGCCTGATGTGGGACTCGATCCCGGGTCTCTGGGATCACGCCCAGGACTGAAGGTGGCGCTAAACCCGCTGAGCCACCAGGGCTGCCCCTAAGTCACTTTATTAAGCGCGTTGCAGTTTGTCATCACAGCATGAGAGGCAGGACGGGCCCAGGACCGGGGATGCCCACTGCACGGTGGGCCCCTGGGGGTCCGCCCGCCCCGAGGGAGGCCCTTTCCCTGCTTGGCTGCTGGGCTCCTCATCCTGCTCAAAGCAGGTGACCGCAGAGTCTGGGGGGTCCGTGTCCTGCCCTGGGTGGGCCCTGACCTGCCCCAAGGCTAGATTCTCACTGTATGCCTGGGCTTGAGCCACGTTGGGGCCAGCTGTGTGCGTGGCCCGGCGTCCACGTGGGGCCGGGGGCTGCACCTCCTCATGGTGCGCGCTGGTGGCTGCCTGCGTCGCCGTCTTAGGAGGACTTGGGGGTCCGGCGCGGGGGGTCGGCGGGCAGGACAGGGCTGGGCTGCAGGGGCCTGGGACCCTGCTGCTGGCTCAGCGATGCCGGGCAGGGCCTGCGGGCGGGAAGGTCCCTGAGCTCCCACATCTTGGGGGTTCCAATAACACCACAGGGGTCCCCGCGTCACCTTCCCTGATACACGCGGGGCGGCGGGGCGCACCCACCGGGCCGGCCGGTTTCGGCAGCCAGCTCCTGCCCTCCTGCGGGCGCCGGCTGCGCCGGGGTGGAGGTGCGGGGCCCATGCGGGAGCAGCGGCCCAGCCCCGCCTGCTGGTTCTCTGGGCGGGAGAAGAGCGCGCACAGGCTGGGCCCTGCCCGGGATGCGGGGCCGCGGGGCCGGGCCAGGGTGGCCGACTCAAGGGCACAGTCCTCTGTCCCCACCTACTCGGACGGAAGGAGCCTCGAGCCAAGGGCTGCGGCAGGTTCCAGAAGCCGGACAGAGGAAGGAAGGTGCTCCCCGAGAGTCCCCAGAAGGAACCAGTCTGGCTGAGCCCCGATCGCGGGCCCGGAGAGCCGTTCGGACTTCCGAGCTCCAGAACCGAAACGTGACCCTGTGTTGTTCTAAGCCACCAAGTTGGTGGTAATTAGAACGAGAGCGGGAAGCTAACACAGGCCCTGAGCTGCAGACACTTGTCCCCTGTTCACAGACGGTGACTGAGGTCAGGGAGGAGGGAACTGGCCCGACACAGAGCCACCAAGTGGCGGGACCAGGTTTAGATCAAGTCAGGCTGGCTGTGGCCTTCACCGTGGCCCCAACCACATTCCTTTTTTGCCTTGGCCGCTAGGAAGCTGAGCTCTCTACATATGCCCGTTGCCTGGCTCGTCCTCTATTGGTGCCTCCTCCGCCCTTTAATTTGTGCTTGTCGCGTGGAATGGTCTGGAGCAGGGCTGTTGGGGACAGATGGGTGGACGACCTCTGTCCCCTCACCCTTTGCGTTCTGGCCTTTCCAGGAGGGGGAGGACAAAATCTTCTTGATCAACAAGCTTCACTCTGTCTACGAGAGGAAGGAGAGGAGGTGAGGGGCCGTGGAGGGGTCGGTGGGAGCACAGAGGGGCGGGGGCCGGGCATGGCGGGGTGCTGGGAGCGCCGGCCTCCCCGCTGCCCTCCTCCCCAGCTCTGCTCCCGTGCTGCTGGGCGCTGTGGCTCCTTTCCTTCTAAGTCGGGGTGCCTGGGAGCTGCCCCCTCGGTCCCCCTGGTGCAGCCCGAGGCCCTGGGGCTCAGCCCTGGGAGCTGCAGGTCTGTCCAGCTCCTGGGAGGCCTGAGGGCAGCCTCTGAGGGCTGCTGGGAGTCGCCAGAGGGACTTTCGCCTCCAGCGCCCCGAGGTCACGGGCCCCCTTTCCAACCCCCCCCCCCTTCCGGCAGGGCTGGTAGGACCCAGGAGGCCGAGCGGCTTGCGGGCGATCCGGACGCCTGGTAGGACAGCGACAGGCCTGGCGGCTCTGCGTCTGCTCACGGGTGTGGCCTGTGCCCGGTGCCCCTCTTTTCCACTGCCCTGGAGGCACAGCCGCCGCCCCGGACTCTGCAGCCCATGAGGGCGGGACCTGCAGGGGGGCGGGGGGCACCCAGGGGACCGTGTCCTGCTTGGGACTCTATTTATTGATAAAATGTGTTTTGCAAAATGAGCTTCTCTTGGGATCCTGTGCTTCTGGCCGGGCCTGCTGCGTGTGCGCGAGCCCCGCCATGCCGCGTGCACCCCCTTGCCCTGTGGACAGCCTGAAGGCGATGGCCTCTCAGTTTCCCATGAGCCACGGGGAGAGGGGCCTGCCAGGCAGAGGGGCGGCTGGCACCCAGGCCTGGGGCAGGAGGGGGTGTGGCTGCTGTGGCCGGTGGTGGGGAGACCCCAGATCCTGTGGGGTGCTGGGAACGCGAGGGCGGGAAGGAGCCCGAGTTCCCCGTCTGCGGGAGCTGGGGGACAGGCGTGGCCCAGGTGGGGAACAGGAGGTGAGCGCGGCGATGGGTCCCGCTGCTCCTCGTCCCCGGAGCATCCCGAAGAGCAGGGCTGGGGCCTGGGCGAGGCAGTGCGGAGGGACGAGGAGCCCACCTGCACGGCTAGTGGCGCCCCCGACAGCTCTTGGCCGCGTCTCGGGCACGAGCGCCACGGGACAAGTTGGGGCAAGTCCCGAAAGCGTGAGGCTGGCACCGGGCTCTGGGCCACGTCCGTCCTGGCGCCTCCCTGTGCTCGCAGGTGCACTGTGGGGTGGGTGGGCACAAGACGCGCTTCTGGTTGGAGCCGCGCTACCAGGTTTCCCTGCCTGGCAAGCCCTGTGAGGCCAGCACAAGCTGCTCAGGACCAGTGACAGGGTGTGAGGGCTGTGTGGGTCCCGTCCTGCTGTCGAGGCATTCCGTGGGTGTGTTTCATCGTACAATCCGCCAACTGAAGGTTGTCCCCACTAACATGGGTGGGCCTCACCCAATCAGTGCAAAGACCGTAACAGCAAGGCCTAGGTTTTCTGAAGCAATTCGGAAGCAGTTCTGTTCTGCTTGAGGCTGCACCTCGCCAGCCCCGCCGCCGCGTGAGCCAGCTCTTCACGCCCACCTGCCTCCCGTTGTGCTGTTGGGCCTGGAGAGCCTCGGGTTGGCGCATCTCACCACCTTCCTTCTGTCACGGAGCCCATGGGGCCCACGGGGCCGTGGGCTTGGATTCTGACCCTTGTTAGCAGCTGTTCTGTGACCTGCCTTGCCCAGCTCCTCTCCTCACGGGGCTGTTGGAGCAAACACGGCTTCTGCACAGCGCTCAGCACCATGCCTGGGCCAGGAGTTTTGCCTAAAAAAAAAAAAAAAAAAAAAAAAAAAAGAACCAAAAAGGGGCACCTGGGTGGCTCAGTCGGTTGAGCATCTGACTCTTGATTTTAGCTCAGGTCATGACCTCGGGGGTCGTGAGATGGAGCCAAGTCAGGTTCCACGCACGGCAGCACCTGCTTCTCTCTCTCCTCCCCTCCCCATTGCACACTCACTCTCTCTGAAATAAATCTTAAAAAAAAAAAAAAAAGTGAGCCACAGTTGCCAAACTTTGCAGTTGCTACGCCGGTGGACGGGAGGTTGACAGCTACTTCAGCCGAATGACAAGATTCCCGCATGCCACTGCTTCTCGGCCTTGGCTGCTCAACGGAACCAACTAGTAAGACTAAACCTCGAGTGCCCCAGGCGCACCCCCAGGATTCTGCTCACATTGGTTTGGGAGGCGTCCTGGCCCTAGGATTCTAAAAAACATCCAGGTCATTCGAACATGCAGCCGGCTGAGCAGCACCGCTGTGCTCTCCGTGGCAGCTGACGCAGGTCTAGTGAGCCCAACGCAGCACTGCCCACTGAGGCGGCGTTTGGAAACCTGCTGGTTTCTCACAGCCGGGGGGGGGGGGGGGGGGGGGCGCCAGACTGGGAGGCCGGGCCTGCTCCTGGGGCTCCTGGTCGGTCACAGTCTCACACAAGTAGAGCTCGGCCGCTGCGTTTCCACTGAGGCGTGAGGGGCAGAGCTGCTAAATGAACGATGCCTCAGTCGTGATTCCCGCGTAGGTTTCCGCGGATCTATCTATCCCGAATGTGCTGTCCCGGGAAGAACCTCTGGAAACGCTGGCCTCCCTCTCGCTCCCGTCCGTGGGCACGTACTCAGCAGCTCCGCTCTCCTCTGTCCCGCTTCTGCGGCCTCCGCACTGTTCGGACACCCCCTTCTCTGCCTACCCTGCTGCCACCCGCTGAGCACTCCTTTTGTCTTTGCTGTTCGCCCAGTGTCTTCTGAACAATTCTGGAGAAAGTGCAGTTCCATACCTATTGTTTTCTTGATTCTAGACACCGAACTCCTTTCCTGCTGTGGTACCAGGGCCCCTGTTCCCCATTCCAGGTTCATGAGTTGTCACTCCAGATCCCGTCCGTCCCCTGCTTTCCCCTGGCTGTCGAAATCCAACCCGGCCCCTGGGGCCCAGGGCCACCTCTGGCGCAGCCCTTGGATGTTCTCTAGGCCCTGACCCCGTCCTCCCGGGGAGGCAGGTGCTCCCCCAGAGGAACCCCAGACATACAGGCACCGGCTCGGCAGTGCAGGGTGCGCTCTGGCCGCTGCCTCACTCCCATTCCTCCTTGCCTCTCCCTTCTACTCCCCACCGTGACCCCTTCAGTGCCATCCTGCATGACTTTCTGAAGAGGTTGGGCCGAGCCAGAGGGTTCACCACCTTGCCTTAGGCACCCCCGGTCCTACCTGCTTGGTAAGACAAGGAAGGGGAGCAGAGGCTCTTTCTGCTGGCCTCTGGGCAACAGGTCACAGAGGACACATTGGCTAGTCTCCCAGAAACTGTCTTTACGATCCTGGTGATCAGAAGCACTGATGCTCGCTGAACCGACCGAAGGCCATGGTGTTTGGGGTGGGCCTGAGGCAACCACCAGTGTTTGACTTCTAGCTGCCACCAGAGAGACCATGTTTCCTGCAGCGCCCTGAGGTCTGCGCTGCTTGTGCAAAATGCTTTGTGAATGTCACCTTTCACAGGTTTTTTTTAGGCTCTTTTACCAGAATCAATGAATAAACTGTCCAGGAAACACAAAACGCTTTTGTAACTCTCCTTGGTCCAAATCTTTCTGATGCCCAGCCTGGGTTGCGGGTGATGGAGCCACAGTCCTCGGGCCAGACACACGGCACACGGGGCCTGGCTGTGGCCTCAGACGTGGCGGATTCAGGCAGTGGCCGAGGTGGAGAGCTCCCACGCTCTCCTGTGCCTCTCGACTCAGAGGAAGGTTTCGGTGCGAACTGCAAAGCCACAAACGATAAAATTCTGAGTCAAGCAATTGATACTCAGAGTCCATCTAATTACCTACGTGAACTCTAAGGATACTGTGAAGAGTCAGGGACTTTGTTACAGACAGCAGAGCAGCTCTCCCCAAGTACATAAAGTGGAAAATTGATGATTTCTGTCTGTGAAAAATAAAAAAAACACATTTATTTGAACAGCCAAGAAAAAAATTGCCATTTATTAAGATCCAACAAAGCGTTGTACTTTTGAAAGCAACTTTCGGTGCATGTTTTTCAACAATCACATTCTATGAGGAAAAAACATTAAAAGCCACAAACTTGTTTTTTAATCTCAGAGTTACAGACATCTTTAATTCAAAAGAAAAGGTCAAAAAAAATCAACAAAAAACAAAAACAAACAAACAGAGTCTTTACTTCCATCCCCAATTTTAAAATGTCAGTTTTTCTACAACTCGATGCTAAGCGGCAGCATGGAAAGCTGTCTGGCGCACACACACGCACGCACACACGCACGCACATATATTTGATATACATATGTGAGGATATATACATCAAATATATAGAACGCATGTAATGGCAATGAGATGCTATTACTCTGAGGAAGGTTTGTTTAGCTAAATACACGACTAAACTTGAGAAAACAAGTCTTGAACCCAGTTTGTGCATAGTTCATGATCCTCTATAAAACCAGCTTTTGTTGATCTGCAATTTTGCAGGATCTTCTTTTTTTGTTTTTTTTTTTGTTTGTTTGTTTTTTTGTTCTTTTTTTTTCTTTTGTTTTGATAAAACCATTAAAAAGCTAATTAAAAAAAATGTAATGCACAAGTTTCCTGATCAAGCAGGCAGGGAGCACAATGTTCATATATTTTTAAACATACTTGAGGGTATGTTACTCCATTGTCTGTCTTTCTTGCAAAACAATCAAAACATTGATCATTTTTAAAACATAAAGCAATTTTTAATATATAAAGCACTCTTCAAACATCTATTTCTTTTGAGTCCGTTATTTGGTAAATATGTAACTGCTACACATTAGAGATTAGGTATTTTCCTTCTTTGTGTTTTTTTTTCCTTTTTTCTTTTTTTTTTCTTTCTTTTTTTTTTTTTTTTGTTTGTTTGTTTTTTAATAACATCTTCAGTGCTAGGAGTTGGGTTACAAAATACATGAAATGGTGTGGAGCTGCCCCTCGGGAACCCTGGCTTTCCTGAGAGCGCATCCGCATGTGCAAGACAGTGACCACAACGTCTCGTCGCCTCAACGACGGGGAACAATCGACAGTCCACAACGATGGCCGGAGGGAAGCGACGATACTGTTCAATCCCAGAGCTCTGAAGTAGCGTATCTGCATTCTGAAAATAGGTTTCTTTACCACGGAAGTCTCTTTTTTTTTTTTTTAATTCCTTTTTAAAATTTTTTTATTTTAAAGTCTGAAGGAGAAAAAAAGGTCTGTAAACAGGTGGGAGCCCTGAGCACGGGCCCCTCCAAAAGCGGTCACCACCCACGTCCAAGTGCTTGTCTCCGTTTCCCCCGCGGAGCCATCGGCTCTCCGCGAGGATCTATGGCCACACTTCTGCAACAGCTGTCTTCTCTCTCACTTTCTATTCCACATGGAAACACGGTGCAATACTCTGGTAATCAGTTTCTTGCATTAGTCCACAATAAAAAGCTGCTAAAGGTAGGTATACATATTATTTCTCCAGAGATATACACTGTAATTTTTAAACGCAATAACAGAGTCCTTGAGTAAACATTTACACATGAATTGTCACCGGCCCTGTCCTATGAATTCTCTTTCATGTATAGGATTAGCAAAAGGAAGGGCAGGGACACTCAGTGCAAAGTTAGAAGCTAATAATAGTAACAAACGTTTGACCAATGCGCCAAAAAAAAAAGCATATACTGAATAAAAGGGAAAACCCACAGTTAAATCCCTCACACACAGAACACACAAACACAGAAAGTGCGCACACACGCGCACGTGCACACACGCATACACGCTTCTGTTTCCCCACACACACACACACACACACACGCACATAGGCTGTGAACTCAGAAATGTTTCCTAGAGCCTGTTTCTGTGCACTGATGTCAGCCTGGAAGTGTAGAATTCGACGCGGCAAGTGTTCACATTTCCTTATTGGCCTGCTGGATTCAAGTATTTGCATGTTTGATATGTCTTTTTTTTTTTAACTTTTAAAAAATATTTTTTGGGATAAAAAAAATGGCATGAAAAAGTAATGGAACAAGGGTAATGTGCATAGGCGGACCCGTGGGAGCAGAGAGCAGGCCGCAGGCCGCAGGCCGCTGTCTCTGTGCAGCTTGCCGGTCTAGGCCACCAGGCCCGCCGTGTGGAGCCCGCGCTCTGCGCCCAGTGATGGACACCAGCTCCCCCTGATTACGGGGTCCGCCTCTGGTAATGTGCATAATCGTCACAGGCTCGTTTTAAATAGGCTTTCTCGTCTCCCTCCCTCCCGCCCCCCTTGATAAAATAACCCTTTCCAGCCCACAATCTGAAAAGTGCCCTTCATGATAGAACTATTCTAAGCAGCTTTTATACTTAAAAAATCAAAACGACAACACACCATACAAACATAAGACAACACAAAATAAAAAGCTATGAGGAACATCCTGTCATTAGCACGTGACACTGACCAAGCGCAGCCCGCACTGTCTTGGGAACAGTTCACAAGGACTGCGGCCAGGGCTCGTCTTCAGTCTGGACAGAGGTACTCAAAGGGCTGCCGGGCTGCTCAGGTCCAGCGGGGTCCTCCGCGCCACCCGGACTGGAAAGGGGCAGCTTTTTCTTCCTGGTGCTGATGATTGTGGCGCCCACAGGGGTCCTGTCGGTGCTAGATGGATTCCCCACTGAGGAGGTCGCCAGGCAGCAGAGTGTTCAGTGGGGTGGGGCTTCCGATCACCCTGCCGTCGTCACTGCTGGGCGGGCCCCACAGGCTGCTGGAGTACTGGGGGACCCCGCCCCACAGCAGATCGCTGCTCCCTTTGCCTGCCAGACATGGGGCGCTCCAATGGCCAGGGTCGCTCCGCACCAGACCGTGGGAGCCGCCCGAGGCGCCCAGCCGCGTCTGGCCGGTCCCGGTACTGGACTGCCAGCTGGAGGTGGGCGGCAGTGCTTGGCCTTGGGCTAAGAAACGATTCACCTCTTCTTCGCCGGCAAACTCGGCCAAGATGGTAGTGTTTCCCAGAACACACCTAAAAGAGCAGGATGGCAACAAAATTGAGAGCTGGTTTTTTTTTTTTTTGAAAGATAAATTTGATGGAGCTTCAGTTTGACTAAGAAAAAAAAAAAACCAGAGAAGACTCAAATAAGTAAGATCAGAATTGAAAGAGGAGACATGACAGCTGATACCACAGAAACACAGCATCTGGAGAGACTCCTAGGAACAATTCTATGCCAACAAATTGGACAACCTAGAAGAAATGGACAAATCCCTAGAAACAGATAACTACCAAGACCAAACCATGAAGAAAGAGAAAATCTAAACAGATGAATAATGATTAAGGAGACTGAATCACTGACCAAAAACCTACCAGCACAGAAAAGCCCTGGACCACAGGGTTTCACTGGTGAATTCTACCAAACATTTAAAAGAGAATTAACATCAATCCTTCTTGAACTCTTTCAAAACACTGAAGAGGAAGGAACACTCCCAAACACATTTTATGAGGCCTATGTTATCCTGATACCAAAGCTAGATCAGGACACAAGACAACTTACAGATCAATATCCCTGATGAACACAGATGTAAACATTCTCAACAAACTATTAGCAAAGTGAATTTAATTTTTATTTATTTATTTATTTATTTATTTATTTATTTATTTATTTATTTATTTATTTATTTATGATAGTCACACACACAGAGAGAGAGAGACGCAGAGACACAGGCAGAGGGAGAAGCAGGCTCCATGCACCAGGAGCCTGATGTGGGATTCGATCCCGGGTCTCCAGGATCGGGCCCTGGGCCAAAGGCAGGCGCCAAACCGCTGCGCCAACCAGGGATCCCCTAGCAAAGTGAATTTAACAGCACATATAAAGCGCTACACATTCACAATGATGTGGGATCTAACTATTCCTGAGATACAGGATGGTTCAACATATGCAAATCACTAAGTGTGACACAACACACCAATGGGGTGAAAGACTCAAGTCCTGTTGTCTCATTAGATGTAGAAATAGCATTTGACAAAACACAATGACCTTTCATGATAAAGACCCTCCACAAATGGGGGACAGAAGAAACAGGCCTCTGTGCCACAAAGGCCATCCGTATATGACATACACAAGCTAACATCATACTCAATTGGTGAGAGGCTAAAGGCATTTTCTCTAAGGTCAGGAACAAGACAAGGATGCCTGCTCTTGTCACCTCCATTCCACACAGTCCTGGAAGTCTGAGCCAGAGGGATCAGGCATGACAAATAAATGAAAGGCATCCAAATCAGAAAGGAAGAAGTAAAATTGTCACTATCTGCAGAAGACATGATCTTATATAGAGAAAATCCTAAAGACTCAACCAAAAACACTGTTAGAGGTAAGCAATGAATTCAGTAAAGTTGCAGCATATAAAACGGACATACGTAAAACAGCTACGTTTCTATGTACTAGCAATGAAATAACTGAAAAATAAAGAAAAAAAATCTCATTCATGACAGCATCAAAAAACAAAAAAATACTTAGGGATATTTAAAAAAAAAAACTTAGGGATAAACTTGACCAAACAATGAAACCCGAAAGACTTTAATGAAAAATTGAAGAAGGGGCACCTGGGTGGCTTAGCAGTTGAGCAACTGCCTTTGGCTCAGGTCGTGATCCCAGGGTCCCTGGATTGAGTGCCCATGGGCTCCCTGCATGGAGCCTGCTTCTCCCTTTGCCCGTGTCTCTCATGAATAAATAAATAAAATCTTTATAAAAAAATTGAAGAAGATACAAATGGAAGGCTATCCAGACAACTCAAAGCCATCTGTAGGTTCCATGCAATCTTTATAAAAATTCTAATGGGTTCTTTACAGAAATGGGTAGGGAACCATAAGACTCCAAACAGCCCTGGCAATTCTGAGAAAGAACAAAGCAGGAGGCATCAAACTTGCTGATTTCAAACTGTAATACAAAGCTATAGTATTCAAAACAGTATGGTACTGGCAAAAGAACCCCAGACACACAGACCAGTGGAGCAGAATAGAGCCCAGAAATAGATCCCCATGTAGACACTGATTTATATTTGACAAAGGAAGCAAGAGCACTCAGTGGAGGACAGTTCCTTTAACAAATCTGCCAGAAAACCTGGAGAAACGTGTGCAGACTAATGACAAGTGGACGCCTGTCTCACACCACTCAGAAAAGTTACCTCGACATGGGTTAAAGACCTAAATGTAAGATCTGGAACCATAAAACTCCTGGAAGAAAATAGGGAAAAAGCTCCTTGACACTGGTCTTGGCAATGCTTTTTTGATAAGACACTAAAAGCATATGAGCTGCCTGTCTGGCTCAGCTGGAAGAGCATGGGACTCTTTTTTTTTTTTTTTTAAGATTTTATTTATTTATTTGAGAGAGACAGAGAGAGGGAGCATTAGCAGCAGGGAGAAGAAGGGCAGAGGGAGCAGGAGAAGCAGACTGCCTGCTGAGCAGGGAGCCTGATGTGTGGCTCCATCCCAGGACCCCGGGATCATGATCTGAGGGCAGATGCTTAGCTGACTGAGCCATCCAGATGCCCCTAGTGTGTGACTCTTGATCTTGCAGTTGTGAGTGGAGTCCCATGCTGTACATAGAGATTACTTGAATAAATAAAAATAAAAAAATAAATAAAAGCACAAGTAACAAAAGAAGAAAAATCAAAAAGTAGGACTACATCAAACTAAAGCTCTTCTACACAGCAAAGGAAACTGTCAATATAATGAAAAGACAACCTACGGAATGAAAAAATATTCACAAACGATTTATTTGGTGCAGTTAATATCTAAAATATATAGAGAATCACGTAACTCAATAACAACGAAAAAAGCCCAAACAACTTGATTAAAAGATGAGCAGAGGAACTGGACATTTTTCCAAAGAAGACATACAAACAGCCAACAGGTATATGAAAAGGTACTCAACATCGCTGATCATCAGGGAAATACAAATCAAAACCCAATGAGATAATCACTTCACGCTTGTTAGAATGGCTAGACTCAAAGAGACAAATATAACAAGTGTTGGTGAGGATGTGGAGAAAAGAGGACCCTTGTGCACTGGTGGTGGGAATAAGGAATTAGTTCAGCTACTCCTGAGGTTCCTCAGAGAATTAAAAATGGAACCACCGTGTGATTCAGCAATCCCACTGCTCCAGTGCTGTCGCTGAGTACATCCACTCACACATCTTACCAAGGGCATCCTGTAATCAGAGGGGGGAGGTGGCTGGAAGATGGGTCACATGCCTGGTGCTACCTGGTGGAGAGAGCGTCTTCCTTCTGTCACTGCACTCAATGTGCATGCTTTTGGGGACCTCTCCCTAGTGGGGGGCGTGGCCGCGACAACTCCACAGCAGAAGAGAGATGCGTCATGAGATACCTGCTGCGGCATGGATCATGCCCCCCGAGTCCCCACATGGGAGCTCTAGCCCCCAGCACTTCAGCTGTGCCTATATTTGGAGGTAGGTTTTTACACAGGTAATGGAAAGAAAAGATGCTCATCAGGGTGGACCCTGACCCACTATGATGTGTGTCTTTCTAAGAAGGGGGAGTTACGACACACACACATCAAAGAGGCAACCATATGAGGACACAGGAAGAGGGCAGCTGTCTACAGGCCCAGGAGAGGAGCCCTAGAAGGAACTGCCCCTGCTGACACCCTCCAGAACTGAGAGGCAATCAATGTTCATTGCCTGTGGTGCTTTCTCACAGCAGCCCCTGGAGCACACATGACACCAAAACTTAGTGCTGCCAGGACATGCTAGCCATGGGGCAGCCGAGTAGCGGCCAAGAGACGTACATGTGCAGGGACTTCTGGGCCTTGGCGGCCTCCTCCTTGGAGCTGTAGCGGACCACGGCGTTGCCTTGAGTCAGGTTCAGGTGGAATGTGACGAGAGGCCCGTGCTGCAAACACAGTGTCCGCAGGGTAGAGCCATCGATCTGATTGAGGAAGCAAAGGGGGCGGTAACGAGCTTCCTGGGACTTCTTCCACGACATTCTTAAAGAAAACGTATATGACCCTGGTGTACTAAACACTGGGAAAATGTCCGTCTTTCAAAGGGCTTAGTGTGGAGGACTTTACGATTTTAACCATTTATGCCTTGTCATTTACCATGTGCTTTTTAATACTGGATGTTTCAGTTATATTTTGTGAATTCCAAAAATGAGGAGAAAGTAAAGACCCCATTTTGGTTGTGGCCTCCCCACCCACCCAGCTGGGACACATCACACAGAGCCAGTTTCTGGCAGCCCCGCGGCCCCTTACCCCGGGAAAGGGGAGTGCTTGACAAATGAGTCTTCAGTGGGTATAATTAAAGGCAAGTGACTCTGTCTAAAAGGTAGACTCTTTAAGCCTCAAAAGAGTAAAACGTAAACAATCTGCCAGGAACATGGGCCTGTCTGCCTGTGGCTGCCCACACCACCTTTGGGCCCCCGTGAGGGCCCCCTGCACGGAGGCCAGCATGCATGGGGGGCAGTGGGAACCTGCCTGCTCGGTGACCCCCACGGCGGGTGCCTGTACCTGGGGCGTGAGGTTGCGGAGAACGAGCCAGCTGCTTGTCCGTCCTGAGGTGTCGGTGCTCCATGCGGAACCTGCACGAGCCAAGGGAGAGCCCGGTCAGCACGGCCACCAGAGGCTTCTTGCTAACACGTACAGTAGCACAGACCCAGACTGCCACTGCTAGCTCTAAGTCTTTCTCAACCTTTGAAAACCCATGTTATCTTTTTGGTTTGGTGAACCCAAAACCACAATTCCTGCTGAGGTGACCCCTGGGGGTCCCGTCTCCTCCTCTGCCCCCACGCCCCTTAGAATCAATGCTCTGAATGCTGGGTGCTAATACAGCAGACCCACAGGACTATTACAGGCGACGGAAATTTTCAAATTATTTGCAACTGGTTTCAAACTCAGCTTAAGTTCCCAGCACATGTCTTCCACGCCTGCAGCTTGGGGGAGGGTGCTGATGGAGGCCAGCAGAACGGCAGCCCTGGGATGCAGTAGCCAGTTCACACTGGAGGCCTGGTTTTGTTCCTGGCCTGGAAAGCCCCTTGCTCCAGTGAAATGTTGTGGAGAAGTAAATACCAAAGTGGCAATTGAGCCCTTTGTGCTGGCTGAATGTACCTCCTCCAAGGGCCCAGCGTGGCCCCTGGAGGGGTGCTGTGACTGCCAGGACCGCCTGCCTCAGGACACACTGGAGCCCAGGATGGAGGTGAAAACCATGGCAGCTGGAGCGCTGGGCAGATGGCTGCCCTGACAGTGCAGAGTGCCTTGGCCTGTCCTAGGCCCTCCTGGTTCTAGGGGCGGGGACAGCCGTCCTTACAGAGCAGCAAGAGGACAAGATAACAGGCATACTCATTCCCTAAAGGGCAAGCCGAGCAGACCCTGAGCCCCCCATGCCCCTCCAACCTGCCCTATTTGCGTACCCGAGGAGTAGGAGCTGGTCCAGCCGAGGGGGCTGGCTCCCCAGGTGGAGGAAGGCTTGGGATTGCTTAGCCCTGGAGGCGGCCTTGTGGGTGCAGTAGTGTTTCTGGGCACCTTCCACAGTTCATGAGATAGAGAGGCTTGCGTGTGGGAGGCAGGGCCAGAGGACCACGTTGATTTCATGTCTGACAGTTTACCTAGAAAGGCAGAGATGCAGAAGAAGACAGAGAAGAAAAGTGCCCTCAGACTCTGGGAAACGTACAAAGTGCTCTCTGGCACCAGCGGACAATACCAAGTAATGCGTGCCCGCATGAGAACCATGGGGTATGTGTCCTCCTGAATCCTGGCCCAGAGACTGTGTGCCTGTGCCCTGTGCCCAGGGGAAGCCTCGCCAGGACTTCTGATACGAATTTGCTAAGTGTGCCAGAATCAAGTCTGCCACGGAAAACAGCATTTTTGTAGTTTGAGGTTAAAGTTAACTTACTGACATATTCTACTGGGACAAGCATTTTATAATGGAACAAATTAATCAAGATCAAAGCCTAACATGTAGATCTTTTAAGCTATTTCTTTAGGTATCACAGACCCTTTTCAAGGCAACACCTCCTGACAACCCACAACTTTGAGATGAGCCTGCTGGGCCACACGGTAGAAATGGATGCATGTGGCCCAGCTGCCAGGGGCTGAGCGTTTGACATCTTAGTACCTCCACTGGGGGAAGAAGGCTCACTGGGAGGAAAAAACAAACTGGTAATGACTCTGAGCTCTGGTGTTTCTGGAACCCAGGGCTTGGTTGGGATGTGCACACACCTGGACATGTGCCAGGCCTGCCTCACCTGCCCCGCGTGACCAGGACAGGAAGTGCTGGCGGCAGAGTGGTCGCTGTCGCTGTGGTCTCTGGATAGCACCGCAGCAACCAGGCCAACACAAACTCTGCATGAAGTTCCCCTCCACCCCTAGCCACGGTGACTTCAAACAAACAAATGCTAATCTTAGCGAAGTTGTCACTGATGAGAAAAACAAAAATGCCAGAAAAACTGCTGGAGATTCAGGGAAAGTAGCCCTTCTCTTTAGCTAAATGATCATGGAAGTATTAGAGGTCTACATACATCTCCTCTGTAAATGTCAGAACTAATAAACATTAGAAGGAATGAAATAGTCCAGAAGTTCTCTCTTTTTTTTTAAAGAGTTTATTTATTTATTCATAGACACAGAGAGAGAGGCAGAGACACAGGCAGAGGGAGAAGCAGGCTCCATGCAGGGAGCCGATGTGGGACTCGATCCCGGGTCTCCAGGATCACACCCCAGGCTGCAGGCAGCGCCAAACCACTGCACCACAGGGGCTGCCCCCCAGAGGTTCTCTTTTTTTCAGTAAGATTCTAACTAAACTATATGTTGAATCACTGTATTTACACCTGAAACTGTGTGTTAACCATGCTGGGATTAAAATTAAAATATTAAATTGACTGGAGTGTGGGAAAAAAAGGATGCTAAACTATATCAAAGCGACTTTCTTCCCTAGGTACTAATATTATAGGAATTCCAAGAGCATCCTTACATTGGTTTAAAAAAGTCTGCATGACAAGGTTTGAAGGAATACAGAAATGTACTGAGTCTAAAAGATATTTCTTACTTCAAGGACTTCTAAAAGTCTAGGGTAACAAAGAAATAATCCAGGCGCAGCACTGATCCGAGTGATGGGACGTGGCCACACTTCCTGGGACCTACTCTTGTCTCCTCCATCGAATTCCGTGCAGACGTTGTCTGCACATTCTGAGCCCTCATGTCCCCCTTTTAACCACGGGGAGGGCCGGGGAGGGGTGCGGGTCTGTGTGGGCAGGGGTGCCCAGGCCCCCTCTCCGTCACACCACACGACCCCCTGGCTCCGGGCTGAGTGGGCAGACGTCAGGGGAGGCCAGTGCGTACCTGCAATGCTGGGCGCGGGCGCGATGCTGCTGAAAGAGCGACCGTAGCCGGAGGCACTGAGCGGCCAGGCACTCGAGGAAGGCAGCGCGGCACTCTGAGATGACGGTGGGGAGGACCCTGCAGAAGCAGACACGGCACTGAGAGAGGCGGTGGTGGGTGCACTGGGGCAGCCCCTGTGCCTGGAGGTGTGAAAGTGCCACCGCCAAGAGGGGGTCTCCTCCGAAGGGGCCAGTTTTTGTCAGGGGCATGACACAGATGGGGGCACGGCTGGGGCAGGCAGGTCCCGGGGCCCAGCAGGCAGGGAGGCCAGGAGGTAGAAGCAGCCTTTCAGAAGCAGGGCTCCAGGCGGGAGAGACAAGGACGTGCAGTAGAATGCAGAGAACCATCCGGGTGTGAACCGATCTCACGAACTCCCTCCCAAGGAGAATGAAACTCATAGTACACGGTGCTCCCTATCTTTTCACGCCTCAAACAATATTCACAAAGCTAAAAACCAAGAAACTCCAAGCTTTTTGTTACACATTTTGCTGTAGGAAGACCAGCACTTCATTCTGATCCAAAAGTCTCAGGTGTCCACCAGCTCCGGTCCAGGCTCTCCCTTCTGACATGGGCATGAGGCAGAGCCCCGTGCAGGGGCTAGAGGACTGTATCCCCAGCCGCAGACCCCTCCTGTGCAAACACCCGCTCATGCACCTGGGAGGGAGGCTGGCGGGTGTGGCTGCCCCTGCTTGGCTCCCTGCTGTCTGGAGTCTCCAGGTCAACCCCCCTTACACCTCCCAGGTTTCTCTGGGGAGAGTAGAAAGCTGGGGAACAAGGAGGGTCAAGCAGTGCTGACAGGGTTAGAGCAGGACAGAATCAGAGCTCTTGTGATTAGGAAAGTGACTCCACCGATGTGTGGGACGTGAGCATATGACAGTCTGCTTGTCATATTTAGTTCCACAAACAGAATCTCACAAGACATGGAAGGGCCCCCCACCCAGGGAGGTGCACCAAACAACGTCAGGAATACCCTTCACAGAGACTACCAGGCATGGGGGACCTCTCAGACTTGCACAGTGTGTAACCTGCACAGCTGTCTACAGCTGCCCTACGGTGATGGATCTCCTTAGAATGAGGGCACTAGAACTCATGAACATTAAAACTGATTTGTAATCTATAGGTCTGCAATTAAAAAGAAAAGAAAAGAAAACAAAACAGTCCTACTGGTATCTTAAGCTTACATCTTAAACTCCCCTCTTTCATTTACCAACAAAATATAATCACCCCAAGATCCCAAGATTAGAGATTATTTATTTAGCCTTCTGTGGTATTTATTTATTTATTTTTAGATTGTATTTATTTATGAGAGACACACAGAGAGAGAAGCAGGCTCCCTGAGAGGAACCCAATGCAGGACTCGATCTCAGGATCCTGGGATTTTGCCCTGAGCCAAAGGCAGATGGTCAACCACTGAACCACCAAGGTGCCCCTGTGTTATTTTTTTTTAAATTTAACAATGGAGTGCTTAGATTTCAACAGTGCTCTACTCAATGCTATGAAATGGCATGACTGTACTTCACCATCCTGGTTAATGTTCACTTCATACAGATTACAGCTGTACCCACCATCCAAACAAATACTGTAAACATGTGAATTTTAGTATCAAATCAGAACTTAATGGCAATAAATGAAAAACAAAAATGCAAATTAAGGCGACACCTACTATAATTGATACTTGACAGAAAAAAACAGAAAGCTGCATTAAAAAATATATAAAATAAATAAGCCAGTATCAAGAGGTTAATGGCTATTCTCCTTGTTTTCCTCCTAGGGCACAGTTTCTTTCTTGATTTTTTTTCTCTCTGTTCTTTTTTTTTTTTTTTAATTTTATTTTTTCCAAGAACAGATTTTATTGCAGGTACCCTCGGGCGAGGTTCCATGACTCATGGGGGGGAAAGAGAGGGAGTCCTGGAAGTTGCACCAAGACAAGGTGGTAGGGGGTTTACATAACCTTGTAAGGCAGAACGGTTTCCTATTGGTCGGCTCATCCGCAAAGGGAGGATTGCAAGCCGACCAGTCAGAGTGACCCTCACTATGCAAAGGAAGGATTGCAATTCGACCAGTCAAAGGTGACTTCCTCCTCTGGGGTTTGAAGGGCATTGGGTTCGGGTGGGGAAGTCCAAAGGGGAGGTGTAAGGGTCGGCGAAAGCTGTCAGCAGGTCATTGGTCCACTGGCATCCCAAGTGGAGGTGGTGACAGGAACCTCAGCCATTTTGGGGTATCCGCCATCTTGAGGAGTTTCTCTTCCCTCCTGGCCCCAACATTCTGACCTTTTGTTTTATATAATGGTGTCGGGGGCTTTCTCACTGTTTTTTAGGTCAAGCTGTTTAGTCAAAAGTACGATAGCTGGGGGTGGTGGGGAAAGCAGTCAGCTCAGTTGGTGAAGCATGCAACTCTTGATCTTGGGGTTGTGGGTCTGAGTCCCATGTCTGGTGTAGAGATTACTTAAAAATTAAAAAAAAAAAAAAAAAAAAAAAAAGCAAAACTGGAGCATATGGTTGGCTCACTTGGGGGAGCGTGTGACTCTCAATCTCAGGGTCATGAGTTCAAGCCCCACGCTGGGTGTGGGGCCTACTTCAAAAAAAAATTTTTTTTAAAAAGTGTAAAAATTAAGGAATGTCTGGGTGGCTCAGAGGTTTGGCACCACCTTCGGCCCAGGGTGTGGTCCTGGAGTCCTAGGATGAAGTCCCACGTTGGGGTCCCTGCATGGAGCCTGCTTCTCCCTCTGCCTGCCTGTGTCCTTGCCTCTCTCTCTCTCTGTGTCTCTCATGAATAAATAAATTTTTTAAAAAATCTAAAAAAGATTTAAAAAGTATATATATATATAAATATATATATGTATATAAAGATGGCTTTTGTGGCTCAATCTCTGAGGAAGGTCAGCTAAAGGGGCTGCCTGGAAGTTCCTTGCGTGTGGGGAGCAGCACATCACACTCTGGAGAGAGGCGGTCAGCAAGGTCTGGCCTTTGCCATCCTACTGGACTGTGGCAGTGGCATTATTACATACCAAATCTATGTACAGAGGAGTTCTGTATGTTCCTCTTCTCCAAATAATGAACCACGAGGGGCACAGGAGCAGAGGACCAACGGTTCTCCAGGGCATGCAGGAGGAGCTTGGTGGGAGCTGCCTAAGACTGGCCACTGACAGCCCCCAGAAGTCACATGACATCACGTGAGCTTCGAGGTGCCCAGGCTGGACCACTGCCTAACACTTTACCTTGAAGCTGGAGACTGCGCTTTCTCATCTTATCCTGACACCAGTGCCTCTGTCTGCCTATCTCTGTCTCAGCCACGCTGGACTGGAGGTCAGCTGCTTGGCCCTGCCCTTAGAATTCACCTACTTCTCCAGGCCGCCTTTGTCACATCATGGCATGCTTTTGCAAATGTGGAGGTCACCTGCAATGCTCCAGGGGACCACTGGAGGACCCACAGGGCACTAGCAGGAAGCTCTGTGCTACGCTGAGTAACCTCAACTCTTTCTGGGGTCTTTCAATACCTGGGTCAGCGCAGTCTGTTCACACCTGCCCACGATCCTCAAAATACCCCAACGGACACTCCTGCTGTGACATGACCCTGCTGCCACACTCACAGGGACAAGCACTGGGGGCTGAGTCTGACATGCTGGCTTGTGACTCACCCTGCCCCCTGGCATCTCACACAGGCTCCACTTCCTGTCCCCTGTACCACTCCTTTGTCCCCAACAGCAGGGCTGCTCTAGGAAGCGAGGCATGCACAACATTGAACAGGATGATCTGTACTTCTGCTGGCTTTCTACCCAAACCACAGCAACACCTAGAAGCCTGTCACTTTAAAGAACCCTACCTTTCTCTCCCAGTCTCACTTTAAGTGGGAAACCCGAATTAACATTCTGGGACCGAGTGGTCTTACTGGGTATGAGCGTCTGTGGCAGCCTAGCTATTCCCTCCCACTATTTGGATGTCGGCGCTGCCACTGTATCAGGGTGGGCACTTCCAGAGCTGCTCCATCTACCCTTCTCAGCATCATGCCTGACAGCGGCATGTACACCTCCATCATCACAGCTAGCTCCTCACTTCCTCCTGCTGGGTCCAAGGCTGACACAGGGTGAGCCCAGATCTAGCACCACGATTGTGCCAGGAACACAGTGCTGGGGACGGATTTCAGACTTTTTACCAGACGTTGTGGAAGGAAACAGATTGGGGTGGAGAAGTAAGTAAGGGGTCAATCTGCCTGCAGTTTCAATAAATTTTAAGTGGGAACCTGTTCACTGAAAAGCTTAATGGTTAATATCGGGATCTACTAGCACAGGGCTCAGAAAGGATGTGTTCATAAACCCAGCAAATCAATCTCCATTTTCACCATTAGCACTATCTCCAGATGGTGAGAAGTGCTCACAGATGTGTCTCACAGCATCCCTGCTCCACAGCCCACACGCCACCCTGGCGCCTCTGAACGCACGTAGGAGGCCTTCTGTGCCAAGCAGGTCGAGTCCCACTCTCCTCACCTCCACTCTTGAGGAGGTAGCGGTTGACGTCCTGTATGGTGGTATTAATGGTGGGCCCAGTAGGGACGCTTCCAGGAGTGACGTCGGGGTCGTTCTCAGGATCAATATTCTGAAGTCCTTTCCATGGAACTCCAGGATGGAATTCTGGAAAATTCCAAACAAAATGGAAATCAAAACACGAGTACTACAGTATCTTCACACTCCTACATGATAATTCATGGAAATTCTTATAATCTGCTAGTTAGAATAGAAGACACATCCTTCACTTTCTTTCAGTAAATCACCCATCCTTTGGAACAAGCTAGAAGTAGGGACTATAGCGGCCACATTAAGAGAGTGTTCAGATGGTGTGGAGTCTAGAAACAGTCTGGCCAGATGAGATACAGCATCCATTCTCCTTCCACTCCCCTCACTGAACTGAGGGACTACAGAAAAACGCTGGGTGCTAACCACTTCCCAAATCTGTGCGCCAAACAGATTTCTAGGGGAAAAGCCAAAGCTATGGGGTTCATGTTTCTAGGACTCTTAGTTCAGATCCTGGCTTCTCTGGAGCGGAGTTGCTCTCCTCAGGCTTGGGGCAGCTCTGATCTGCTGCTGCACAGAAGCGTTGCACACTCTTACCTGGGGGCCAGTTGATGCTGGAGCCATTGGAGATTTTATCACTGTCAGATTTGGCACGTGACCAGCTATGGGGAACAGCTACAGGAGGACTGGCTGGTGACTCACTGTTCTGGATTAAATCGTACCGGCCATAGGAGTCGTCGATGGAGGACTTAGCTGGAGGCCCAATGCTTAGACCTCCAGGGATAGCACCTGTGGGGACAGTGGGAAACAAAGAGCTGAGTAAACACGGGAGCTCCTGACCCTCATTACTAGGCACTGGGCCCCGCCCCTTTCAGAGGTACATGAACCATCAGACTTGGTTTGTCTAACACTCTCTAAAGATAAGTAACCATTTTGGTTAGCCCAAACTTCATCTGTGAAAGACTGAAATTGTTTTACTTATTTTAAAAAAATATTTTATTTATTTGAGAGAGAGAGAGTGAGCGAGGGAGTGCAAGAGTAGTGGGGAGGGGCAGAGGAAGAGGGAGAAGCAGACTCCCGGCTGAGCAGGGAGCCTGATGTAGGGCTCCATCTCAGGACCCAGGGATCTTGACCTGAGCCAAAGGCAGACGCCACACCGAGCCACTGAGGCACCCCTCTTTTTATTTTTTTAAGATTTTATTTTTAAGTGATCTCAACCCCAACAGGGGCCTCAAACTCACAAACTGAGACCAAGAGTCGCATGCTCCACCCACTGAGCAATCCAGGCACTCCAAGACCAAACGAAATTCCTTAAGAACCATTTTAGTTTCTCAAGTTGGAAACCTTGATAAAACACAAACCCATACCATTGAAAGCAGGCCTGTGCCATTCTGGGCCAGCTTATGAGTCTCTGTGGTTAGCGATGGACGTTGCGGTTATGTGTGTCCTGCCCTCCCTCTGTAAGGACACTGGGTGTGTGAACACAGAGCCCTTATCTTCTGGACTGGACCGCCCTCCCAGAGGCGATTATGCTTTCCTGCCAAGCCAAGGAAAGTGCCCCGGTAGCGTGTGAGGATTTTCTTGTAGAATTAACGGTTATTAATTTTTGTTTTTCCTTTTAGAATATTTATATCAAGAAAGAATCATATGTCTATTACATTTTTCCTATTTATGCTATCAGGAAACTGGGAGCTAAAGTTAACGCTTAATAGTGAGGTCACCTCCTCTAGTTATCAGCACTTTTGCTTCTTTTTTTTAAGCATTTGATTTTCTATTGTGTTTCATCATTTTATTGAAAAACTTTTTTCTCAGTAGACAAATTTTTTATTGAAGAACACAGGTATCAATAACAAATATGCAAACTATGACCAATGTTCTTTGTTGCTCTGGGGTATTTTCAACTCCTGCTGGGTTTATAGCAAAGACCTGAAGATTGAGGTTTCAGAAAGTTTGACCACAGCCCAGATTACACACTCTGTGATCAAATTCTTAGACAAGAGACTCAGTGGGAGTGATAGAATGAGTATGCTCTACACCTGGAGAGTCAGCAGTTGGAACAGGCATGGCCGGGCCACAGACAGCCCAGCTCAGACATACCATGCTTGCTGGGGTTCTGATCGAGGGGAGAAGCAGCACCGGGTAAGTTGTCCATCGGGTTGGGGTGTGTCCACTGAGGGAGACGTGACTGGGACTGGGACGGGTCCTTCACCGACAAACCACCAGTCATGTCCATGCTGTTGACATTCATGTTTGGGTTCAGTCCAGCTAAAAATAGAAATGCTGTTAGCATATGTCTACTCTTCCTCTAGATTTTATTGCATTCTAAAGCTCTCCTGGAGAATCAATCCAAGTCTTAACTCATGGCCACATACTTCACTCTAATTTTTAATGCTGGTAGAAAGAAAAACTTTTGTATTTTAAACAACATGTTAAGTTTCCAGGAACATTATTCCTGAATTAAGGTGAAATGGAAATGAACATTCTCTGATTAAGTAAGACCAACAACTCTCTTCATTTCACACGTTTCAGAGTTAAACATGGTCCCAGTGCTCCTCAGTACCCACAGAAAGACAGTGCAAGTCCAGACAATTTGGAAAATCTTTTTTGATCTTAGGATATCTTAGGGAAACTCACCAGATCAATATAACTCTTTCAGAGTTCTGACAGTGTTCTAAAGTAGCACCTCCAGAACAATCTAGTAGCAATAACACAATTCCACTTTGAGTGAACTTACTTTACTAAATGTCTGCTCTTCAGGACTTTAAATATCAAACTCATTTTAAGGACTTGACCTATTGGAGAGCGTCAGGGGCTGCTGCCTGCCTCCAGCTGGAGTGCATGCCAACCCTGGGTTTTCTTTCTCACAGCTAAAGAACCTGCTGCTATATCTGGCAACACCATGCCAGGTTACTAAGGAGAGGGAGGAGGATGATAAAGAGTCCCTGATGGGGCCACCAGTTATGAGCTGGACTGAATGCTCAGCTGGTGGAGAATACTCGGCAGGTGCGCACCCTGGGATCCACAGACTGTACATCTTGGTACATGAGTCAAAGTTAATCTCTACTCCTAAGCAAAGTATCAATCAGGTTTGTTCTTGGCTTTAAATCCGTGACGGCCAAGGCAAATGCCTACAGGGGCCCAGTGGCTGTGAAGTGGGCCTGGTGGGGATAGTGGCAAATACACAAACTCTGCAGATGAAACAAAATGTCTGTGCATGTTAGATGCTGCCTGTGTGGGTTCACACGGATGGCAATCTTCACTTTCATTTGTACAGATCCAGTCAGGTGAGTGGACAAGGCTGGGCTCTGGCCTTTACAATGCTTGGCCTGAACCTATCTCCCCAACTTGCATGCTCATATGTGGACCCCCACCCACAACTTAGCATGACCACCCTGGACACTCCCTTTCCTCTGTTCCAGGCTCTTGTCACTAAAGTCCAGCTCATCTGGGATCCAAGCTTAGCTCCTGCACTGGGTTCTTCCTTCACCACTTAAGGTGAACACGAAGCTTTCCCTTCTCTGCAGCACTGCCTATGAAGGTTTTCATTATTCTATGCCTATGACAAATCCCAGCAGTCAAGAGACAGCAGAGCAAGGAGTCTCTGTGTTAACCTCTACACTCAATGTGGGGCTTGAGCTCACAACCCCGAGAGCAAGAGTCACATGCTCTACTGACTGAGAGAGCCAGGTGTCTTGCTACTTATTTTTAATACATTTATAAGTCTAATGTGAATATTATAAAATATTATCAAAATATTTTTCATCCAATTTTGAAGAGCCACTCTACTAATATTTTCATGTGTGCTAAGGAAAAATCCTTAAAAGGAGAGATTAGTGTACTTCATTTTCCAAAAATAGGTTGAGAGGCCAGATGGACACTAGAAAGCTGAAGCAGAAGTGTTTTAGCGTAACAGACAACAGAAACTGTTTCTGAAAGGACTCCTAAACATGTCTCACAAAGGGCACTATCCTGAGAACTTCACGTATTAATTCAATCTTTAAAGGACCCCATGAGGTAAGTATCTCCACTTTAGATGGAGAATTGAGGCAGAGCCAGTCAGGCAAGTCACCCAAGGAAGTGCTGAGCCAGTCCTGGTGGAGCTGGGACCTGGTGTGGTGGGCATCTCCCCAGCCAGGCCTTAGTCACCAGACTGTCCTCCTCTGTGCATATAAAGGGCTGTGAGCACGGGGCAATGAGAGAGGGACAGGATGATCACATTCATCAGGTTCATATTATGGACAGATCACATCAACTGCACGTCAAGAGAATGCGGTCGTACGATTTATGGCTCTTTTCAGGGCAGTATCATGGAAAGAGGACCATCAGCCAGTAGCAAACTCACCATTATGCAACTGGCTTTTGCTCCTTTGGATATTTATTTCCTGGGTTTCTGGTTCCCTTTGTCCTGTAGCTTCACACTAACAGCCAACTGACAGACAAGCCTGAGAACTTCTACCAGTTTCTGGATTCTTACGTCAAATTCTTTCACACGTATAATTGATTTACTGACATATACCTCCCCATGACATTTCCTCATTACTAAATGCAGTTACATAACCTGTAACAAACCCCTCCTGGCTGGCTTGTCTGACCTGGAAGGCAGCATCGTTTCTTTTGTTGACCTGAGGGTTTCATGTGTTGAGCACGCTTCCTACAGGTCAACACAGTCATATGGATTTGGCAGGCTATACAAACCATCTTCTACACTACAGGATGTGTATGGACAACTCCTCTGCTTTCCAAGAATTCTCTGATTTGTAAAAATCTAAATACCTTTATTAGTAAAACCATTATAAACTCATCCCTGCAGTTAGGTTGGAAGATGGTGGCTGCTAAAAAAGCATAAACCAGGAATAGAACAGACTGAGTCAACAATAGAAATGAGGGAATTCTGGGGCTTTCACTGGTGCTACTTTAAAAGATTTTATACTGGAAAATATTTATGGCCATAGCAGAATTTTGCTCTGCGGAAGAACGGACGGTGCTGCCCCCTTACCAGGAAGCCCCGGCAGAGCGCCAGCCTGTTGTGGGGAGCGGTGGGTCCCACCGCTGGGACTCACCGAGAGGGTAAGGAGCAAAGGTGCTGGGTGAAGACTGCGGCTCTTTGGTCTGCAGGTCAGGCAGGCCGGGGGCCTGGGGGTGGGGGGGGAAGCTGTCCATGGCCGATTTGCCTGCAGAGGGGTGCAGAGACAGGTGCGGCGGGGGCGGCGGCGGCTTCACGAGCAGGGCCTGGGCCAGCTGGCGCTGGTGCTGCTGGATCTGCTGCTGCAGGTTAGTGATTGTGCGCGCAACCTGATGGCAGAGATGTGAGTTGGAAAAGGTTCCAAAGTGGCGCCTGTTACTTGTCTGCAGACCCAGGGCATTCACTCTCTGCTGGCTGGGCCAACCTGCTCCCAAGCCAAGGTGACCCCGAGACTGCTAAAAGGGGAGGCTTAGCAAGAGAAAAATCAATAACAACGTAATAGTTTGCCATTTAGCATCTTCAGATCAGGGAAGACGAGAGTTAGGGGTCCAGCTATACCCCCCAGGTGATACCTACTTGCTGCTCCTGTTGTCTCATAGGTCCGGAAACATTACGCTGAGCCTGTAGCATCTGCTGCTGGATTTGTAAACGTTGGTATGCCTGTTGACACAGAGTTAAAATATTGTAAGAAGGCCATCAATACATGATTCAACTTTTCTATTTAAAAAAAGAAGAGAGGGCAGCCCTGGTGGCGCAGCGGTTTAGTGCCGCCTGCAGCCCAGGGTGTGATCCTGGACTCCCGGGATCGAGTCCTATGTTGGACTTCCTGCACGGAGTCTGCTTCTCCCTCTGCCTGTGTCTCTGCCTCTCTCTCACTCTCTCTGAATAAATAAATAAATCTTTAAAAAATAAAAAATAAAAAAAAGAGACAGAGAAAGAGAGAGAAAAGCCAAGATTCTTGGTCCCCCTTACTATACTGTGGTTTAAGAAGACTGTGAGGTGGAAGCATTTTTTAGAAAGAGAAATGTTGGGCAGCCTGGGTGGCTCAGCGGTTTAGTGCTGCCTTCAGCCCAGGGTGTGATCCTGGAGACCTGGGATTGAGTCCCACGTCAGGTTCCCTGCATGGAGCCTGCTTCTCCCTCTGCCTGTGTCTCTGTCCCTCTGTCTCTGTATTCTCATGAATAAATAAAATCTTAGAAAGAGAAATGTCTTTCCCAAACCCTTCTAGCGTATAGATTTTTATAAAGTAATTCAGTCAGTACCCCTGCTTAGTGTAGGTAATGAGGTTTGTCAGCAAATACTTCTCAGTTAATGAAGAGATAATTCTTCTGCTTGAGTCATACAAACTAAAAGGAAAAAGAAATGATGGGAAAATGAAACACTCTTAATTCTTTTTTTTTTTTAATTTTTATTTATTTATTTATTTATTTATTTATTTATTTATTTATTTATTTATTTATTTATTTATTTATTTATGATAGTCACAGAGAGAGAGAGAGAGAGAGAGAGAGAGGCAGAGACACAGGCAGAGGGAGAAGCAGGCTCCATGCACCGGGAGCCCGACGTGGGATTCGATCCGGGGTCTCCAGGATCACGCCCTGGGCCAAAGGCAGGCGCCAAACCGCTGCGCCACACAGGGATCCCAACACTCTTAATTCTTAAGTAATATAGATGAAAGTTGTCCAGAATGGCTCAGATTGTGGCAGAATGGCAGTGACTGGCCACTCCAGACAATCACAAAGCAGTATGTATTCAAGGCTTGTGAGTGCCAGGGACCCATGATGATATCCTTTGACAGCGGCCTAAATCCCGGCCTGTGGCACTACTGTCACAGGCCCCGCCTGCCCAGCTAGCTTAAGTAGCTGTGAGCACCTCTGCACACACCCATGCAGAAGTTTCATCATCTGGTCACTTTGAAATACTGGTTGCCTCTCATATATTATTTTCTTATAACATGGAATTTTGAGCATGTGTTTAGCAAGAGGATTTATTAAAACAGGATCCAAATAAAGGTAAAGACTATACTATTAGAAATGCCTCACTAATCTCTAAATTATAGAGGAATAAAATATTCCACTTAAGTGAATCTTTAAAGGACCTAAAACTTAACTTCAGGATACACCAAAACCTTATTTTACTAATTATTTTGAAAAAAAAAAAAAAACAAAAAACAAAAAACAAAACAATATGCACAGTTTGTAAAACAATATATATATATATATATTTTTTTTATTGGTAAAACAATATATTAAACATAATTCAAGATTTTCTTGAGATGGCTGCAGCTTTCATTTTTTTTTTTTTTTTTAAAGGACACTGTGAGTGGTGGGCTGTGGAGGAATTGAAACCCTCATGCGCGGCCGGTGGAAATGTAAAACGTGGGCAGCCCAGGTGGCTCAGCGGTTTAGCGCTGCCTTCAGCCCAGGGCATGATCCTGGAGTCCTGGGATCGAGTTCCACATCGAGCTTCCTGCATGGAGCCTGCTTCTCCCTCTGCCTCTCTCTCTGTGTCTCTCATGAATAAATAAATAAAATCTTAAAAAAAAAAAAAAGATTTTCTTGCTTTTTCTGCCATCTTTCTGATCCGCCACAATGGTGCATGCGAATGTCCTGGCAGATGCTCTGAAGAACATTAACAGTGCTGAAAAGAGAGGCAAAGGCCAGGCTCTTACTAGGGCCATACTCCAATGTCACAGTTCAGTTTCTAATTGCAACCATGAAGCACGGTTATATTGGCAAATTTGAGATCACTGATGATTTTTAAGAGCATTTGTTTCCAGGGCCTGGGGCTTCACTAACTGGAAAACTGGACCCTCAAACTTGTGAGTCTAACAGCCAGTAATGGGTTAGGGCCAACAGGGCCCAGGGCTCTCCTGTAAGGAGAGCTTTGGCATCAATGCTTTTGTCTATCAGCTGGGAAAATTGTTGTGAACCTCACAGGCACAGATTAAACATGAGTGATCAGCCCCAGACTGGATGTACAACTCAAATATCTAGAAAAATGGTGGAATAATCTCCTGTTCTGCCAGTTTGGTTTCACTGTGCTGACAAGCTCAGCTCAGCTGGCATCATGGACATGAAGTAGCAAGATGAAAATGCACAGGAGGGAAAGAAAATCCTGTGATTCTTTTTCTGGAGATATAATATATACATGCAAATAAAATGCCTCAATGGAAAAAAAGATTTTCTTGATGCCTTTCACACTATAGAGGTCAATAAAATTTACCATATAAGTAAGAGATTCTAGAACATCAGTATGATAACTATGTCTCAGGTCAGAATATAGCCATGTCTTCAGTGTTATCAAGGAGCAGAAAGCTATTTTCCTCTATAACAACACATCTACATAATATGCTTTCTAAATATGTACCTGAATTTTACGGTTGTTTTTTTCTCCACCTCTGAGGTTAGGGGTCTCTGTTGCTGTTGGTAGTAAAAGCAATAATCCTGTGGGCTTGAACCACCTATTCATGGCACTTTCAGGTCCTGGGAAATCTTACCACCATGCTGCAAGGTGTGCCCCCCACCCTGTCTCCCATTTTATGGACCAAGAAACAGCCTCTGAGAGCCTAACATGATCATGGCCCCACTTTCTGAGCTCTGTATTCTCCCTGACACCACAATTCGTCTCAGAGCACTTTTCCCTCCCATCCCATGCTGCTACTTACTGGAAAACTGGACCCTCAGGCTGGTTAGACGTGAGTCTTAACAGCCAGTAAAGGGTTAGGACCAACATGGCCTGGGGCTCTCCTGTAAGGAAAGCCTTGGCATCAATGCTTTTGTCTATCAGAGGCCTTTTTTCCCTTCCTTCAGGATTCCTGGTCATTTTCTAGGAGATGAGTTGCTCGACAAGACTTCGAAATAAAGCAGGTGTCAATATTTTACAGAAAGGTCTTTTTTTGTTTTGTTTTGCTTTTTAATTATTTTATTTTATTTTATTTATTTATGATAGGCACACAGTGAGAGAGAGAGAGAGAGAGAGAGAGAGAGAGAGAGAGGCAGAGACATAGGCAGAGGGAGAAGCAGGCTCCATGCACCGGGAGCCCGACGTGGGATTTGATCCCGGGTCTCCAGGATCGCGCCCTGGGCCAAAGACAGGCGCTAAACCGCTGCGCCACCCAGGGATCCCTAGAAAGGTCTTTAGTGTATATAAATCTGTATGCATCTAGAGATATGGTGGCATGGCATTTTATGGTAAAAACAGTTAAGATGTTAAAAACTTAAAATTTAAGGTATGTTAAATTGTAAAACTTTCAAGATTAGGCTACATCAGCCTTTGTTAACAGGGGTTGTAAGAGAGAATTAAACCCTAATCTCAAAGGCATCTACCATATGTAATGAAGTAACTTCTCTTTCAAACTTTCAGAACAGTCTTTATGTGAACCACCTTTGAAGAATTTAGATAGTTGTCACTTGAATGAATTTCTGTGTTCTCTCTCTGGTTCTGATAGGAAACTCTGGATGAGAAAGGCTAGCTGAGAGCCTGGGCTGAAGGACATGCCTGCTGTTAGGGTCTGGGATGCTCTGTGAAGGGGCCAGAGAATTCACAAAGCTGAGGAAAAACACCCGTAAGTGCAAAACTTCCTAATTTTTTTTAATAGTCTAAAAAAATTTATGAATGTCTCAATGACATTCCCTGACATTAAGAAAGCACGGCATCAATGACTTTTATTAGTCAGTGGCTATGTCACTGGCATAGCTACGGGAATGTCAGTGGGTACTTTTCCTGAGTTCTCGAAGCTGAAAGGATCTGCTCACTTACCAGCTGCAGCTGATAGAGCTGGTTCAACATCGTCATATGCTGAGGATTGATTGGCGAGGTCAATAGTGCAGGGTTGAGACCAATGTTTTTTGCTGCAAACTGCAAAAGCTGTGCTTGAACCTGTTGAACAGAAGACAGAGTATCAGTGACCCGTGTCCCTATTGAAATGGCCACCAGTCTAGGCAGTCTTTGAAGATGCAGAGCTAATTAATCAGTGACAGTTATACTTGTCTTAAGAATTAACTTCAAAAGCCATTAAAAAAACTCATGAGCATTTTGCCATTAGTAGTTCACATGCTTCTGTGGAAAATAAGGAAGGAAGGAGAGAAAGAGCCTTCCGCCTCAGAATTAAGATGCTAGGGCTCTGGGTGACTCTTGTTGAAAACTGATATCACATTCTGTTATGTGAAAATAAACAGGCATGGCTCAAGGACTTGAAACAGTGATTGTGGGGTCTCCACCCAGGATGGGCTCGGGAAGTAGTCTACACCTGCTCTGCCAGCCCCGACCTGGACATCAGGCTGCTCTCCCATGGGGGGGAGGGGGGGCTTCGACTAGAATTTACTGCTCTGAAACCATCCAGGGCCTGCTGTGAGAGATTTTGATGTTTCCCACTATGTACTATGTGTCCTTATCACAATATTTATGCAAGATGATTTTTTAGGTAGCACGTGGAAGGGCATCTTTTACTTTAATAATTATTTACTGTGTATCAGAAAACTGACTTTTCTATTTATGGTAGATATGTAAAGTTTTCTATTAGAATAAATTAATTTCAGCAGGCAAGTCATTTGAAGAAAACACGCTATGTAATAGTAGAGGTCATGTGGGGGCACGAGGGTGACACATGCTTTGCTGGGTGTGGGAAACCTGCTGTCACCCAGGCCCAGCTCTGTCCCCAGGCTTAGATAGTGGGACATGAGTAGATGTGTTGTGTGATTGGGAAGGGCTGTGGCAGAGCGTCCTGCAGGGCCACACAAGAGAAGCAAACACCTGTCCTGTCTAAGCTTCTGTACTCGGGGGTCTCTGGTATAGCAGTTCACCTTGTATCATGATGAACAAATTTAACTATTATTTTACCTACATTTCAGCCATCTCAACTCACAAACCTGGGATCAACCAATTGTGGAGGGATAACTCCTTCCAGCTAATTCTATAACTTATCATTAGTATTATTCAGTATTTTTAGAAGGGATGAGGACTGAAACACTGTAAGGAAAAACTCAGTCTGAAGTATAGAATTAAGGAATGTTCCATAAGTAAATGAAATTAACATGAAAAAATTCCATATGCTTTAGAGCTATGCAAAATAAGATATCCTTTTCCTTCCTTTTGTTTGACACTTTTTAATTTTTTTTAATTTTTTATTTATTTATGATAGTCACAGAGAGATAGAGAGAGGCAGAGACAGAGGCAGAGGGAGAAGCAGGCTCCATGCACCGGGAGCCCGACGTGGGATTCGATCCCGGGTCTCCAGGATCGCGCCCTGGGCCAAAGGCAAGCGCCAAACCGCTGCGCCACCCAGGGATCCCTGTTTGACACTTTTTAAAAAAGAATTTCTGTAGGCAAAAGTGGTCTAACACAAAGTAATGAACTTAACTAAGGAGTCTGTAACATATTAATACACATTCTATGACCTATGATCCCATGCAGTTGTCCACTAAGGCATCCTTAGGGCCGTGATTGCTCCTGGGTGCTCCCTCACATAGGGAGGACTAAGCCATGTTTCAGCCAGTTATCTCCTCTCCTAGCCAGGACAATTCATCAGGCTCAGCTGAATATATTTGTCAAGGCCAGGACAAAAATCCCATCATGGTGGCATGTGAGGCACATCTTTTCACCCGGCAACACTGCTCCTGACAGGAGGACAGATCGCTGGCTGAAGAGCAGTTCTGAAAGTGCCTCCTGCAGCGGGAGGACAAACGGACAGGCTGAAAGGACTGTCTAAGTAACACCGGGAGGCTCCTCTTGGGTGTGGGTAAATTCGCTCTCACTTTAAAGCAGTGCCATTGCTGAGGCACAGACACCACAGGATGGCCACTGGGTCCCCTGACTCAGAGCGTGTGGGGCCAAGGGTCGGACCTGAGGGGATAGAAACGGAGGCACTTGAGCACGGAGGCTGGGCTGGGAGGAGCTCAGAGGCTGCACGGGGGGCTGCGGCGGCTGTTGCATGGTCCTGGCTTGTGCTGCTCCACTACTGCCGAACATACCCAGATTGCCACTCGGTATCTGTGGGGAGACAAGAAGGGCTAAGTGGTTAGGGAGCTGGGCGATGGAAGGGCCCTGGAGGAGGCTGTGCTCTCCTAAATGTGACAGCAAAAGCGTACCGACTTCTACCAAAGTGAATTCATAGTAAATGGTGCCATTCAGACTGGCCCCTGATGACAGCCTGCGAAGCTGGCCTATGTTTTTTTAAATCACAGATGCCACAGAGTAGGGCCAGTCAGAACATGTCCTCGAACCAGGCTATCACATCCGAAGACATGACCACTACATAGCACGACGAATAGAAGCAACGCATAGCTACTGGGCTGCTCAACTTTCCTCAAAGGGTATGTGCAGTGAGGTAAGGAGTGGTAAGGGGTAGAGATTACAAACCCGAAGACACCAACATTTTCAGTGAGGAAACAGAAGAATAATCTCAGCCAGAGCTGAAGCTGAATAACTAGACAAGTCTAGGTAGTTACCTTTGTGCTAAATATAATCAACACATTTTTCAGTGTACCTTCTGCTCTCCTAGAGGAAGTTACCTGATGGACACTGAGCAGCAGACCCGCCAGGTGGGCTAATTCCCAGCTCCTGCCTGCCAGCTGGTGAACCATCACATGGCAAAAGCCCCAAAAAGCAGGTGGTACGCTGAGTTACCACTAGGGTTAGCAACCTAAGACGGCGAGGCTTGTGCAGATGGGGATGGCACTGGGAAGAGGTACCACTGACTGCTACCCTGGGAGAAGAGGCACACCCAGGGCACTGCTTAAAAAGATGTTTCAAAGGTGGGTGCATGTCAGCCTCGTGTGGGAGGAAATCCATAAAAAGGACGTCCTATAGATGGGAAAAGCATGAGTGGCTTGTATGTCACGTCTTCTAGGGGGATGGGGAGAGACAAATGGCATGAAGCAGCAGTCAATACAAACTCTCAGTCCTCCCTTCTGTGACACCTGTCAGGGACTCACTTTCCCTGCATGTCAAAGACAGGGAAAATGCCTCAATGTGGCTCTCTGGAAACCCCCAAGACATTACCTCTATTTCAGGGAGCAAGGGGAGTGAGTGGTGTTTTCTCACAGACCAGTGTATGTAAGGTCTGGATTGCCAGGAGGAAGGATGGCATCACCTGGATCCATGAAGGGATTTGGCAACTGAAGACCACTCTGCAGGATGCACCATTTAAAGCAGCAATACGTTAGCAATGAGAGCACTGAACTCAGGTATGAGTTTGTTAGGTGTAAAAATAAATAAAATTCTATTTCCTAGAATATGGTTCAATTTCAAGAACTGGATTCAACTTTCAATACTTGTACATCACTTGAAGGGAAATCCTTCTAGATTTCAGCTATCTTTATAAAGGTATTAGTTAAAAATCAGAGTATAGGTCCCAAACACATTTTTTAGAGACAGGTGAAACCGAGACTACACCGCCTCTCTCCCCACAGCCTTACCTGTCTAGAAGAATTCAAGTTTTGCATGCCCAGCCCTGAGGCAATCCCACCCAGGGCCTGATTAGGGAGTGCACTGTTTGAAAGGGGGAGCTTCAGGCTTGGTGAAGGCAAAAACGGTGAAGTCGTGGGCTCTTCCACTAGGCCGCCGTCCTGATTGGAGAAAGAAAGGGTGAGCTGTGTGCAGTATTCGTCCGCAGACAAAGCACAAAGCAGTTTCCCAAGGACATATAAGGGGATGTGGATGAATAAAGAATTAAAAGATCAAAAAAGTGTGGATAACAAGAGAATGGAGAAATGGGCCAAAGGAAGAGGGGAAAAGAAAAAGAGAAACAGGATTAAGATGCTGCTCCCGTTTTAACAATTAATTTACAAACACAATCATTAGTTTATAATGTGCTCAGACCCTGCCCACCCCGCCCAGGGGCAGGGCTCAGGAGAAGGATGGAAATAGTAGCTGAAATCTTATTTGGAAAACACTTTATAACCGCTTTCAAATAAATAGGCTCCTTTCTTCATTACTAAGGCTCTGGGTAACATTCAGCTGTTTTTGACCTACCAACAGCAATTTCACATGGTTTAATCCAATAATAAGGTGAGTTATAAAGCAGAGAGAACCTTACTCTCTTTTATATTATTAAGGTCACATTACAGGTCAGGCCCTTTGCAAATTTATCTCCTCTAACTTCACAATAAGTGTGTAGTATTATTCTACGTTTTTTTTTTTTTTTTCTTTTTTGGGGGGTATTATTCTACATTTCAAAGTTAAGGAAATGAGTCAGGGTCTCACACTTAGCAAGTAAAAATATAAGACATCAAATTAAATAGCAATTTCACTAAGCATCCTGGATATGAACCACACGACAGCAGGGTGGGGGAGGGCAGGGCTTGACCCTCCTTCAAGGTCCTCCCCCACCACAGCTTTCTGCAGAGGAGTGTGTGGCAGAGGACAAAGTTTATTTGTGAGCAGAGATGAAGTTTATCTCTCTCTCCAGTAAACCTTTCTGTTCTGATTTTTTTTTTAAACCTGTCCTTTCTTGCTTCAATTTTATTTTCAAAATTAACATTTTGATTGAATTTCATGAGATGCTGGTCTCCCCCTTTTGAAGTCACACCAATTTGGAGAGGGGGCATCACTACATGACAATCCTGAAGGGACTGAACCGGTGTGTGGACATGTGAACCACCCTGGGGGCTTCCAACATGCTCTCTGAAGTGGCCAAGCGGGGCCGGCTAGATACGGGTGCCTGCGCCCAACCACTTCTAGTCTCTTTTTCTGAGATTAAATGTGTAACACATCATTTCAGTCGGAAGAACAGTGCATATAAAATAAGACCGTAAAACAGAAATTTGATAACCCGTTATTAGACAAATTGAAGCAGATAACCCAGCCAAGTTCACCCACTAAAATGAAAAAGCAGTTTTTAATTTCAGTATTTTTTACCCCTAGTCACATCGTATGAAATACAATACTTTCTCTTCTGAGTTAAACATTCATATATATATTTTTTAAACTGGATAAAAGTCACTTAAATATTGCAATCTGGCAAGTATTTAACCCAGCTTGCGTTAAGGACACAGTAAAAATGAAAAATACCTGTTGTTAAAAACCAACCAACCAACAAACCACCCGAGTTCACACCTTGTCGAGAAAGGTGGGGCGGTCCCCGGAAGAGTCTTTGGAGACTGGTGGGCGGCAGCCAAGGGCTTTGGTGACCACTCCATTGTAGTCGGTCACTCCCAGTCCACGCTTGTCCACGTCCACCTTCTTTTCCAGCAGGGCGCCTGTACAACAAACAGAAGCAATGCTTACACCCAAACGCCCAAGGAATGTCAGTCAGGGGTGCCGAGCACAAGATGGGCACCAGTTAGAGCCTTTAACCCCATGAAAAATGGAGAAGCTGTGGTGTCGCTCTTGCAAGCCTCTGTCAGTTTGTAAACAGGCCCTGCTCTTAGCTCTGCTCTGGCTCCTTCCGCTCCAATCACACCTGCCACTCTGCTCCTCAGGGCCTGCCCTTCCTCCCCACTGGGAGGCACCCCCTTCTTCACACAGACCTTCCCTGATCTTTTTGTTTAAAATGGCACTGCTGAACCCTCACAGCCATTGGTTTCCATTTCCTGCATCCCTGTGAGCTGCAAGGGCTCTTCCACATACTGTAGACACAATATCATATAAAACAGACACAGTTTTTGTCCTTATGGGCTCTTGGGCTAGTGATTGGTTTTGTGTGGCCACCTTTGCCTTTGTGCTATTTTACAATTCTAACAAGCTACAATGAACTTCTTCCAGTTCTCACGGATTGTCACATCTGTCCTGGAGGCTTGTATCACACATTTTGGTGCCTGCACATTAATTATAAAGCTGATCCTCATCATACATGGATTCTGTGCTTGTGAATTTACTGGCTGGCTAACTTTATCTGTAGCCCTAAATCAATAAATGGCACTTTTGTGGTCATCTGTGGACATGCGGAGGGTAGTGAAAAATCTTGGTTGCCTGAACACACTTTCCTAACTCAGGCCAAACAAGATGCTCTCTGCTTCATACTCAGCTCTTCTACAGTAACAAATATCCCTTTGTGGTCTATTTAGTGCCACGTTTTCCACAGTTTTGTGCTTTTTGTTGGTGACTGCGGTGTTTAAAATGGACCCCAAGTGAGTGCTAATATGGTCTTTTGGGTTCCTGCGTGCAAGAAGTCTTGTGCCTGATGGAGAAAATGTGTTAGGTGAGTGCTGTTGAGGCACGAGTTACAACGCTGCTGTTCAAGTTCAACGTGAGTGAATCAGCGATCTGGTTTGTCCAGCAAAGGAAGAGCAGCATTGTAACTCAGGAACCCTAGAGACCACACTGTTAGCTCTTTCTGAACACTCTTACATATATACCTACAGTGTGTGATGAAGCTATGGAAAGGATGGAAAAGTGGCTTTTTGGATGACAAGGTGATGACTGATTTTTTTGTTTGTTTGTTTAAGTAGGCTGCACGCACAGCATGAAGCCCAACACAGGGCTTGAATTCACAACCCTGAGATCAAGACCTGAGCTGAGACCAAGAGTCGGATGCTTAATGGACTGAGCCACCCAGGCACCCCAAGATGGTGACTGATTTTAAGAAAGGTGTAGCAGAGAGCACTAAGTATAGATGGCCAAAGAGATTTATGGTCAAATGACCCAGGGTCAAGAAAATGCTACATCTTTCCTAGCTAATGTTTTCCTATAAAGAAAGAAATATGGCATATAGCTATTTGTGAGAAATATGTATTAAGTAAGGTGTCTTTAGATAGAAACACACACAAAGCAAGGCTATATACTGACTGGTTAACAAAAATGCTGTGGCCAGAGGCTTGTGGGAACTGGATCCTATATTTCCTGGGAATGAAGAACAGAAACCAAATGCATTTTACAGGTGAATATTTAACATACTTATTATTTTATTTATTTTTTTACTGAATAAATCTGATGTGTAACACTGTATAAGTTTAAGGTGTATGTGTAACTTTGATGCACCTACATATTGGTAGCATAGTTACCTGGTTACATAATTGATACTACATTACTGTCTGTATTCCTCACACGGCCCACTGGATCTCTGTGGCTTATGTACTGCTTGTTACAAATCTGTACCCTGAAATACCACCACTCCCCACCCTCTCCAACAGCCCCACTCCCCAGTAACACCATTCGCTCTCTGTGCTGTACAGGTTGAACTTTGATAGATTCCATGTGTGAGCGGAATGAAACAAGACCATGAAGTACTTGTTTTGTCGGACTTTGCTCACTCAGGATCAGGAACTTAAGGTTCACATTGTTGCAAATGGCAGGAGATCTTCCTTTCTCACAGCTGAATAACGTTCCACTGTGTGCATGAGCCATTTCTTTCTTATCCATTCACTCGTTGATGGGCATTTGGGTTGTTTCCCTACCTTGGCTATTGTGAATAATGCTGCGATAAACAAAGAAGTGTGGATATCTTGCCAAGATCTCATTTTCATCCTCTGGGTATATGCCCAGAATTGGAATTGCTGGATCGTACAGTAAGTCTACTTCAAATTTTTTGAGGAACCTCCATATTGTTTTCCATACCAGTTGGACAAATTTACACTCCTCCCAACAGTGCACAAGGGTTCCCTTTTTTACCACATCCTTGCCAGCACCTGTTGTCTCTTGTCTTCTTGACAAAAGTCATTCTGACAGGTGAGGGGAGATCTCATCGTGGTTTTGATTTGCAATTTTTCTGATGATGAGGGATGCTGAGCATCTTTCCATGTGTCTGTTGGTCATCTGATATCCACTTTGCAGAAATGTCTATTTAGTTATACTACCTATTTTTTTTTAAAGATTTTATTTATTCATAAGAGACACAGAGGCAGAGGCAGAGACATAGGCAGAGGAAGAAGCAGGCTCCCTGTGGGGAGCCCAACGTGGAACTCAATGCCAGGACCCCAGGATACCAACCCAAGACAAAGGGAGACGCTCAACCACTGAGCCACCAGGCGCCCCTCTACCTATTTTTTTTCAGACTTTTTTGTTGTTGTTTTAGTTGACTGAGTTCATTTTTTTTTTTAAGGTTTTATTTATTCATGAGAGACACAGAGAAAGGCAGAGATATAGGCACAGGAAGAAGCCGGCTCTTTGCAGGGAGCCCAGTGTGGAATTCAATTCCGGAACCAGGATCATGCCCTGAGCCAAAGGCAGATGCTCAACCACTGAGCCACCCAGGCGTCCGAGACGGAGTTCTTTATATATTTTGGATATTAACCCCTTATCCAATATATGGCTTACAAAATATTTCTCCCATTCTCTAAGTGTTTTTCTTATGCTGTGCAGAAACTTTTGAGTTTGACATAGCCTCATCAGTTGATTTTTCTTTTGTTGTTTGTGCTTTTGCCATCATGTCCCCAAATTATTGCCAAGACCAATACTAATGGACTTCTTCAAGTTTTTTTTCTACAAGTTTTATGGGATCAGGATTTTTGTTTAAGCTTTTGATCCATTAAGAGTTAATCTTTGTGAGTGGTATGAGATAGGGTTCCAATTTCATTGTTCTGCACACATTTCTCCATTTTCCTCAGAACCATGTGTTGAAAACACCATCCTTTCCCCACTGAGTATTCTTGGCTTCTTTGTCAAGTATTATGTTGACTGTATCTGCTGGGATGGATGGATGGATTTATTTATTTATTTTTTAAAAAGATTTTATTTATTTACTCATGAGAGAGAGAGAGGGAGAGGGAGGGAAAGAGAAAGAGAAAGAGAGAGAGAGAGAGAGAGAGAGAGAGAGAGAGAGAGAGAGAGAGAGGGGCAGAGACACAGGCAGAGAGAGCAGGCTCCATGTATGGAGCCTGACGTGGGACTTTATCCTGGGTCTCCAGGATCAGGCCATGGGCCGAAGGCAGTGGCGCTAAACCGCTGAGCCACCTGGGCTGCTCTCTGCTGGGATTTAATTCTGGGCTCTGTCTGTTTCACTGGTTGATGGGTCTAACTTTTTTTTTTTTTTAATAAGCTCAAGGCTCAAAATGGGGCTTGAACTCACGACCTGAGATCGTTACATGCTCCACTGACTGAGCCAACCAGGTGCCCCACATGTGTCTATTTTTGTGTCAGTACCCCATTATTTTGATTACTGTGGCTTTGCAGTACAGTTTGAAATTCAGAAGTGTGATACCTCCAACTTTGTTCTTTCTCAGGACTGCTTTGGCTATTTGGAGTATTTTGTAATTCCACACACGTTTTAGGATTGTTTCCTCTATTTTTGTGAATGCCTTAGTTTTGTTTTTAAAGATTTTATCTATTTATTCATGTAAAACATGGAGAGAGAGGCAGAGACATAGGCAGAGGGAGAAGCCGACTCCCCGTGGGGAGCCTGATGTGGGACTTAATCCCAGGACCCCAGGATCACGCCCTGGTCTGAAGGCAGACACTCAACCACTAAGCCACCCAGGTGCCCCTGCCTTTGGTTTTTTGATGGGGATTGCAATTAACCTATAGGTGGTCTTGGGTAATACAACCATCTTAATAATATTCGTTTTTTTTTTTTTTTTAATCTGTGTACATGAGATACCTCTACATTTGTTTGTGTCTTCTTCAATTTTTCAGCAATGCCCTGCAGTTTTCATCGTGCAGATCTCTTTATTTCCTTGGTTAAATTTATTCCTAAGTATTTTATTGTTTTTGATGCTACTGTGAATGGCATGGTCTTATGTCTTTTTCAGATGTTTCATCACTAGTGTAAAGGAATGCAACTGATTTCTGGTTGTTGATTTTGTATCCTGCCACTTTACTGAAATTGTTAATTCTAAGTTTTTTTTTTTTTTTACTGATTCTTTGCAATTTTCTATATATAGGATCAAATCAGCAGCAAATAATGAGAATTGACTTCTTCCTTTCCAACATGGATGCCTTTTTTCCCCTTTGTCCTGCCTAATTGCCCTGGCTAGGACTTCTGGTACTATATTGAAGTGGAGAGAATGGGCATCCTTGCTTTGTTCTTGATCTTATAGGAAACATTTTCAATTTCTCACCACTGAGTTAATGTCAGCTGTGGGTTTGTTGTGTATGGCCTTTATTATGTTGACATATGTTCCTTCTATACCCAGTCTGCTAAGGCATTTTTTTTTTTTTAATCATGAAAGGATGCTATATTTTGTCAAATATTTCTTCTGCATTTACTGAGAAGATCACATGATTTTTATCTTTCATTTTATTGATGTGATGTGTTACATTTATTGATTTGTGTTATGCTGAAGCAGTCTTGCATCCCAAGTAATCCCATTTGGTCATGGAATATAATCCTACTCATGTGTTGTTGAATTCAGTTGGTTAATACTTTGCTGAGAATTTGTGCATCTCCATTCACCAGGGGTATTGATCGATAATTTTCCTGTGGCATCCTCATCTGGTTTTGTATCAAAATAATGTTGGCCTCGTAGAATAAGTCTGGCAGTGTCCCCTTCTCCTTGATATTTTGTAAGAGTCTGAGAAGGACTGGTATTAGTTCTTCTTCAGTACTTGGTAGAATTTCTTCTAGTGAGTCATCTGGTCCTGGAGTTATCTATGTTTTGATTTACTGGCTCAATTGCTCTTTTTTTTTTTTTTAAGATATTATTTATTTATTTGAGTGAGAGTGAGCATGAGCAGGGATGAAGAGCGGAGGGAGAGGGAAAAGCAGACTCTTTCCTGAGCAGGGAGCCTGACATGGGGCTCAATATAAGGACCTTGGGCTCGACCTGAGCTGAACGTAGATGCATAACTGACTAAGCCACTCACGTACCCCCAAACTAAAGTTAGTTTTATGGCCTATCTCTATCTGGAGGGGTGCTGAGTTCGAGTCCCACATGTAGAGATTACTTAAAAATAAAACCTTATAAAAAAAGGAGATCTATCCTGAAAAATGTTCCATGTGTGCTTGAAAAATATATATATTCTGCTGCTGTTGGATGAAATGATCTGTATCTGTATTTTAGGTCATCCATTTGCTCTAAAGTGTGGTTCAATTCAATTTTTCCTTATTGACTGTCTGGATAATCTATCAATTGTTAGTAGTGGGGTATCTGATTACCATAATAACTTTTTCCCTTATGATCTGTTATGAATTATTTAATGTACTTTAGTGGTCAGGTGTTGAGATCGAATATATTTTTATAACTATTACATCTTCTTGACATATTGACCCCTTTCATCATATAATCACCTTCTTTGACTTTTGTTATCCTTTTAGGCTTCAAGTCTATTTTGTCTGATATTGCGAATGGCTATGCTTGCCTTCTTTTGGTTTTTGTTTGCTTGGCATATCATCATTCATCCTTTCAACTTGAGCCTGTATGTGTCCTGGAGCTGCAATGACAGGACATTGTGATGCCCAGAGATCACAATGTTGGGACTCATGGTTTCAATCTATCCAGCCACTCTATGCCTTCTGAATGGTGAGTACAGTGCACTGACATTAAGAGAGAGTACTGACAGCACACCTGGGTGGCACAGTTAAGTGTCTGACTCTTGATTTTGGCTCAGGTTACGATTTCATGGTCCTGGGATCGAGTTCCACATCAGGTCTGCACTCAGAGTGGTATCTGCTTGAGATTCTCTCTCTCTCCCCCCTTCCTGCTCATGCTTTCTATAATAAATAATTTAATCTTAAAAAAAGAGAGAAAGATTACTGACATTAAGAACTTACTGCTGCCCTTTTATCTTCTGCCTTCTGGTTCTTCTGTTCCTCCACTGTTCATTCTTCTGCCCCTGTCTACTTTCTACATTGGTGGTTTTCCACTTTCTGTGTTTGGTGTCTCCATTCTGGATTTTCGCTTTGTGGATACCATGAGGTTTACAGTAAACATCTCACAGATAGAACAGTCCTTCTCCTGCTGATAGCAGTTTCTCTTTGTTCCATCCTTTTGCTTTTCCCTTTATATTTTTGATGTCACAAATGATCCCTTTTTGTGCCGTGATTTTGTTGTAGTAGTAGTCAAGTTGTAGTAGCCACAGTTATGATTACTCCTATTTTTCCTTTAACCTTTATATACTATTCTAAAACACAGTGATAGTTTTCTGATTCTGATTATTTATCACCATTAGTTATTACTACTTTTAAAGCTCCAGAACAAGGGCTGCTTGTTCCTTGAGGTCAATCTCATATCTCACCCAGAGTAAGTGCTCCACTGACATGGTGACATCTCTGTTGGCCCCTGAGGAGGCCCACTCTGGGGCCAGGTGTGAAGAATGGGCTCAATCTGTGTCAAATGAAGTCTGGCCTGTAGTCCTAGAGCCTTTCTCCAATAATGTCACTATGACCTCCCCGCAGAGTAGATGGAAAAAAACTCCTCTATTTGTTGAAGTGCTAGGAAAAAAATGAAACAAAACAAAACAAAAACAAACAAGAAAACAAAAAAAAAACCAAAAAAAAACCCAACCAACATGCCTCAATGTCGGGTCTGGCCGTTTGTCCCAAGACCATCTATCTCCAGAGACTGGCTGTGGGGTCAGTATATGTCATGTGGTTACTACTTTGCTGAAGCTTGGTTCTGTCTACCCAGTACATATTCAACCATGAACCCAAGATTATAATGAAAAGCTTTGGAAATCCAAACTCCACACACTGGTACCTTTAAAAAAGTGTGCTGTAAGAGTATATCATCTTACTTACTCATGGCCTGGTCAAGATTCATATTGTTACTCTTCAAGGCCTCTTCAGCTGGCTCTCTCTGTGTAGGTAAATAGAGTTTCGATTAGGATTACACTTTTATGATAACAAGCTAGTAAAGAGTTCTACCACTATTAGCTTAGAGAAATGATTACTGTTGACTTAATATTACTAGGTTTTGGAACTAGAAATACATCTCTTCATTGTTGAGGCTAGAGACAAAGGTCTTCTAAGTGAAAGGCACTTAGAACATGTATTGAATTGACTTTTAAAGGATTTGTATTCAACACTTTAAAAACCAAATGTACAGTGCCTGTGGAATCTTGTCATTGATTCTTTACAAGTAGCAATGGTTCAGTAAAGATGAAATCCCCAGTAAAGATGAAATTCATTTTCTACTTCATGGACTCTGGGCTTTGTTGTCAATTACTTTTCACCAAGAAATGTAAAAACAAATAAAAGCAAACAAGTAGATTCATTTTGACAATTATCCCTTTAATAGGAACACATGCGTGTCAGTGTATGCAAGCACCACAGTGGAAATAAGGACTCCTGGGCAGGACTCCAGTGTCCCGCCCGTCCTCTCATACGGGAAGAGGCTGAGCCTCCCCTGGGTCTGTGCTCTGCCCAGCATCAGAGGGCCAATGCCTAAAGTGAAGTATATAGTTCTAGACTGAGCCATTCTAGACTCATTCCTTAGGGACATCCACAGTAGTCAAAAGATAAATATTTGCTTGAGTAATGATCTAGAAAGAAGACTTTTGAAGGGAAGACATAACAGACACAAGTGATATCCACACTATCCGAACTCTTATATTTGGTTTCAGGAACTGAACACATCATGACGCATTTTCATAAGGTCACCCTGCAGTCTGAACTCTCCTTACCCATGACCTGAGACTCAGGAACTCAATAAGCTTGATCAGGATTCTTTTTCTGGACACAGAGCTTTAGTAATGTGTCCAAATTTTCTCTGGTAATCTGTCAATCTACAGCATAAACTAATGAAAATTCACTTTTAATTATAAATTAGAAGAAAGTATGAAACTATGTAAGCCAATGCAAAGGACAATGACACAGCATGTTTTATTCCAGGAAAAGGCTCTCACACCTTACTTGACAGAAACGGTACGGATCCTTGCTGTAGTTGAAAGCAAGGATCCCTAAACAGAAGAAGTGTTCATGTAAAAGGGGAATTTACAAGTCAGGCTGTATGAAAACTCTTCTCCCTCAAAAGTCTTCCTTCCTTGTTACGCATGACAAATATGGGCAGGACACAATCAGGGCCACATGTGGCAGCACACATGGAGGGTAGTAGTAAAATAAGACCCCAGTCACCGGGAAGCCCATGTCTGTGAGTTGTTTGATCAGCCGGTTCATGATCCAGGCCTCGTCCTGCTTGCCAGACGTTTTCATGCCCTAGAATGAAATGTGGGTCACAGTTGAATGCATTTCTTCTAGAAGTGGGAGATGCCTAAAATTCATAGTGATTTAAAAGTTAGAGCATCTTCCTGTATTAACACTGAACAATGCCATGTTCTAGAAAGTGCCCAACTCTGTTTTGTGGCTAGTATTAGGAATGATTTAGGGTGCATTTCCAAGTTGGCATATGTGTGTAATGTATGGACTTTTAAAAAGCAAGAGAATTCTTTTTCTTCCCCAGAGAATTAATTTAGTTCATCACAAATACGTGCCACTTCCATTATTAAATAATCATAAGTGCTCCTTTGAACATGGCCCTATGCTAATACTAAGAGAGGTTTGTGAAAAATTACATGTCGTCTGCCCTTTTATAAGTTTACTGTAAAATATGACAAAATGCAGGGGGTGCCTTCTAACAGAATGAAATGGCAACAAGATGAAAGGAACAACAAGCCTGTTAATTTTATTGACTTTTCACTGCCTGCAGCCCCTCAGGGTAGAGAAGAAAGTAAATGGGCAAACATCAGTGAGGGACAAGATGAAGAGAAGAAGGAGCAAGTACAGGGCAGAGGAGGAGGAGGGGAGCGCAGGACAGAGGAGGAGGAGGGCTGAGCGGGGATGTTAACCATTTTCTCAGTTAATTTCCATCCTATCCTCACAACTACAAAGATTTAAACCATGCATTAACATGGTAGAAAAAACATCCTCCTCTAAAATGATTCTTCACAGTGCTTTTCAAAATTGAGCCTGCCGTTAACTACAGAATGTAGTATATGGAGTGATACTCAACTAACAGGCGCTCTTCCCTCGAGGAAGCAGCTTTTCTGGGAGGCCATGGGAATCACTGCTGTGCTGCCAGGGCCAGAGTTGCCAAGATGACACCATATTTTAATTTACCAATTTAACATTTCTGGTCCCATCATTAATCGGATTATTGGCCAGCCCGATAGTAAAAAGACTCCCTTTTGATGTCTGTAATCACTTCTACTCCTAATGAAGAGAGCTTTGATTTTAGTTTCTGGGTTCTGCTTACTGCTAATTGAATGCTTTGTTAAATGAATTTTTTTTGAACAGATAATACCTTCAAAGAATGTGAAAGTATAAACCAAAGCATCTTCTTCTCACCCCATGCTCCAGCTGCTGAGTTCTTACTCTCCCTAGCAGGAAACCCTTCTTTGCACACATGCACAGGCGCACTGTTTTCTTCTCCACCCCACTAATGTACATTTTTTTTCACTAATGTACATTTGAATCATCATTTTATTTTACTACAAACATGCTGCAATATAGAGCTGTGTACAAATGCCATCTGCTGCCCCCCTGACAAGTAGAAGTACCACATCGACATGCTGACATCTGTAATGTGGACAGATGATGTCAAGCTGCCTTGTGTGTGGATCACACTGGTTTACATTCCAACCAGCAACACGACGGTGTTGTTTTTCTTTACAGCTTTGTCAACACAGCCTGTTTATGAGATGTTTGGATTTCTGCTGGTCTGAGAGAAGAAAAGAAAGCTGGCATCTCTCAGTGTAGTTTTATTTTTTAAAAAGATTTTCTTTCTTTGAGTGAGTGCGCAGGGGTGGGGGATAGGATGGGTTGGAGCAGAGGGAGAGGGAGGAGCCGTCTCTGCTCTGAGCACAGAGCCTGACACGGGACTCAATCCCAGGACTCTGAGATCACAACCTGAGCCGAAACCAAGTTGGACCCTGAGCCAATGGAGCCCGCCCCTGGTGCCCCTCTGTGTTGTTCTAAATTGCACTCTCTTTCCGTAAGTCAGGCTGAACACCTTTTCATATATGTGAGAGCTGTTTGCATTCATTTTCCAGGGACCATCTATTTATATTCTTTGCTCATTTTTCTAGTGGGTTACTAACTGATTTTTTTTTAAAAAATCCATTTTTAGAACCTTTCTTTCTGTATTTGGGAGATTGGCCTTCTCCATGATATGACAATTATTTTTTTCCAGCTTGTTATTTGTCTTTTGACTTTTTGGTTTTCTCTGTCATGCACAGTTTTCATGTTTATATACTGAAGCTTGTAAGTTGTTCACTTGATAGCTTTTAGATTTTAGTCACAGCTAGAAAGGTCACTTCCACTCCAAGAGTGTTTTTAAAATTCTTTCCCATTTTTATTTTTCTATTTACCATACTTAAATTTGTGACCTACTTTGATTTTATCTTGGTGCATCCATGAGTTGTGGATTTCAATTTTTTCCAGAAGACTGTCTGTTTGCTGCAAGACTTAGGTCTACCTCGGAACCTCAAAAGGATTCAGACTTATAGTCTCAAGCCCAACCCCATTACCCACTCTTAAAGATTGAGGATTCTAAAGAAATTTTGTTTATATGGATTTTATTTATCAATATTTACTGTATTAGAAATTAAAAGAGAAATTTAAAAATACTTTACTAATTTGTTTGAAAATTACAATAACAAACCCATTCTGTGTTAACATCAATATTCTTTTAAAGAGAAAATTACATTTTCTAAAACAAACTTAGTGAGAAGAGAGGCACTGCTGTGTACATGATTGCCAATCTCTTTACTGTCTGGCTTCTTAGAAGCAGCTGGATTCTCACATTTGTCTCTGCCTTTGCTTTGCTGTGAAAGCAACGCCATGTAGTCTCTGGAAAACTCCACCCTATCCTCAGGCAAGACCCCTGACAAAATCCCGGGGTCCTCCAGGGGCTCCCAGGGCACTCAGAGAACTCTCGTCTACTTGTCACCGCCAAAAGGAGCTACCAGCTCTACCTGAAGTATTGTTAAGTATCATTGATTTTTAGAGTTTGTTTTCTTTAGTGTTGCACATACCTTTGGGAGTCCTTTTTTGGGGGCATTCCCCCAGGAACTGCAGGAGGAGGTGCTTTCTTGGGAAGCAGCATTGTTCCACATGCCCCCTTCTTCGTCTTCCCACTGACTGGTACCGAGGTTCATGTCGTCCCCACCACTGCCCCAGCCTTCTTGCATAGATTTTGAAGCTAGAAAGGGAGGAAACATGAACTTACCAAACTCACCTTTCCTAAAGTAGATAATGCCGTATTATAACGTCATTTGGAGGGAGGTGGGACAAAAGAAGGGACAAAAGGGGTGTATCGTAATCTACCTTTTTACTACTTCGTTTCGTCAAGACCTAAGAATTCAATTTCTTGGGCTTGTTATAGAATATATATGCAGGGATCCCTGGGTGGCGCAGCGGTTTGGCGCCTGCCTTTGGCCCAGGGCGCGATCCTGGAGACCCGGGATCGAATCCCACGTCGGGCTCCCGGTGCATGGAGCCTGCTTCTCCCTCTGCCTGTGTCTCTGCGCCTCTCTCTCTCTCTCTCTCTCTCTCTCTCTCTGACTATCATAAATAAATAAAAATTAAAAAAAAAAAAGAATATATATGCAAATGTGTATATATATTTTTTCTTCAAACTAGCTATTTGTAGTCTGAGCTGTTACTAACTCCATTAGAGGTCATTTTGAAGTATGGACTTTCTAACAGTAAGTCCTGGGGGCTATAGGAGAAGGTGGCAATGTCTGCATGGTATGAAGTAGCCAGTAAAATGCAGAGTCCTGAAAAATATCACTGCTCTCCATGTAGGTTTTGATTATACTTGGTCCAAGCCTGTAGCAGTATGAGGACTACTGCTCCTCCAGTGTGATCATACACAAGTCACCTGGGGATCACGAGAAATGTACAGGTCTGTGGCTAGGTCCAACAGTTTGTTTCTGATAAGCTCCCAGGAGATACTCCCAGAATAACAAAAGAGAGACAGCTGAGGCCATGGGCAGATGGAGCCACAGCTGACTATTGAGTTTTGATTTTAGGATATTATTTTTTCTACTTTTTGAAGAAACAAAGTGATTTTTGGTACAAAAGTTACTACCAATTTTCACTTCCTGGGAGAACCTGAAGAAGGTCAAAGATTAGGGGATAGTACTGTTATCTGGAGTCTGTAAGACTATGAAGATACGATGCTTTTTGAAGGCAGACACGTATATAATAGTGCCTCCAAGGACAAACTATAAAGATAAATCTACCGCCTCAAGATGGCATGTGAGTCTAAGTACCTCCTTATCCTTTAGATCTGCAACAAGAAGGTGTATGAATGGAATAAATAATCCAGCAGAATGGCAGATATACAGAGCACACTATCCAGTGGTAGCAAAGTAATAAACACAAAACTAAAGCAAAATACAATAGCAAAAATATAAAACTAATAAAGTTGCATTTTAAGATCTAAGACATTTAACGATATCCAAAGAAAATATGGTGCTTTCGCAGCCATGTGAACAACTGACCTTACTATTAGACTTAAATTACAATCTTAGGTTTATGCTAACGTCATATGTATTGCATTGCCAAATTCTCACATGCCACAGAGTTCCACTCAGCGAATGTGATCCAGACATCTGTGAGAATGGATGTTTCACAGGTGTCCTTACTATACTTCCAGAGAATGGGGGAGGACAATGTAACTCAATTTTTATTTTCTTTTCTTTAAAAAGAAAAAAAATAAAGAAAGAAAAAGAAAAGGCATCAGCCTGGAGCACCCAAAGTAGAATTGTGCTCATAAGACATAGCAAGGAAAGAAGGGCTGACTGCTATGAAGTACTGTAGGTCTCAAAACCTACTCCCAGAAAGGAAAACTGGCATACTTCCTCTCATCCAGCTGCTCAGGGAAGCAGCTAGTGGAAGCCGTGTAATACGCAGGTGCAGGGCACCACTGCAGTGCAGGTGCTATTCCTCCTATCCACAGACAGGCCATGTTCTCTGGATTCTGGTGACGAACTTTTTTTTTTTTAAAAAGGAGGGCATGGGCTTCTGTGAAGAGTTCCTTGTCCATGTACAAGAGGCAGCAAATATGTTAGTCTTAAAGCACAAATTAAATGAGGAAAGTGTTGGGACGCAGCGGTTGAGCATCTGCCTTTGGCTCAGGGCGTGATCCCAGGCCTGGGGATTGAGTTCTGCATCGGGCTCCGTGCGAGGAGCCCGCTTCTCCCTCTGCCTGTGTTTCTGCCTCTCTCTATATGTCTCTCATGAATAAGTATATCTTTAAAAATAAAATGAGGAAAGTGTCCTAAAACACGAATTCTTTTTTTTAAAGACTTTATTTATTTATTTGTTTGTTTGTTTGTTTATTTAGAGAGGCAGAGACACCGGCAGAGGGAGAAGCAGGCATCATACATAGAGCCCGACGTGGGACTCGACCCAGGGTCTCCAGGATCACGCCCTGGGCTGCAGGCGGCACCAACCCGCTGCGCCACCAGGGCTGCCCTAAAACATGAATTCTTAAAGTTCAATGGAAAATCTCGGCCTCTCTGTGTCTCTCATGAATAAATAAAATCTTAAAAAAAAAAGAAAAAGAAAAGTAAGTATCCAAGTAAAATATCCTGACCCACTTTTCAAGCTCTGAGTGGGGCTTACCTGGTTTGCACAGGGCTGGGGCAGCACTGGGGGCGCTGGCTCTCCCGAACGTCACTGGTGGCTCCGTGGGCTGGTCCCCCCATCCGCTACCGCTGCTGGGTGGCTTGCCCCATGCTGCGGTGCCGTTGTCAACCAGGGCAGAGGGGGAGGACGGCTCTCCCCAAGAGCTCTCAGCCTTTGAATGGACGTTAGGCATCTCTCCCCAGCCCGCTGAGACTGAACAGGACACCGACCGAGAGAGAACATAGTAAGAGTCAAGCAGAGAAATAAAAACAGTTGTTTCAAGTTCAAAATAATTTCTAGATGATCTGTCTTTAGGATGGCTTTGGGGAAAGTAGAAAGGAGGTAGTATTACATCTAATTAGATTTGTTTCATTTTTTAAATTCCCAGTGTTTTCAATCCTGACCACTACCCACTTAAAATCGAGAGGCCTTTAAATATCGAAGACAATTGAACTCACAGTATCTGCAACGTGACAGGGTTTAAAGCAAAAGTTTAAAGCTCACATTCAAGAAGTTGCTTTTACACATCTAGTATTACATGTAACCTAGAAGGAATCTTCTGTTACATAATTCTCTTATAAGAAAAATTTACAAGTTATAAATATATGCTGTAAATCATTCTTGCTTATCTTTTGACTAATCATCAAAGACACAGATCAGGGCAAAGAAAACATGTATAGGGAAAGCATAACAGAAAATCTAGACGGCTCTCAGGCAGGACCTGGTGAGCTGAGAAGGAGCAGAGACATTTGTCTTACAGGACTGGAAGAGACTGGAGGATTGGCAGGCAGACTGCAAGGGTCCTAGGAATGCTTCCTTCCCTCGTCTGCCCAGTGCTATGGCCAGAGCATCCTGACCCAGGGGCTGGCACCTGGTAGGGTGTGCAAGGGAGTCCAGAAGGTCATGGTGTTGCTCTCAATGCACACAGGAGAGGTCATGGGACTAGGCAACAAGGAGCATCTCCCCAGTCTTTTTACACTTCAGCAAGAGAAACATTTTACATTACATGTGTAAACTTCATTTTCCCAAATCAACCCATATTTCACTTTGCTTTCGCCTAGAAGATTACTCAACACTAGTGATCACCATTGATAGCTTACATCAATTGTAATTTTCATATGGACACAGTTTCTCAGAGATGGAAATGTGGACATTTTAAATACTGAAAGAAGAGAGAGCATACAATACAAATAGTTAACCATAAATTTTAAATTGTTTGGTTGTAACATGGATATTACCATCAATTATGAAATTTATTACTTTTCTGACTAAAAATAGCATGGAATCAGCTCCCTTGATGCTCTTTATTCTAATAAAATGCCGTAATATTGATTAATAACAAAAGGCCATGCAACCTATGAAATCATTTTAAATTACAAGCTCCATGCTGAGCAATATATTATGTAAATTATTGCCAATAACAGGAAAGTTAGTCCTAACCAGTTATTGTCAGCAATTGCTAACTATAATACTCCCCTATAATTACACAGAAAACAATAATGTATATTGGGAGAAGTAGTTTTATAGATTTAAGGGAGAAAATTAACATAGCTGACAAAAATTATGGATGTTTTAGGAAGATAAAATAATTTAGGTATTGCTAGAGACCCATCAGCTGTAAAACTACTGATTGGCTGTAGGTAATAAATAACAAACTCACTTAAAATTTGTCATACTTATATTTCCATTTTTTGAAAGGCAATACTATAAATTATTTAATTAAGTCAAAACTAAGAATAAATATTAAGACTACAGTAATTACAGTTGATTGATTTTTAGAAAGATTTTTCAAATCCTGTTAAAGCAACGGAAATGACTACACAGCATTTCTACACACAAGGCAAATGATCTGCAAGCAGCATGTTTCAGAATCTTACAAATGGAAGAATAACTATTTACCCCAAAACCAAGAGAACAAATATTTCCTTTCTTTGGGGGGGGGGGAGGGTGAAACAAGAAAGGAATTTATTTCAGTGATGCCAACACCAGGAAGATAGCAGACAGAGTGTCTCAAAGACTATCTCCCTGACAACATTTCCATTTTAAGTTGATCTCTGGCAAGAATATAACTTACGGATAATGCTGAACATATGCATATCAAAACATGTGCACTGCAGGATACTTGAAAAGCCCTAGAAGAAGAGATGCTACAACCTTGAGGCATACCAGCTAATTTTGATTCAGAGCAAATACTTGCAACAGATAGAAAATAATTTCAAATATATACTACTAAAATAATCTCCACCATTTACTGCTTATTGTTGTGTGAATTTTGATAAGTTTTTTGTTAATTTCACAGAGGTTCTTTTAAAGATAGGCTTAATGAGGCAGGAAAAAAATTCTATCTTACATTTAAAAAAATGATATTAACATTTTTTACATGGTCCTTCAAATGCTACTGCTTTTGATAAAATATTTCTGAGGCCCGGGGTCCAGGAATTCTTGTCTCTCTTCTCCAAATGAACAAATACAGTGTTGGGACTAAAATAGTAACAATGAAATGCCCCTAAGATATTTTATAAGTTTTCATTCAATTTTAAATATACTTTATCTATGAGAACAGAGAAAACAAAGTGCCTACGTGGTAGACACCCAAAAGATCAGTATAAAAACGAACCCTAGCAGTTCTAAGGCCAGGAAATAGAACCGACGTCAAGAGACTTGACCTGGGGGATCCCTGGCTGGCACAGCGGTTTGGCGCCTGCCTTTGGCCCAGGGCACGATCCTGGAGACCCGGGATCGAATCCCACGTCGGGTTCCCGGTGCATGGAGCCTGCTTCTCCCTCTGCCTATGTCTCTGCCTCTCTCTCTCTCTCTCTCTCTGTGTGTGACTATCATAAATAAATAAAAAAAATTTTAAAAAAATTAAAAAAAAAGAGACTTGACCTGACCAATGATGCCCACCCGTCATAAGCATACCAGACAAAGTCCATGGATGGCGTTCTTTCTTTTGTGAAATAAGAAATCAATTCTAGCTTGTTCCATGGATGCTACCTGTATAATTTTATAAGTGATAGGCAGTCCTTGCTGGGAAGAAAGGTTCGGTCAGACAATGGCCAATCATAACTGAATGCAGGAAAGAGAAAAGCCTGACACTGCATTGAAGAAGCATCTGAGTGCCGGCTGGATACCCTGGCGTTTTACATAATGACTTAAATATTAATGGGATGGGATTTTGTTCACACCAATGGCCTTTATGCTAAATGCACATTTATTATCATGCTTGGTTGGCTACTGGCTTATGGAAGGACAGAGCAGAACTAGGAGCTGCAGCAATAATTTACTTTTTCATATTTGAAATCAAGAGAGTATTTACCTAGTGAAGCTTTCTACAGAGGAGTTTTTCTCAGATGATCAAGTATCCTACTTTTCAGAATGCTTTGTTTCATGAACATTTATTTGAAACTCAGGGGACTCTACAGAAGGGTTACAGATAAGGTCTTTTTACAAAAGCTGGCCCTGTGGCCTCAGCTATGCAGCAACTGCTCAGACAAGTTGCTTTTACCTTCCTTACGGGGTCTTCACAGAGGCTAGGTATTAGAAACATTTTTAAAGTTTTTATTTGAGTGCACTAATAGAGATTTTAAATCTGCTCTTTCTTATTGATATTGATATCTTGATATATAAGCGAAACTTATTTTTAATGGTCTCATTTATTCATTTTGAACTGAAGGTACCTACAGTGAAAACCTCTGGGTGTATCTCCACGACATGCACTAACAACCATCTCCTCCCACCTCTCCAGCAGGATACTTCCGATGCCCTGGTTCTTTTTCCACGCCAGCCCCACTTACCAAGTCTCCCAAAACATAGGAAAGTAAAAACACCCTAACCAAACACAACGCCCCCCAATCCCATATCCATAAAAAGCAGGTTGCTCAGATGACTCCTCTTAGTAACTACTGTGTGGTCCTTAAAATAGAATTACTCTGGTTGAGAAATCTATTTCTGAAGTTGTGATGTGAGAACAGTTGAGTTCTTGGCACCATCTTGCCAATTTACTCTGTCTGCAGGTGACTCCATTTTTTGGTATGCATTTTTATACCAACGGATGATAAAGGAGCAAGGGAGCTGCTAGGACATTAAGTCTTATAGGAAGGACAATGTTGGCGACTTCCTACGCTCTCCCTCCCCTGCGGGGCCGCGGAGCCTCGCCGAGACCATGTCCCATTAAAAGCCTGTTTCAACCCCCCCCCCCCAATAAAAAAAGGAAGGACAATGTTCTTCAGCTTCTGCTCTTAAGGAGACTTGGAGAAACAACATACATGTTTCATCAACCTAGGCAGAGAGGATTCCTTTTTTTTCCCCCAAAGATTTTATTTATTCAGAGAGAGAGAGAGAGAGAGAGAGAGAGAGAGAGAGAGAGAGAGAGGAAGAGACACAGGCAGAGGGAGAAGCAGGCTCCATGCAGGGAGCCCGATGCGGGACTCGATCCCGGGACTCCAGTATGATGCCCTGGGCTGAAGGCAGGCGCTAAAACACTGAGCCACCCAGGGATCCCCTAGGCAGAGGAATCCTAAACCCACTTTCTTCCAAGTTTTAGTTTATCAGATGGAGGATATGCCTCTTCCATGATTAACTCACACAATCTCTGCCTTTTGTTATAATATATGTGCCAGAAAACAAAGCGATAAAGCAAACGTAGTTATCAGTGACTAAAGTACCCAAATGCAAAGTTAAGTTTGCCTCTGGCTGGAGCCTTCTCTAACCTGCAGAGGGCAACTACAGTGAGTACCTTGGCACTGCTGTTGCAATGCCCACTGAAGGTGAGACATGTCTGAGAAGCTGGGGAGAACTGGTAGTAAAATGAATAAAAAAATATTCTGGAGTAAGGTCAACATTAGCAGCACAGTCCCAGCTTACTGACTGGTCTATGGCAGTGATGCTTTCACTTCCGGTCATCACTGGAAGACACAACCACACTATGCTGCTGGTTTAGCTCAGATCTAGTCTATAATGGCCTTCCTATTTGACTCTAAATTAATTGTATGTGATAGTGATCTCTCTACTCCGACCCTCCAGTCCCTTTTAAAGTATCTCTCTAAATGCTTCAGTGAAATCTGACAGAGTTCACCCTGAGATTCTCCCCTCATCTCATTGTTAGATTCAGAGCCTACAGTGAGGATCTGTTTTTCATCAAAAGTTATATTAGTTAATATTCAATGTTCTCCTGTGTCTAAAAACTGATTTTTAAGCATCAGAATATTTATTTC